GCATTCGAATGAACAATAGGCAAACCAGCAGAGAAAGTATTGTTTATACGCATAAGTATCTTTTGGTCATAATATTCTGTCGACATTCGAATAACACTTTGAACCTAAGTTTGAAACAATATATAAGATTGGTGTGCTTAATGTCAATGGAATAGACATTCCTTGTATGACACCTTTTCCTGTTATAGGAAACTGTTGGTAGTAAAAACCAGATATAGTTTTGTATTATAGCTCATATCGTTTATAGTAAACTCAGTCGGACATCCAACATAATGAAACCTGCTCTAGTTGCAGCACATGTTACACCCGTACTTAAAGTATTAAATAAGTCAACAAAACCTGTTGGTGGTATATCTGAGTAAGTATCTTCAAAGGAGTATTTTTTACCATTCACACAATAAAGTCTTCTGGTGTCAAAAGAGCAAAACAGGCTTTAGTCGTCATTGTGTTTAAGGTTAGTTTACAACATCGTCCTTGAGGACTTTGTAAGTTTGTGTTATAGAATTATATGACTCAGGGTTTTTAGTCGTAATAGTATAAACCATTATGTCTTCTGCCATTTACTTAGCAAATAAATTTTAATGAAATGTTGTGGTCGTCAAATATTTTTATAACGTCTGGGAAACTATATTTTAAGTTCAACGTTTCACCTCCTTTCATAACGTATATCTTGTCAATGACATTATATGAAACACCACAGCAACTAATGTCGGGTTCTATTTCTTTGATGTTTATATCGTCTGCCTCTGTCAAAAGTTTCAATAGTTTCTTTCAAAACTTCATGAGGTGCAATGACATATGAGTTCACTTTTACAGGGTTGTGTTCGACCAAGTTTAACATTATACTTAAAGCTTGACAAATCTTCTCCTGAGTTTGAAGTTGTCTTTAAGTTGTTGGTAGTCATTTCGAATATCTGCAACAGAACTTAAGTCTCTGCTAACTTCAGGATATGTTGGTTGTTCTTTTACAGGAACTATTGTTATACCATCTTCGTCTTCGTATGGTTTCCCCATTTCAACAATCTCTGTCTTTGACATTGACAATAACACTTTGACTGTTTGTTTGAGTTTGGTGAATTTAACTTCACATCTGCCACCGCCATTAAACCTTTTGAAACACTTACGCTTCTATTTTTCGGAAATGACATTTTACTTAGAATAAAAAGATGGACGTATTCGGATATCTCTTTGAATTGAAGCAAAACAAAGTTTACACACACAAACAATACAAATACATTGACAGAATAGTTCTTTACACAAACAATGGAAAATGTTATAGAATAGCAATATTTGCTGAACCAAAATATTTTCATAAAGCAAAGAAAGTTGGTATAAACTGAAATGGTGAAAGTTCTTGAAGCAGACAAAAATATAACTTCAAAACTGACCGATATTACTAAAGGAAAGTTTATAATACAATATTATGTCAAAACTGGCGTACTGTCAATATTTGACGGAGAGAAGTCAGTTCAAGAACAAACTTACTGACCTGCTGCCAAAATCTGCTCGATGGAAGCTGTCGTTATGCCAATCTGAGGAGCCCCAGCAGGTTTCATCGAACGAATCTTCAAAAGAGCATCTTCCGTGAAAAGTGCTATTGGTTTTGTAAACTTCTTTGCTTTCAATTCATCTGGACCGTCTCTGTCACCAGTATATTGTTATTTGTACAGTACCAACAGTTGAAATACCACCCATAAAGTCTTCTGAGTCAGCAAATGGAATGCCAAGCCAAAAGTTTGAACGGTCTCCATTTGTATATTGAGTTTTTTGACCTCCTGTATGAGTCCATACTTTCACATATGGCATAATAGAACTTTGCATTTCAGGGTTAATGGTTGTTGTGAAGTTGTTGTTAAAGTTCATAGCATCTAATGTCAAGTTGTATGACCTCATATCCTCAACTGTAGAATATTCTTCTCTTGGATAATATTTGCCATCTATGTTTATATGATATTTAATACCAGGGTTGTAGAAACAAGAATAGTCATTTATAGTTCGTCTGAAAAGAACAAACATAGTATCTGCATGTTTCATTGCAGTTGTTAAGGCAATATCTGTTCTTGCACCTGGGTCAGCACTTTGGTTTCCAACTTCACCTGCAAAGTCTTTGACAGATATTTGGTGTATAGGGAACATAAGTGGAATTGCAATATATTTGGCAGCTAAAGCATTTGAAATATCTGGGTCCAACATATAAACGGCAAGTCTGCTTTCTATTCTCTTGCATTCAAATTTTTCGCATGTGAACTTAACTGGGTCCCAAGCATCTCCAGCAGCATTGAAATAATAGTTTACTTCAGTGTTGAGGTTTGAGAAACCAAAGTCTAAGTCAACTTTGTCTTTGCAAAATTCGGCGAATGACGTTTTATTTGTTCCCCTTACGTCTGTAAGAGTGAATGGGTCTTGTGTTGGTTGCAATGACTAAGTTATTTTTGCTTGGAGTAAGTTCAATAGAAATTTTTCCTGCCCAGTTTGGCAAGTATCTTAAAAACCTGAAGATGAGAAAGATGACAAAGGAACTCTAAGTTTCAGTTTTACTTTGGTTACTGCTGCTGCAGTTTGTCCAGAAAGGTCAACATAAACTCCTGGAACGTTAGGGTCAAGTCTTCTTATTTTCTCAATAGTTGCATACTGGTCTGTTTGTTCTCTAGCTTGTGGTTGTACTGAGTTTCTCAAAGCGAACCATTCATAGTTTGCCCATGTTACTGTTTGAACTAAGTCAGAGTTAGAATATATCTTATATCCCATGAAAACTTCTGGAGCATATTGGTATCCGACATAGAAAATTCCATTGCAACCTTTCTTGTCAGACAACTTGGCAGAAGGTTTTATTTCAATGTCTTGTTCCACGTATAAGAATGAGTTGTCAATAGAAATAATATGAAACCTGTCGCAAGCAATATCTACTGTTGTTGAAGAACCTTCTCCAAACTCACCTACGTTTCCATAAGAAACAGCAGTTGTATATTCGTAAGTTCCAGGAACTATTTCTGACCTTCTAATGGCATTGTCGCATTCGTTATACCATTCGGAAACATTTCCGTTCATGGCATCCAAAACTGTTGGCGTTATATTCTGAGCGGCGTACATTTCATATGGGTAAAAATATAGAATAGTTGGATTTATGTGTCATAATAGAACCCACTCGTACCAAGCTTTACTTTCTTCCTGACTGAGTTTTAACTCTTCTTTTTCCTTCATTGCCACTACTTTCACTAGATGAAGTTACTTCTTCACTACTTTCACTTTGTTCTACTCTTCTCTTCTTCTTTGGTGTCGCTTTTGGTAACTTGCCCTCTGCTTCAAGTTGTTGCATCTTTGCCTCATGTTCACCTAGTATGTTGTAAATTTCCCATGTCCTTTTTGCCTTTGGGCTCTGGTCGCCCATCTCAGGTAACCTATATCCTAGAAAGATTTTGTCATAGTTTGTATTTGAGTCTTCGCTTATTGTTTGCATGACTCTTTCCTGAGTTTCCGGTTCAAGCTCTTCAAACAGAGCTTGTCCATATGGAATAAGCTCGTTTCCAAATATATGTTTTTGTAGCCATTCTGGTTTTCTTTCCATGTTACCAATAATATCTTTTGTGAATGGGAAAGCTTTTACCCAATGTTTCAGTCTTGCGTCATTTATTTCTGTAGTTGGTTTTATTTTGTCAAGGAACATGTTTTTCAATACTAACATTTCATTTGTACTGTCCATTTGAGTTTTCTTAAATATTCATCCCTTCTCGGTTCATTGTCTGCAAAGTAAGTTTTTATGACATTTTGTAAACTTTCGTTTGCAAGGTCATGTACAATAGGTTCTCTTCCTTCTCTCTCCCTAACTTTCTTTCTAAACTCTTCACCAAATATACCATCTTTATGGTTCTGTGTAGTTCTTTGAGATAAATGTTCTAGAACGTCAGGTGTTATATTTCCATCAGCCATGTTCATTTCATACTGGTCCAAAATATCTGCATCTTTCATATCTTTCAATGGCATTAAAGCCGCGCTGAAAATACCAGCTATATCTGGTTCACCATTCACTTCCATTGCGTCTACAACTTCTTGGAATTGTGGTTGTAAGTTTATGAACCACCTATCCGGATTAGCTTTATGACCCCATCTCATTGTAGTTCCATCGTCTGCAGAAACAAAAGTAGGTTTGTTTCCATATTGGTTAGGTTCTGAATGAACTTTAAACAATGTTTCATTTCTATATGTTTTGTTGAAATTTAACCTTTTATTTTCACCGAGTTCAGCCAAAGATTGAACGTTATATGGTCGTAAGTAAAAAGGATTGTTGTATTTGCGTACATTTTCTTTCAGTACTTCCATTCTATGCTGAATATTTTCATCTGATGTTGGAGTCTTTTGTATGTCGGCAAACATTTTTCGATATTCTTCTACTATGTCAGCCGAATTTTTCTTAGACTCTTGGAAAGATTCCATATTCACCTCATACTCTTGTTGAGGGTCAAGATTTTTCGGCTGTTCCAAATCTTCATCTAGTTCTGTGAAGTTAGTTTCCAAAGGAGGGACTTGTTCGTTTCCTTCAGGCTCTTCTAGCTGTTGTTGCTGAACTATTTCTTCCATGTCTGGTTGTATCTGAACTAGTTCTTCCTGTGGAGTTTCTTGTACCTCATCTGCTGGCATTTCATATATTCCGAGACCGTTTTTAACAAGTTCCCTATCTAAGTCATCCGGACTCATAAACCTTTCTTCTTTCGTTCCGTCTCTATTTTTTACGCGTTTCATGAAGAGAGTTGAATTATCATTTAGCTCTGACACCAAATATCTCGGAGTAAATTCATTCATGTCATTTGGATGATATGCTATTAAATCATATCCCTTAGCGAGCTTGTATTTTCCAGGTTTGAAATTATATCCCATTTGGTGCTGAGCCATAAAGCTAAATAGGTTCGGGTCAGTATTTCCTTCCTTGAACTTTCTAATAGCTTCTTTATATCTGTCACTAAAGTCAAGAGTATCTGGGTAACCATAATCTTCCTTAAGCATTTTTAAGAATTCTTGGTTTCCTTGTTCTCTACTTCTTTTATGTCCTTGCTCTGTTTGTGGTTGTTGTTGTGCAGGGTTTTGAACTGTTGGTTGCTGTGCTGGTTGTGGAGGTGGTTGTTGTGCTGGTTGTTGTTGTTGTGCTGGATTTTGAACTGTTGGTTGTTGTGTTGGTTGTTGTTGTTGTTGTGCTGGATTTTGAACTGTTGGTTGTTGTGTTGGTTTTGGTGCATGCCTGTGTCTGTGTCCATGTGACGATGTAAATGTTTTAGGTAGTCCTGGTGCAGGTGCTTCTCTTGGAGGGTTTGGTGGTATATAAGTTCCACCAGCTGGCACATATGTTCCATCTGCAACATAATGTCCTACCTGACTTTTCGTTTTTAAGAAAGCATTTACTAGGTCTGTTTTGGTCTGTTGTAACTCTTTTTCTTGACTTTCCACAACAGTTGCTCTAACGGCGTCATAGGCACTTTGAACTGCCTGTCTCGTTGCTGCATCTGTTATTTTCGTCATATTTTGTGCTACTTCTCTTAACTCTTTGTCGAAACCTTCAGACTTCAGTTTCTTTCCAGATGAGAAATCGTTCACTTGTTTCACCTTACTATGAAGAGCTTCGAAGGCATTCTTAAAGTCAGCATTCGTTAAAGCTTCATTTGAACTGTCTTCATCCGCTTGTATTTTTGTCCTTATTGACCCTATAAGTTGGGCTGCTTTAGCGTTGGCTTGGGTATCTAACCAGTCATTATTAGCTTTTATATATTCTGCGCTTTTCATTGCCTTTTGCATGGCTGCGTCGTTATTTTTACTTTCTTGTGCTAAGTTTTCATACTGTACGGTTTGGTTTTGCAACTGTAAAAGTTTTTCTGCCTTTACATTTGCTTCAACTTCTTTTTATACTCATCGCTATCCATATATGTCTTCAGGGCTTTTTGTTTTATTTCTTCATCTTTCAGTACTTTATATTGAGTAGTATGGTTTTTCAAATTTATAACATCTTGTTCCATTTTTGCTACTTCTGCTGCTTTTTCTGACACTTTTTTCGCATATTCCTCTGTACTTAGTTCTTTCAGTTGTTCTTCTTTCTTCTTTTTCTCTACGTTTAACTCATTGAGTTTCTTTGTGTGTCTGTCATATTCTAGTTTCTTTTCGTTTTCACTTATTTGTTTCTGTATGTCTATGTTTGACTTTTTGACATCTGTTATTTGATTTTTGAGTGAACTCAAATTCATTTGACTTTGAGGGTTATAAGCTGTTCCGTCTGCAGCTCCACCATAGCCTGCCATTTTCGCTAAAAGTGCCGCTCTTAAACCTCCACTCTGTGCACCAATAACTCGGTTTAAAAGCATAGGGTTGCTTGACATTTGTTGCAACATAGTGGGTCATTCATCATTTGTTGTTGCAACTGTTGTTGTGGTGTCAGTTTTACTATTGGATGTTTCAATGCTCTCTTCCTCTTACGTATATTCTTACGTAGCTTACGTGGCATTTTAAGTGAAGTTAAAAAGCGGTTTTTGACAGATGTTTATATGACACTTTTTGTTCAGCACAAAAAACTACTCGGTCAAAATGTTGTCAGTTTTGTAAAATAACCGTCCTATCTCATTCTATAAGGGGGAAAAGGCTTCTCAAAGTATACTTCCTTGGAACGCCTGTAACTTTTCCTATAGCGACGATAGACCCTTACTTGTCCGGACAAAGTTATACTATTTTGAGTGCTCTACAAAAAAGTCAACGGCTGGTCGGCTGGGGTTCGGTCCTCCTCTTGGGTCTTGGGAAAAATTTCTTATGGGCTAGAGGGCGCAACGCGCCTGGAAGCCCTCCGAATAAAAACTTCATTTATACTAAACATCTTCAGGGCTAGAGGGCGCAACGCGCCTGGAAGCCCCACTACCTTTTTTTTTTTTTTTTGTTTGTAATGGCATTAAAGCGAAATTCCTAATTTCTTCTCAATTAAATTCCTTGAAAAACATTGGAATTAATGATTGGAAATAGGTCAAAAAAATTCCTAATATAAAACTTATACTTAAGATAAAATTAAAATTCGAAAATATCTATTTTTCAAAACACGCATCCAAAAGCGAAAAAATTCGAAAAAATCATGTTCTTATAAAACTCACTGATTTTGCAATTTTTATGAGATTTGACGTGATAGAATATATTACCATCTTATTGAAACATATGCTTCATTGTTGTATTCACATAATATTAATCAGAACACTAGGAAAAGTGGATTTTCGAAAAATGACGATAACGATTATTTGCAAATCGCCTCTCAATTTTGAGAGACTTTCAATTTTTACAGTGGACCCTTAATAGATAAATATAAAATCTCAATTGAAACACTTCTTCAAAGCATAAAAAACGCATCGATCTACAATTTCAGATCAGTAGAACTATATTCAGCAATCAATCAACAGTTATGTATTAAATTTTCAATTCAAGAACAAACTAATTTTGAAATAATGGATGAAAAGACAAGATCTTTACTAGGAATAACGCGTTATAACAAATGCGAATATAATTCGATAATAATGAACGACCAAATAGAAAAATTTAAGGAATATATTTTAGAAAATGACATTTCAACTCATGAGGCACTTTCAATACACATGTATTCTATGAGGAACTGTTTTCGAACCGATATTAAAAAATGCGCTTATTATGGATCAGTAAATATTTTCAAATTTATTCAAGAGAATTATCACATGGAAATAACACCAGAATGTCTTCACAATGCAATAATTGGAGGAAATACAGATATTATCAATGAATGTTTGAAATATCATCCATTAGATGTTGATTGCTTAAAGTATGCAATCAGTTCTCACAACAATACTATGCTTAAATATATTTTGGATCATGACATTGTTGATGCAGCAAAATTCGATTATCAAGAAGTAATAAATTCACAAAATCTTGAAGCTGTTTTTCTCTTATTCGAGAAAGACAAAAATCTAATCTTTCCATGGTGCGCAGCATTCCCACAAACTAATGATATAATTAAAAATGAGAAATTTGAAATGAATTCAGTAATTTCAGATAAATTTTATGGAATGACTTTGCTCCACTTTGCATGTTTATATAATAATATCGAAATATGTAAGTTTTTATTAGATTCGATAAATCCATATCAAATTAATATTGAATCATTAGATAATTTAGGCGAAACTCCTCTCTTTTCCGCTGTTATAGGAAATGATAAAGAAGTTGTGGAATTTCTTATATCAAAAGGTGCAAATATCAATATCAAAAACAAAAATGGAGATTCTCCTCTTTATATTTCTTTAAAGCGTCACTGTAATGAAGCTGCGAAACTTCTTATCTTAAACGGAGCAAATATTAAAGAAAATTATTCAGAATTACCCATTCTACATATAGCAGTAGAAGAGAAAATGCCTGAAATAGTCGATCTTCTTATTTCAAAAGGAATGGATATCAATATTAAAAGTAAAAAAAGGTATGTGTCTAGAATGTCAAAATCATGGTTTTCTGGAATGACCGCTCTTCATTATGCAGCATCAAGAAACAATGAAGAAATGATAGATTTTCTAATTCTACGTGGAGCAGATATCAATGCAATAGATAACTCTGGGAAAACAGCTATATTTTATCTGATAGATGAACACTATATCTATTCTTTGCATATGGACTTTATTCGAAAATTGGATTTCGATTGTTCAAAAGAAATCAGAATGGATATAATGAATATTCTCATTTCTCATGGAGCAGATATTGATGCAAAAGATAAGTTTGGGGCAACAGTTCTTCATTATGCTGTCATTTTTAGAAATACTGAATTGATTAGACTTATCATTTCACTTGGTGCAGATGTTAATGCAAGAAATAAAAATGGAAAATCTCCTCTTCATTTTGCAATGCAAAAATTTTATTGGGACGATATAGAAGCTACTATTCCACAATTGAAGAAAGGTTTAAGCGAATTATATCAAGAAATAATAGAAATTCTTGTTTCACATGGCGCAGATGTTAATGGGAAAGATTTGAAAGGAAAATCAATTCTTCAATATGCAACAAAATACAAGCATACCGCAATAATTGAATATCTAATTTCGCAAGGTTCAACGGATAATTGAAAGTTTTCTGATTAAAAAATTATGGTATAATATGGTCAATTTGATTGCTCTATATTGATAATTCTTCACAAGCTTTGGTCAGCATTTCCTTATCTCCTTGTTTGGAAAGATTATAATGAGTATGCCTTTAATTTGATAATTTATAATGAGTATGCTTAGTCATAAACTTTAAGAGAATCTGAAAACCTGATAGAACGATAATGATTTTCATGACTTTCACTATCATTCAAAATAATTAGGCTGCATAGTCATGTGATTAAACCTTGGAATTTATTTTAATCAACTTTGTCTTTTATGGGAAAGTAAAGATACAAATATATCAATCTCGACAAAATTTTGAAAATCCAGGCAGAATTCTCACCCAAAAAGTCATAACATTGACTAACACATCCATACCAATGATTTATTCGGATTTTCTTTTTTCCATGTAACGTATGGCAGTTATCGCAGAATGTCTTTAACACTTCCACAGGTGTCTCCTTTTGGGGAAGAATTTGGATATGTTGAACATCAGCTTAGATTACAACTTAACGCACCAAGTTTGGAGCTTATAGATCTTTTTGACATCGGATTAAAACCAGTTAATTCTCAATTTAACAACTACGTAAAGAATCACGATCCAGCTAATGTTGTTGATGTATTTTTACCAACTGTTGGATTGAAACAATCAAAGAGCGACATAGTATCACACGGAATTAAAGTTCATCCAAATGATGGATTTACTTTCCAAACAGACACAGTTGAACTCAATAAATCAGGCGAGTTTAACGAAGTTATTCATATTCAAGTCGGTCTTGGACGCGTAATTAATCATCAAGATATTAAATCAGCGATGGACAAAGTTCAGTACTTAACACAAGCACCAACAGTTAGTAACCTTCAAGAAGGCTACGAATCAATACGCATTGGTGACAACAAATTCGTCGTTTTCAATCCAGGACAAGTTCGAGCTCTTCATGTCTGCAAATTTGAATACAAAGAGGGTATTTCAGACAAAGAACCATGTGCTACAATATGCGATATGTGCGGCAAGCATAATGCTACAATTTACTGCCAAAACGATGCAAAGAAATTATGCGTTGATTGCGATAAGAGCGGCCATAATAACGAGTTTACGAAAGATCACAAGCGTGAGGATCTTAAGGCAGCACTTCCTTTTGTCCAGAAGTGCCCAGAACATCCTCATTGCAATGTGATGTATTATTGCATGAAATGCCATCGTCCTATATGCATGGATTGCAAGGTTAAAGGCAGCCACGCTCATGGAGAGTTTGCCAAGCACAAACTTATCCCAATTGAAAAAGCATATTCTGATGCAATGGGAATTCTTCGTCGTCCACTTCCTTTCTTCGACCAGCGCAACAGAATCATCGATGACGAGCTAGAAGCCACAAAAGAGAAGCTCGAAGAGATCAGGATGAATCAAAAAAGTGTCGAAGACGAAATCATGAGGATTGCGATGAAAGCAATTGAAGATTCACGCGTACAAAACGCTAGAGTTGCCAATATCGTTAAATCCAAGCAATTAGAACTCCTTAGGAAGAAAGATGAGCTCAAACGTCAAAGATTTCTTCTCGATTCCTACAAACAGAACGCAGAACCTGTTCCTCTTCTCGAAACTGTCTACAGGAACATGAAACTCGAAGAAACAATGGCCGGAAACAAAGATCTTCCACAAGATATCTCAGTTGAAGGAAATCTCATCGTTTACGGAAGAATCGAAATTTCTCCACCAAAAATTGAAAAGCCACAAGAAAAGAAGCCTGTAAACAGAGATTTGAACCAATCACAATCCACTCCATACTCATACACATACACAGAATCAGAGGCGCAATCAACAGTCCTTGAGCCAAAAGACCCACACTACACGAAACTCACTAAAATGGCTCAAAGGAAACAATCGAAATACGATCAAAATGGAATTTCTGTTGAATTTGTTCCATTCGCTGATTCAAAGATTATCACGGATGGAACATTAAGAAACAGATTGTACATGTGCTTCCCATTCAAAGGTGTTCCTGAGCCACACATGCTTTTCTCTTCTGAAGAGCATGGAAAGAATATAAGACTCATGCACAAAATGATTGATAACATGGGAATTACATGTATTTTGATTAAATCCGGTGACCAAGTTTTCGGAGGTTTCGCAGCTTCGAAATGGACAGCTGATGGAACTAAAAAGACTGATAAATCATCAACATTCTTGTTCTCAATAACAAAGGATGCTTTCATTCCTTACGGAGGACAGAGTGATGAGAAGTTCTACACAATGTCTACACCAGAAACATTGAATTTCGGTGGAAAAGATTTAGTTATCGCGGGTGAAAGCTTCGAAAGATGCTCTTCTGAACTTGAAAACTCATTCGGTATTGGTTTCTTGTATGGATCACAGAAGGCTAAGGAATTCTTGGCTGGAAAGCACAGATTTGCTGCTGACCAAATTGAAGTTTGGGGATTCTTTACTTCTGATTAAAAAATTATCTTATTTTTTTGTCTCGAAAATAAAAAATATTTTATTCAAATGTATCAAACAACTTCAATACATGAATTATGCTTATCTAATACAAAGGAATTATAAGAAATTTGGATCAAAATATTTTATTTTCTCAGAATATCGTTGCTCAAACTAGAATGAGTTGTGCTCATGCTAAAGTTACTTGTATAATATAAAATTAAAAAATTGCTATCAGTTGGATTCGAATAATTAGTCTCTTTGCATGAAGTATTTTTCCTCAGGAATTAGTCTCTTTCTTCAGAATCGATCATCTTATGCAGATATGATATACCTCAAGGATTTTGAAATTTTGCACACTTTTTTTTCTTCAAAAAAAATGTCGAAGCCGGAGTTCATGAACAGTTATGAAATTGAATATTGCCACAATATTATTGAGGAAATGAAACAGAGTAACCTTTTTAAAGAGTTTTTTCTCAAGAACGAGACAGGACTAAAGCAAAATATCGTTAATGATAAACAAAAACTAACTAAAATTACATTGGCACTTATAAACAACGCATATTCATCAACGGCGAGATGGATTCAAGATATGCGTAGCTTTTTTCAAAGTTTAAGCGATGATTTCCGTGCGGATTCCCTTTCTTATTTTATTGTTCAATATTTCTGTAATATTTTTGAAGAAAAAGTTAAATTCATACCAAAGAGTAAGGACGATGATTTCATTAACAAATTTACAGAGCTCCAAGATCGAGCAAAAGTTTTATTGGAAACTATTCCAAAAGTAAGCGCATAGATTTTCTTGTCAAATAATATAAATGTTAGAATAAAAATATTTGTCTGGTATTGTACTTTAAAAATCTTTGATTCATCAAATAATATTTTTTGATTTCCAATAAATTCGTACAAGAACTATCAATCATTCATGCAGAAGATTTGAAAATCTGATTTCTAGTTAAACAACTTGTAAAATCAGATAAATACTCTATATAAATAGTAAATAAACAAACATTTTTATAATCAAGATACAAACAAATAAAAATAAGAAAAATAAGATATTCTGATATGATTCCAAAATGTATAATATACATTTTGTAGCAAAAAAATTATATTAACAGGCAACATTTGGATTTTTCGCGTGAAAACTCCGGCTCATTAAATTCTATTGCTTTTTCTGCTACTTTTTCAGGGAATGGCAAATCAGCGATATCTTGGAATAAGGTAGGTATATTTTTGCCAGAAACGGCTGATGTAAAATACATAGGTATGCTATGTTCATCCAGAAAACACGATATCTCTTTGAGGTCATCCTTATCGAATTCAAGGTCTGATTTATTGGCAGCAACAAAAATATCATTAATAAGATACTCATTCTTGATTGTAGCAACCCAAATTTGGACCGAATCGTACGACTCGGAATTTGAAACGTCAAAAACAATAACTGCAACATCAACGCCTTGTGCGAATATAGGAATGAAACATTTATACTCATCTTGGCCTGCTGTGTCCCATACATTCAGTGTAACATCATTCTCGTTTGATTTCATTTTGATTGTAAAAGTATGCGCTCCTATTGTAGGTTTCGTCTGAGCTTCTTTCTTAGACATGTTGTAGATTATTGAAGTTTTCCCCACTTCTGTGTTTCCCACTAGTAAAACCTTGCGCTCGTGTATAGACATTTTCTTCGTTAGTTCGTTCTCTAATTGAAAAAAATTGAAAAGCACAAAAATTTTGTGATCGAAAATTCTTAATTTAAAATATTGCCGCGGTGATTTCAAAATTTGAATTGATTAAATAGTTTACATGGAATGATTTTAAATTCATAATATCGCAAGTTAAAATTTTGTAAAAAGATTGGCAAATAGAAGATATTCACTAATACTATGAAATATTGCTTTTCTCATACTCATTTTTGAATTTTCCAAACAATTTTTTGATGAATCAAGATAAACTTTGCTATTTAATGCATTGACATTGAATTTTCATTATATCCTAGTTGTTTGTTAGATAGTTTTCTGATTAAAAAGTGCTTCAACACTAAAAGATTTAAAGATATCAAGAAAACTCATTTATATAGTATATATTTGAGTAAAACCCCCATTCTTGTGCTTTAATTCATGAGATAATACTTGTCAAGCTTATCAATAGTAATCGTTTTTTACTTCTTCTGCAACCATCTTTTTTAAACGAAATCAAAAAAGTGACAAATAATTGCAAAAAAATGAACAAAACATTAACTGCTTTACGAGTTTCCAGGTTATATGAGAGTTCTCCTTTCCTTAATATTCAAGCTGGAAGATCCAATTCCTTTTTCACATTATCAAATTCACACTTTTCCCATTCATTCAAATCAGCTCTGTTTTCAACAAACACGCCGAGAACACTTCTTATCCAAACATCCAAATTCAGAAAATTCCTCAGCTGTGCAGTAGAAATTAACTCATTTAACCTTACTGGACAGACAAGAAACAGACATTCAGAATTTGATCACGATTTGTGTCAAATTACACGCTGTTTATTCGTTGAATGCATTAATAGAGGTGATGGCGGTGCTATTAAATATCTTCGTGAAAATGGATTTTTCCAATGTTATGAAACGATTATTGATCGTGCAGAAGCTGCTGATAATGGTGGTGCTCTCTTTTTACAACCAGAAAAGTTCCCTCTTATTCGCTGCTGCATTGACCATTGCAAAGCTGAAAATGCTGGTCAAACTTTTCAGATCCTTCCTAAAGAAGATTTCCCAGATGATATTAACTATACGACATCCTCTGCATGTGCACCAGCCTTATTCGGCTCCATTCAGTACAACCTCCATCACAGTGGCGGTGGTGGACAATATTCAAACTCAAACATCTCGCGCGGACTTTGTTCTCGTGGCGGCGCAGCTTTGGCATGCTTCCGTACAAATAATCACCTCATTCGCTATACTCATTTCGTTTCTTGCACCGGTGGTTCGATTATTTCTCTTGAATTCGGTCGTGAACCAACAACAATCGACAAATGCAACATCATTAACAATACCCATATGCTCACACAGATTTTAACCTTCAGCCAAGCAACAACTCTCAAGTTTTGCTTTATCCTCAAAAATACAAAACCATTTTCACGTCCTATTGTCACAGGTCGTAAGCACTCTCTCGAATTATCCGATTGTACATACGATGCCCTTGGTTTGGACAGCAAAGCCGGCATTATTGCTAATAATGGTCATAACTACGAAGGTGAAGAGACCACAATCCCATTCGAAGATGCTAATCAGATCTTCTGCGTTCAAAGACGTAAGCCAATGGTCAACCCTTTTGAGAATTTCTCATATATATTCTTCTTCATCGCCGTTTTCGGAATAATATTCGTCCACATGTCATTCATTCACCCTCAGGCTCTTAGTGACCTCTATATTCACATGTTCTTCGATACGGACAAAGAATCAAGAAGAAGACGCGCACACGCAGTCCAATCTATATAATTTGTGTAATTTTTATGTTTTCTTATTCTGCGTGATTAAAAATATGTCACTGAATAATAAAAAAATAGGTAATAAAATTTTTATGAAACAATTTCAAAACTTTTTTATATAATTGCATTGCTAAACTATCGAGAAACCATAGTTATTTAATGGATAATTATAGATTAATCCTTGTGAATTAGGGATAATAAAATTGATATATTAGAATTCTCAAAATATCTACAGAGACTATGCTTGAAATTTGGAGAAGATATCAAATGCAGATCCTAGTTAATACATCTTTTTCTGGACTTCATTTTTTAATCTAATCTTTAATCTCTTTCTGAAAATGATGTTCTTCATATATTTTGCTGTCCTATTCTAGCTCAATTAGAAATTCAATGCATTCAAATAATAAATTTGGAGATATGAAATAGTTGCAGCATGCAATTTGGATAATTTCATGCCAATAACTTTAAATTCTATATGCCATATAATAATATATCTGAAGGACACCTAATAAGTTTTACTCTCTTATCATCGTGATTTTAATATGAATGGACATTTGTATTTGCAATTAAAAAACAGCAGTTTTTACAGATGTATATCTTATTTTTAGTATGCATTCCCTCGAAAAATATTAATTTTGAAATTTCATTTTTAATTTGAGTCGATTTTCTAAAGAGCATACAGAGAATATTCTTATGTGAACATCAATATGAATAATATCAAATCCCGAGACGAAACGAAAAACCGGAAATAAAAACTTTTTGATAAGGGGAAAAACGAAAGGGCAAATTATTGATAATAAATTAAAAAAATCAGATGTCCTTCGATAGCACCAGCGTTCGCACATCTGTCGAAAAAGACTTCAAGAACCGTGAGTTTGCACAGAACATTTCCCTTGGTATGATGCGCGTTGTTAGATTCCTTAACACATTCCATTCCAACGTTCGTGGAAGATTGGCAGATTTAAATCAGAAATTAACACAGCTCGAGAGACGTCTTGTTTTCATTGAAAACCAGTTGAAGTGCTGCACAGATCAACCAGCTTCCGCCGAATAAGACGATATTTATTTGTCAGATTAAAAACACGTAAATCTTCTATATCGCAATGTTGAATAATACAAAATTACTTACTTCTTTTACCCATTTTTTAAATTACTAGAAACTTTTTAACTGAAAATCTTCAAAATAAGGAAAAGAAATCAAAAATACACAAATTCATAAAGAAATAAGTTAACATATATGTTTCTTCTAATCCTCTATCACTGAGATTCAAATCTGGTTATTTAACCTTTTAATACAAAATTTTTTTTTTTGAGTTTTGAAATGCTAAATCGCCTAACTTAACATTTTACTATTTCGTCGGATAATCCTTTGGGAAATTTATATTTATTTCATTTACTTTTGCTTGGATTATAAGAATTCGGATTTGAAAACTTGTCCCATACTGCCCCATTATCAAAGTATTAGTTATTTAGAGTTATATTCGTTCGGACTAATGTTCACATGCTCTTGATTATGAATTGATAACTAATTGAGATTTTGATTATTTTTAATTAGATTTTATTTTCATTTATGTTCTAACTTTAAGTTTAGTTTTACACATAATTTTCATATATATACTATGAAATCATTGTAGAACAGTTAACTGAAATAAAACATGAATTAACTTTAAATATAAAATCACTGGTAAAAGCAAATTAAAATCACATCCAACGTTTAGCATTTGAAACGAAAAAAATTAAAAAAATAATAAAAGAAATCAAATTATAAGATTTTTTCCATCAAAAATCCGATGAAAGCTCCAATAAATCCACTGTAAGTGCAAAGTATTTCTGGATCTTTGAGGTTATCATGTAATTCGTTTTCGATAGGAATTCCGATTAAATCGAGCAATAAGAAACATGCAACATATTGGTAAATCTTGATTACTTTTTCTGATTCGTGATCAAATTGGAAGTACACTAAAGAAATCATGGCCAAAACATATAAAATAGTGATGGTGATAGGGAAATCAATAATTAAGCAAGAGCCGAGTAAACTAAGTGGGAATAATGATCCAAGTGCAACAATCTTTGAATGTAAGAGTAATGGATAAAATACGCTTAATATTGACGATATTGTTGCAATCCCGTAGTAAAATTGTGCATTTTCAGAAAATAAGGCGCCAACCATTGAAAAAATAATTGGAAAGATTGTGATAAGGATGCTAGGAAGTGTGAAATGTTGCTGGGCTGTGATATACGTCATTCTGTACTCATGAGCATAACGATAAAAGAAACCTGAGATGGAAAGCGTTGAAATTCCGACTCCGAGGAACTGGAGGTTTTTGGCAAGTTGACGAAAGAGGTGAAAAGCTTTTTCCATTATTTTATTTATGTTGTTTGGGTTATATTGCATATTCATTTTATATATAAAAAAACCGCCATTTTCGTTATTGATTATTTGTACAAATTGCTTACTGCCAACCGTAATATAGCATGAATGACACCATGACAAATAAACAAATCTATCATTTCGTTTAATTTTCATAATTTGGTGGCCATTAATGAGTTTATTTATTATAATTTTATATTCTAATCAAATATTGTGCATCCAATCTTATTCAAAATTATATTTCGTAATTTCAAAATGTGAAATTCCTAAATCTAAAAGAGATATACTTAAAGATAGGATGAGATCTTCGATATACTAAGTTCTATATAATATAATATTTAAACAAGACATAAATATAAAAAAAAATAATAAAATTAATTAAAACTTTCAATAACTTTGTTGTCTAATACTCCACGAAGCTGATATCTGTCAACAGCTTTCCTTAGGAAGTATTTCGTAAAGTTATATTGCTGAATACTTCCCGTACTAAGAGATTCGAGTATTTTACTTATTGCTTCTGTATCTTTGTCTCTAAGCAATACAACCAAGCGGTCCAAAGTGACATACGAAGTGTCAAGTTTTGTATCAACTGTTTTCTGAGCTTTAACATCGTCTGGGTTATCACTTGACTCTTCGCTAAGGGCCATAATTGGTTTCTGGACCTCATGAGGCATCAATTCTAAAATTCTGTCCATGGAAATCGGAGCATCAACTTTCCATTGGAAATTCTCTTCAACCTTTCGGAAAACAAGGGTATTTAAGCTCGACCATGACTCACTATCTGCTGTATCAAGGTTATCAACGCATTTGTAAGTTCCATAAGATTTCAAATTAATTTGACCGGAAAACTTTGTCGCAAATCGAATGGAGTTGAAGGAAGTTCTTCTATCGTATTTTTCCTGCTTAGAAGAATCTTTTTTCTCGGCATTGAAGAAATCTTTCCTTTCTTGGTAAAATTCATACTTTTTGCCTGGATCTGCTCTTGCTACATCATAGCCTCTCTTGGAAAGATATAACTGTGCAGGAATAAAGTAAGCCAAAGGGATTTCTTTCAAATATTGAAGAACAAGATTATTATTTGGAGTTGTATCGAAAAATGGGAAGTTCCAAGCAGACAAGATGAGCTCAAACCTTCTAAAATCAACCATTCCAAACGGCGGAGACGTTTTATCAACGTGTAAAGTGAAATAACCTTTTGCGGCCAATTGAGCGTCTTGTGGAATGGTCAATTGGTATTTATTTGTATCAATTTGAGGGTATTTTTCTTCAGATTCTATTAAAACATATGTTGGAACCAATGAAGGACGAGATTTAAGATCTTTCAAGCAAATATCGTAAGGGAATGGCCAAATGTTCGGATCTGTTGCTAAAGGCACTGTAAAATGATGAGATTCACCATTTGGGAATTGTAAATTAAAATGAAATGTATGTGGTTCTTTTCTTGAAAAGAAACCATACTGATCTTGATATCTGCTAAGAGAATATGGATTTCCACTATTAATTAGAGTTAGTTTGACCCATGGAGGGAAAATTGAAACATCCAGCGGATTTCTCTCTTCTACGTAAACGCAGAATATGTTATCCAACGGCCTAATCAAATACTCGGATCCAAACGGCCCAACACGTGCCATATTGAAGAAATTTGGTGAAAATCCGAAGAAATCACTGCATAAAATGATTGTTGAACTGTCTTGATTCAGCGGAGTTAATCCTCGTCCATCTGTAGGTAAGTGCAAATCGTATTTTTTATTCATTTCCTCATAAGTAGCCAATCTTCTTTTTGCTAATTCGATCAAACCACACGTACATATGGCTTTAAAGTCGCCAGTCTCTTGTATGACAAGATTTTGTATGACGGATTGATTATATTCTTCACATTTAGGATCGCCATTTGAATCTGCATATGCAATGAGCGTAGTTTGTTGAGTTAAAGGCTTTGAAAATCGATAAAATGAAAGTAGAGGAGTTCCATATACTACCCTATTGATGTGAGCAGTATTATCAATACAAATCAAGTTCTTTCCAAATGACTCCCCTTTCATTGAGGCCGATTATTTTCAATTCAATTTCAAAATCAAATGAAAATCTTAAATTGACTCATTTTTTATTATTAGTGTTTAGTAACATATTAGAAATATTATAAAAGTAAGGATTTTATAAATTAATTAATTTATCATTTGAGGAAATATATTTTGCAAGAGTTTGTATAGACAAACCATTGAGTATTTCAATAGATGGCTGGATACGAAAAGAGATTTTAAATTAAAATACAATTAATCTTTATAATAAGAAATATATAAACTTAAATCAAAACAATTTTATAATTTTCACACTTGTGTATTGCTTGCGACGAATTCTTCTAAAGCTATGAGAGTCTTTCTGCTGAATTCTCCAAAATCAATCGGTGTTGATGGATCAGCTTCGAATCCTGGTTCATTACTTTTAATAATATTAATAATTTCAGTTGATTTGCCCTGTTCCATCAACTTTTGGACACTTTCAAGTAATTTTTGAACGCGGCTGAGTGAAAATTGTTCAATTTTAGGAGAAAGAGGTGTTGTTTGGCTGATGCCGAATGAAGCTGGTGGGTTTTGTAATATGTTTTGTATATCTTTTGTAAGATTTATTATCTGCTGTTCGTAATTTCTTAGATTAGATAAATTTATTGACATAATGCGCTTGTTGAATTTCTTTTTTAGATAGATTGCAACACCTCCAATGACGCTATCCGCAGAATTGAATTCTACTGCATTATCCCATATTAGATTCATATCTTCGATCCAGGGTTGAAATCCCGAATACTGGTTGTTGTTTATTTTCTTCTTAATCGTAGTTAAATCCATTGGTTTTTTAATTCGATTCTTATATTCACCTGTAAGCTTTTTATCTTCTTCTAATGGCTTAAGGAACATAATGGATAGGGGTTCGTCACAAAAGAATTTTGTGATTTGTTTCATAATAGCAATCTTTTGATCAGCTGTTGTCATGTACAAAAAAAAAAAATTGACACAAAATCATCAGCTAAATCATATATCTCGCATAGAAATCATTCTATGCACTGATACAAGCAATTCTCATCTTTGGGAAAACAAGTGGACAGTCTACTTGACTCTGAGTCTGTGTTAAATTTATTCATCTCTTGATAATACCAAATGAAGATATTTACAACTGTTCAATAATGAATTAATCAATCCAATATGCTGAAGGATTAATATAAGGCTTCCTGCATTTTATTTGATGAACAAAATTAATCCATCTTACAATGCTGAATCCAAATTATTGTTAAAAATATGTGAAATGTTGTGAATGTCAGCATACAATACAAGGAAATATATCTTTTTCAAATCAATTAATTCTGTTCAAAGATTAATATAAATTCTAACTCATTCTAAGTAAGTTATGAATAGGATTTGTATGCATAATCAAATAAGATGTAAAAATATGGATAATGTTAAAATCTATTATATTTACTAACAAAACTAAGAAAAAAAATCATTGAGCATTTTATCTTTTGCTCATAAAGTCATTATATTGTATATAATCTTCACTGTTAATGATTGAATCAGCCCAATTCTTCTTGAATCCTTCTGAAGAGTTCGAAGAAAAGGAAAGAATTTGAATTCCAAGGAATAGTTTGGTTGATACAACCTGAGGTCTAAATGAAATTAGCCAGAAAAGCTGCGAAAATGTAATAATACTTCTAAGCACCATTTTGGAATAGAAGCATATTGCAAATATTTGTATTGCATGTTTTACAGGAGAAACAACGTGTGTGAAGATTTTAACATATGTAATTATTACATCTTGTAGATTATAAATTGAAATTATTGCCAAAAGTAAATAAAAGATTGTTGACTTCAATATATTGTACAAACAAATGCATCTTCCGGATTCATTAAAATGGAAATATCGATTTGGAATGTCTCTACGGCAAATTTCGCAATAACTTTCAGTTGATGCTTGTGGTGCGGGCTGATTTTCGATATCTTTTCTTGGTGACTTTGGGAGGGCCATAAGACCAGAAAGAAACGCAAATATTAAACAATAAAATCCGGAATATATGTAAAATTTAATTAATGAGTCCTTAATATATGTCGATGTTTCTGATATGCAAATGAATGTCAATAAATAGCTGGTTACAACACTTAATATTGTATATGGAAAGTTTTCTCCTTCTTTCATAACTTGGCACTTTTTTAAAAATTGAAAAGATGTAAAATAAAAATCTCTGGTTTTTTTATTTTTTTATTTTTTTAAAAAAATTAATGACGCGAAACCATCAGCTCTTCCCATTAGAAATCATTCCATGTGTTGATTTCAAAAACCGTCATCTTTGGAAAAAGAAAGATCAAAAGTTAAAAATCCATCTCAAACCCTACAATTCAAATACAGATATCTATATTGATGAATTAAGCTCCATACCTTCTGGACGTCAAATCTATTTACCAAGTAAAAACTTATATGATTGCTTTTACAATATTTATTCCTTTAAATCAGATCAATCATCAGAAGATACTGTAAAACAAATTAAAAACTACGCCAGACACTTCAGAATTTTAGCACAATTTGATTTTTATCCATTTGCCACTGCTACATTAAGAAACATTGATACGTTCAACGAACAGTCATTTATCATTAAAACTCTTCCTTCTATTTCAATAAAGATTGACGAAGCATTTATAAATAATTCAGATTTCAATAGCAAGTCTAAAACAGCAGTTGCAGTTGCAGCTGCATATTGTCTCAGAGAATTACATCATAGTCAAAACAAATTTTATAAAATGAGTTTGGATGATATTTATCTTCACGAGAAGAAGGAAGAAACAAAGATTACAGATAATAATGATTTTACAGTTCGATACCAAGATAAAGATTATTTCATCTGCATTGATAACGCTGGCTTTAGATATGACCCCAATCTTAGTTATAAAGATGATATTAAAGATTTGGGAATTATTCTCGAAAAGCTCATTAAAGACATAAAAAATCAGTCATTGACACTACTTTATCAAAGGATGCAAGATGAAAATGAAAAAAAGAGGCCTTCAATTGATTTTGTATGGACTACTTTAACTAACAGCATCGAAGAAGAAATACCAGATGGCTTAATTGAATTTGTTAATGAACAAAAGAAGTCAAAGTTGACAAACAATCTTTTACCACAAAAATCAGGTTTATCTTATATACTTAACAAAAAGGAAAGATCACTTACTGATGGATTGATAATGCTTGCAACACCACCTGAAAGACAAACTGGTGCCGCTGAAGCCAAGTTTTTTGTAGATTTCATTTTATCAAATAAATATTTCAAATTTGAAGGAAAATGGTTTGTAACTAACGGATTAGAAGAAAAAATCAAAGAAATCACAGGAACTTCTGAACCTGATTATGATCAAGATTACGTTGATGCGATAGCAATTTGGAATGTTATTATCAAAGAATCATCTAATGAACTTAAAGCTGCAATCCAAGATCTTGTCAATAACAAGTCTAAAGTAAAAAGATTCATTTCGGAATCAGAAATTGATAAAATGCAGAAAAGACATTGCACTGCTGATAACTCAGGAAAGAACAAAAAAAATAACGAAATATTTATTCCTCTAAAATCAATAATAGATCTTGATTACATTACAAACCATCTTGAAATCGTTTCTCAAAAAGATTAGCTTCATTTGGCTCTAGTTGACTAAAATATTATCTTTTTTTCCACATGAGATAGAATTAATTTCTTTGAGTTTTTGTTTAATATATATTATTGATATACTGCATAATCTTATGCATGATACGCTAAGAACAAAATGTGATAATGCTTTTTTTGTAACTTGTATTGATTCTTTATTTTGAAAATGAAATTTAATAACTGATTAATATCAATAATAGTTATGCAAAAACTATAGTTAATTTTCATATACTTTTTCTGTTTAACTTTTCCATTTCAAAAAAAATATATCCTTCAATATCAAAAACTAAGAAATTACTTATCAATAATATGCTTTTACTATATAAATACAACAGTTCAAACAGACTAAATGTAAAATCTAAGTCAAAATAAATATAAAATAATGAAATGATATAAGTCATAGGTTTTCAAGACAACCAAATGAATCATAGCCTATAATAGAAGCTATTTAAGTAGCAGTAAGAAGTATTTTTGAAGATTTTTTTCGATTGTGAAAATTTTCTTTGAATTATGCATTGTGTGCATAAGCATATTTCATATAACCTTCCTTTCATTAAATTTTCAAAAATTTTTCTAATAAAAAAAATTATATTTTGAATTAAACAGGAGCGACGTAAAGAGACAGTGCAACACCGAAAACAGCTAATGGAGAAAACAAGGACACGGCGTCTGCCTCGAGTGTATCTTTAGAAACCTTTCTAACAAGTAAATATTCGAGAGTGTTTTCTTCATTGATCAGGATAATGTTTTTTGTACTTGGTATTAATTCCTTGTTATGGAAATCTAAAACCCATTCCATATCATCTGTCATTTGTGGTTGTTTTGATATTAATTTGTGGGGTATCAAAGAATCTTTAAGAAATAGTGTAACTTTAAGTGTTTTTGGTAAGTGTTTATCGTTCTGAATATGTGAATGTTGAATAGTTATTACTTCTGGACCGTATTGGTCTTTTGCACGCAATGAAAACTCTATTCTTCCATCTCCACAAAGTAAATATGCAGCGTTATTGGTCGAAGAATAATGAGCATCACTACCATTTGAAATTGGTATTGGTTCACTTTGTCTTTTTGATTTTAATTTCGCTGAATAAAGAATCTGTCCATCTTTTAATATCTGATAATGGGTTCGTCGGCCTCGTATAGATGTCGTAAATGTCCTTTTAATTGTGTATAAAATTTTAGGAGAAACAGCAGGATCAACTCGTTTGCGAACTCTAATGCCGACTATTTGAGGAAACAATGTTGGCTTCGTTTTATCCCCAGATGATGATTCTTCCTGCTTTTCGGTCATGAGATTTTGAAAAACGGTTTTGACGTGTTAAAAATTTTGTAAATTTTAGGATTTTCGAAATTGATTGTGTTTTCAATTTAAGTAGCCTCTAACCTCTGTTGTAAAGTGTGTGGTTCTGGTTAACAATTTACGAAATAGAATACAATATAATTAAAAAGAATTTAGCCCCAAAGTCAATAAAAGCATAGCAGCCAAAGAGCAACTTTTCTGACTAACTTCATTGAATCACATTTGTGATATGAAATTATGCATTAAATTGGGCAATCGAATCAAGATTTTTGACGATATATCTTGATTTATCATTTCATAAACATTTATTAGTAAATATAATTCATAAAAAAACAAATAAGCTTTATAATAACATACAAAATAAATACTAAGCACCAGAAGGTGGTCCGATATTGAGCATAATGCTCGGAATATTGATTTTCAAGCATCTGTCAAGGAAGAAGACTGTAACGCAATCACATTCTTGAGCCGAGTGAAATGGATATCCCAATGCAGAATCTGATAAAACTTGAGGAAGGATAATATGAAGACCTTCAACAAATTTTCCGTTGAGAGTAGTAACGATGAATGCCGATTTCATGATGTATCCAGTATCAATGCACTGCGAAAAATCAAATGTAACCAATCTCAGTCTTCCTGGCTGTGAAAGAGGGAACTTGACAGCTCTGCTATTAAAATCAAATATTTCATGTTTCCTAGACGCATTAAATGCGAGAGGTTGAAATTTAAAGCATTGAGCTTTCATTATTGGCAGATTATCATAACAACCATAAGCAGAAATGCTTCTTAATGATAATTGACATTCACTTTGCATTAAAAATGTCATAATTAAGAATTCACAATGAACTTCTAAATTAATTTCTTCCATTTCATTTGATATTGGATATTCATTTCGAGAAATCAGAACTGATTTTGGAAGATTTTCACCAGAGAAAACAAAAGAAACTCTTTTAACATGTGAATATCCTCTCAAAGAAATATTAAAAGAAAAACTTGAACTTTCATTCTTAGAAGTCCACAAGAAATCATTATATCCATAAAGAAGACCATCTGCATTTGGATTGCCTGGTGGGCTTTGAATAATAAAAGATGGCTTTTTGGAAAGCTCAATTAATGATTCATTCATTGGTTTTTCATACCATTTAAGTGGTTTTTCTTCAATGATTTTGTGAGGATTGAATGAATTATAAATATTTGTATAAAGGTTCATTAATTCATTTCTTTTTTGAAAGATTTTCTTCAGACAGCCATTGCAAACTACATAAGGTCTTACTCCTTCGTCATTGTTTTCTTCATGGTCTAAATTAATAAGAGATGGATAAGTTCGGCTTGAATAAACAATTCCTCCACTCTCCATCGATTTACAATCTTTGCAAAGACTGCACGAACTATCATTTGATGAAAACATACTTAATGGCTCATAGCAAGCAGGATTTAATCCTTTTTTAATTAATAGTAAATTCCTTTCATGCAATGGTATTTTTGTTGATAATCTTTGTATTTCTAGATCTAATATATCAACAATATCTATACTGGATTGTATTGTTCCTGATTGAATTTCATCCAGTTTATTTGAATAGCTTTTCATAACTCTTGGATGTGTTTTATGGAAGTTATCGCATGTATGAGTAACGCTGTATTCGTCATCATCCATGCAAACAATTTTAATATTTCCGAGACAAAATTTTTCGGAAACTTCGAAGTCAATTCTTATGAACCTGCAAAAATCAGCTGCACATCTTTCATAAGGAATTGAAGCATTCCATAAATCGCATTCCATTAAATCAAACTTAATCCATGTTGGACTATTAACTCTTGGCAAAGAAATGGCATTCATCCAAAGATACATTTCATCTAAATTATTTCCAGTTTTAATGGAAATTTGTGATGGAGGCAAATAATCATCTACAGCAGGAGTTAAAAGCATCAGAATTGCAGTAAATTGCATTGGACTTGGTAATGAAATAATAAGAGAATTTGATGTTTCTTCAAGTGAATTTGTTTCTACATCCAACATCTCTCCCAAAAGTGCTGATGAAAGCGTTTTCTTGGAGTTTAAACAATCATCAATTGACGGAACAATTGAAAGATGTAAAGGATCAATGATTGTTGAAATAAACTTTTGTTGGATATTCTTTGCAGTCCATTCTTCAATGATTGATTGTGGAGAACCAAAGAAGTTAACAAAATATCGTAATATAGATGTTGGTGTATCAAATGAAACACCATAGTTATCATTAGTAAAAGAACGAATTGAACTTTTCTTAATCGCATCTGTCCCTGAATACATAATAGAAATAGAATCTCCTGCATATATAAATGATCTTGCAATAAAAGCCATTTCATCATCACTTGCTCCCATCATTATTGCAAGATTCCTAGCATGAGCAAATGTAGCAATGTTTGTTCTATCTAAGGAATCAACACAATTAAATCTTAAAATTGTCCGTTGCTGTGTTTTGAAGGTTCTAAATCCAGTGTCAGAATCAATTTGATGCAGAAATCGGGATATGTCTTCAACGAGTTCTTTGTCTTGGAATCTTTTCATCATCTTATTAACATCATATTTATAGAATTGTATTTGAGGATGATCAATTCCTTGGATAGATAATTCATATGATTTCTGTAATTCGTCTTCATTCTGGTCAAGAAGCGAAATAATAACTACAGGTACTGAACCATTGTTTGCGCTGATCTTTGAGAAGTATTTGTGAGTCTGTGGATGACAAATTTCTTCAACACGATGGGAAGCTCCAAGAAAGCCTTGCTTAGTACTCCATTTGATTGGAACTGAACCTCGATACCATGTATTGACGTAAAAAGCATTCTCTCTTATAAAACATAAATCACATTCAACTTCATTTCCGGGATTTCCGTGATCATCAAGGCCGCGACTGATATACCTTGTACCAGGGTTTGCTGATGAGCGCCTAACAAAGTAGATTATGTTAGATGTTGAAGTTGATAAATACATTGATGAGCAATATCCTTGTAGAAGTACAACACATGCTTGTGGGACATCAGAAAATGCCTCTCGCCATCTGTTATTCCAGCAGAAATCTGGATTAAAGTCCCATGATGGTCTGTTAGATGGAAATGGGCGCGTAAGATCAAAAGATTCGCAAAAGTAATGATATTTTTGTATCGGAAAATCTTCTATAGCTTGAGGAACTTTGATCTCTTCACCCTTTGAATTTATGCAGTGGTATCTGATTGATTTTATCTCGTAAACAATATTCTTTGGTGGTATAAAAGCCACCGGATGCTTTTCTGTAATGATTCCTATAATGAGTGAATTATTTGAAATGAAACCACCTAATAAACCAACTCCGGTGTCTAAAAAATCGGATTTAAACGTCTCTGTTATTGTTCTAATGGCTGTGGAATGAGAGTTAAATATATCCTTGTTAGGTAATCCATGAAAAATAAACGTTTGGTTAAGATAATCTATTGTAAACACGTATGTGCATTTATCATTCTCAGGGCTAACTACAATATGGTTGTAGCCCTGTTTAGAAACAAGATATTGAACACTAGTTGTCGATTTCAAAAAAAAAATTGATAAAAAATTTAGCTATCAAAAATTGTGTTTATCTGCAACAATATGAAATTGAATGGGTTTATGCATGCTTTCTATTCGGTAAGATTTTGGGCTCTCAATTCTAAAATCTGGAAAAATTCCACCAATTGAGAGAAATGAATTCCCGGTATGAATTTATCTAAATTTTATACATTTTGAAAGAAACTTTCACTCATTTTGATATACTTAGTGCTGTGTATATCCCCATACATTTATTCACTTCAATGGCATCCTTATATTACTCTTTTATTTGGTTTGATTACACATTAAAGAGAAGTTTCTCGCCCACACACTAAATCTACACTGAGCAAAATAAGAAATTCTTTTACATCTTCATTATTACAAAATGCCATCATGTTAAGAGCTTTACATACAGATTTTAATCTAACTTCTAAATCTTCATCATGAGTTAAACGAATTTCTGCTATTTTTATATTACTTTTTAATAGGGCATATGATCATTTTAGTTTCCAACTGCACCTTTTGGATTTCTGGTTATTCTATTAAATACAGGATCTGTTTACTTCTTTTTCTCTATTAAGAAGGGGGTGCATTTTTATAGTCTACTCAGTAATTCTCTATGTCTCGATAGAATCTTTTCACTAATTTCTGATAGGAACAATGTCTAACTTCTATTGGCGCATCAAGCCGATAATGATCAAACTAAATCAACTGAAAATAACCAATAAACAGCCATAATTTTAGAGTTTTTAATACTGTTACACAGGATTTACACGCAAAAATGAGTGAAAACATTATGTAAGGATGTCAATTTGGAAGAAAAGTGAGAAAATTCCTAAAATGCTAAAAATGAATTTTCCAAACGTACTTTTTTATCTCATTTTTTTGATTTTGAAAAAAATTTGGAGAGAAGAACTCTTCGTTTTTGAATTTTGTCACGATGGTTTTAAAGTATATTAGACACATGTATTGATATTACTATTTTTGTATATTTTGAGAGAAAATCCCTAAAAAGTGAGAAAATCTGAGACGGTTTGAGAAAATATATAAACTATTGAAAATTTGAATTCAACTTCTAATTTGGAAAAAAGAAATTTGGAAAGAAGAAAATTCAAAAATCGAGATTTAGACTCAGTATCAAATGGAGAACAAAATGTTTCTTCATATGAAGGAAAAAAATTTTCTTGAGAAGAAATAGAGTTTTTAAAATTTTATTGTATGTAATGAAATAAACAAATATTAAAATTATTTTTTGATAACAAGAAAAAGAGGTAGGGCAACGATAGAAAATTTTTGGAAAAAAAGTTCGGAGATCTTAAACGTATCATATTCCCTGCATGGTTTGGTATCTTCCGCCATGCGTTGTGCCAAACATATTGACACTTTCCAATAATTAATTTATGGTATGAGTCACAGAGTTAGATTATAAAAAGAAAGTAAATAATTGCAATTAGAAATCATATATGTCGGAAATCAAATGTTGATGAGCAGAAACCTTTTACTCATCATAAAAGAGATAAATCACTAAAGATTTGTATACATTAAAATTTGATATTTGGTGCTCGAAAACTGTCTGATGGGACTCCTCCAAAATGAACCAATCTATCGCTGAGGACCAAATTAGATGATGTGGATGGTGTATTCTCTAATTCTAACTTAGGAAGAATGGGAACAAAACGAATGACGACAACAACATGTCAAACATAGATTAAATATCTATGAATCAATAAAGTATACGTGCATTGAAGGTGATAACGATCACTTGAGGCTTATAACTCTTTGACTAAATTATGCAATAATTAAATATAATCATTTTTATATTTTTATACTGATAGTAATTAATATACTATCCTGCTTAATAAATGGTATGATCAAATTTGTTTGAAAATTTAATTATGTATATGAAACTATGTCTTCTATATAAAAATCAAAATTTTCGGACGAACCTAGATTGAACCTTTATGAAAATCTATCATTTTTGTTAATTGAGTTAATATGAATCTTTTACATATGTATATATAGCATTGATAGCTTATATAATCATGGTTTATTCCATATTAACATATTTTTTCAGTTAAATTTGTTAATAATATCATGTAACAAATTAATTCAAGATTAGAATGTCTACAAAATGCTAACAAATAAGAACAAAATACGATTTCTCGACTTAAATTTTAATATGGAGTAGTTTTTCGTTTAAATCTAATTAAAAATGAATAAAAACTTATCTTGTACTATTTTCATTCAAAGATTTTAATAATGTAAATCATGCATTTTCATAATTCAGTACAGTTCTTTTTAGAATTAAAGTTGATGAGGATGATATTTGTGATTTAAAATAATTTGTTAATGTTCACCTTTTATTCATCACCTTGTGGTATGCCCTAAAGCAATAGCATTATCAATTCTGCTGAATTGATCAACTCAAAATTCCAAAAAAAATTCAAAATTTCAAAAATGAAATTAAACAATTTGAATTTTCACATGAAAAAATCAATTTCGAAAAAATTTGGAAAATCAAAGTATTTGATAATTAGTCAAATAATCAATTTACATCGTTTTTACTCATAAAAAACAACTAATTTTTGATTTTGATATCATATTTGATAAATACTCATTCCAGAGTTGACGTAATGTATTAATTATTGTTAGAGATATTGCTTTCGCAGCAAAATTCTTATTTCATGAAAGAAAAAAAAATGATTTTATTCCAACAAAAACAAGTAAACAGATGAATGGAAACGTACTATATTTTCATAAATGTAGTAATCAGCGTGTCGGCTTTTGTTTATCATGTTCGAGTCAAAATGTATTAACTTGTAATAAGAAATATTCGAAGATTATATGAAGTATTGAGCATTCTTTGTAGAAATATTTGTAATTCATTACTAACATATATAATAAAGTTGTTTTTTTTTCCTTATTGCAATAATTTTGTCTGATTTTAATAACTTTTCATGTATACGAGTTGTGTGAATATGCATCATAATATGCGTAAATATACTTATTTGCGACGAATAATGTGGTTGCATAATGGAGGTGCTAAATTTTGATTGTTAATATGGGGCTTTGGTATGTATAATCATGTTCTTATCTCAACGTAGGAGTATTGGTGCAATATGATTAAAATTTACGAGGTTGATCTTAAATTGAATAATTCTGGAGTATAAATCACAATGCAGCTAATTCTATGTTAAAGATAGATACAGATTGTAGTAATCAATTAGGGAGTACAAATTCATTCTTTCATTTCTGTCGTATTGAGCAGAAAGGAAGAGATCATAACCCTAGGAAAAAAAGCCCAAATTTGTCACTTTTCATAGTACGTTAAACTCAATTCGCTCGGCGAATGCCGAGCACACGTACTCATCATTCAACATAATATTCTCATTCTTTGGTTATTATAGTGCCAGACAACACAAGATTTCAAAGAATTACTTGAGTTTTCAATTAATCTTAATCCGATTTTAGATTTATCGAGAACTCCATCATCACAATCACATACTTCAGTGCGGTAACTACAATTATCCATATACAGAAGGAAGTTCTTTTCGAACAACTCATTTGGAGTCTGTTTTGGAAAGAACTTCTTTCTGTCCGACTTAATTTCATAGTTCCTGATCAACCAAAAGACAGAAACCACACACTATCTACTCAGGAAAGGAGTTCTTTCTAAATCTTCCTTAAATTGAGATTTTACGAGAGATAACCCTTCTATTGCACTTAAAAATGAACATTTTGATATCTTTAGTATCACACATGGTCATATATAGTATTTCATCTACATGAATACATTCATCTTTCGAAGTCTCTCATTAAATGGGAGGCTTCGAAAGATGAATCGTTTTATTCATGCAACTTTAAATCTCGAACACATTTAGAGAGTGAGTATATCATTTTATTCTTGTTTTGAGTTTATTCTGATTCAAAATTGCAGTGAAAACAGAAGTTCACACATCATATCTGAATGTGAGCTCATCTATACTTATACGATCTCAATACCTCCACTCTAAGCATAAGAGGTGAAGTTATATAAAAATTATCAGATGCGTTGAAGTCTCAAAAGTATTGCCTGAATGCTTGTTTAATATTTGTCCAAGTAGTTTCAATGAATAAATGTATTGTTTTTTATAATTTCGATTTATTTTTAGAAAATATTCAATATAACCTTTATTGTGTTATTTACATCTCATAAATTCTCTGTCTAAATCATATAAAAGCGCGTTTTACCCCTATGAATCAAGAAATTCATTCAATATTCATGGTATATTTATTAAATTTATACGATTTACTAATAATCAATATTATATCCTCATAAATAGCAATATATTTTGGTAATCTATGATAATCATATACAATATTTGAAATCAAATTTTCATTAGTTTAGGTTCCTTGTTAATAGTAAACCATTATATTTATTACTAATAATAAAATCTATGTGTCGTATTGAAATTCAATAAAATTACTTATTCGGTTCAAAAAAACAAATTAGATAAAATTTTTCTTTTTTTATGTAATTTTTGTTTTTCATTTTTCTCAAGATCCTAAGTTATGTTCTAACTTTTGACATTATATCCTATCATGCTAGGCTATATATTATAGCATATCCAAAAGGCAAGGAAATCTATCAGAGAAGCCTTTTTGACCTATCGTTGCCCTACCTCTCAAGAAAATTCCCAACAGAAAATATTTGAGACAAAGAAAAAAAGAAAATTGAAAAATATTACTCTCCTTTACATTTCATGAGATTTTCAATTTATTTTCATAAAATTGACAATTTTATACGTTTAGATGAAAATAAGTGATTTTGCTTGAAATAAAAATTATTGTTTGTTTACAGCTATCAAATAGATTTTTGCTATTTTGATTAAAATTTGTTAATCAAATTAATAATTTTTTTCTAAATATCTTAAATATCTGGATCACTCACTGATACGATGAATTAAACGATAAAAATAATACAAACTCAACTAAGTTTCCTGTCTTTCAACCAAAAAATATTATGCAATTTAAATTAAATTGTTTATTCAAAGATAAAACAAAGATAAAGTAATTATAATTATCATATACTTTATGAATAACTCTCTAATTGGATAAGATTTTCGTACAAATATTTTTATTAATATCGATAAGAATATGTTTACCTACTATCACCATATGTCGATAAACGAGAGTAGAGTGATTTTTATCATCGAAACTTTTTAAAAGCTGTAAGCAGGAAGTAATAATCTTGTTTTTTCTGAGTTAGTTGTAGAACTATTGATGCCCGAGTTATCATTGTGATGCAGAAGGATATCAATGTACTGACTGAAGGATATGAATTGAATTGAATTTTATTGAATTTCAATTTGATCAAAATTTGTTGAAATGATATGAATGTGTCAACTTCTGTATCATTCTCCTTCACTCCTTCCTTATTCTTTCGAGAACGAAGCTAGCTCAGCTTTCGCTGAGCGAATTGACACTTTTCATGCCCTAAACGTACATACTCTCAAATTTATCGAAAAAATTAATACCACCTAAACTAGTATATTCTTATTTTAAATATGATATTATCCTTATATTCCACACTAAAATTCATTTAAATCAACTTTTAAAAAAGTTCGAATCCTGCGCGTCTCACTTTTTAAATTTTCCAAATGGAAAATTATATTCTCCTAAAGTGAAAACAATTTTCCAAATTGACTTCCTTACATTATGATTTGAATGAGAAAGATTATGACAAATTTCAAAATTTATGATTTCGTTTTTAGCATTTTTCGCCACATGCAGAACAGATCCAGCAGAATATATCCGCTTTGATGTTGTTCCTGGCATTGGTGAAAAAGATGTTTCAAGAGATGACGATCCAATGCCAACTTCGAAATACGCATATGTAACTTACTACTCAGGAGATGATCACTGGAGTCATTACTTGCTCAGCGTAATTGTCCTTGGTCAAACGCTCGCATCTCTCAGTCCTAAATACGATAGAGTTCTTTTAATTCCATCAAAAATGGAATTTGAAGAATCTGTTCTTAAAACAATAAAAGAATCATGGACTCATATTATACATAGGCCTTTTATTAAATGGCCATGCGAAACTAAATTAGAAGATCCAAGAGATAATCATATTTGGTTTAAATTACAAATTTTCAGCCTTTATCAATATTCGAAAGTCTTATATATCCCACCAAATGCATTAGTTGCTAAAGATCCATCAATTGCTTTTTCATTTGTTACACCTTCTGCTCCATTGGATTATCAAACTTGGGGATATTCCCATCTTGGTGCGGTTAGGAATCTTGACTTCCTAGTAGTCACCCCCAGCCAAACTACACTCGACAACGTTACTACGAAAGGCTGCAACTGGATTCATCAACCAGTTGGATATTCTCGGGAAATTAATCAGGCATTCAGAGGTGACCGCAATAAGAATATTGGTCCATATGATAACGGTCTCATTGAAGAATTTTATTTCGGAAAATTCACAACAATTCCAAGTTTTTATCAATTCGAGTTAGTTAAATCGAAAACTCCACTAAAAAAGACAGACCCGCGTATAGTTACATACAGATTCCCACAAGGAACTAAGCCATGGGACCAGGGACCAAACCAACAATCCGAAATTATTTCAGACGCATGGATTAAAGTTGCCGTTCAAACACACGAAAACCTCAACCTTACTATTGATCTTGCGCGCTATCAACTTTCAAAACCAACGCTTGAAGGCTCTGATTTCATTGCGAAAAAACTTTCAAAGCCACTCCCAGTTCCGAAGTACGTAGTTTACGATTTTTACGATGAATTTGAAGAAACAAACGTAATAAGAGAAATTTTGAGATACTCATCACTTGTTATTGGCGCTGTCAGCCTTGTTGCCTTTGCAATTGCTGATGCACCAATGTCTACGAGAGATCAACAGGAAGGCGGACTTATGTCTGAATCTGAAGATAATTAATTTTATTGAATTCAAAAAAAAAAGTTTTTCTATTGTGTTGTTATGATAAAATTTTGTATTATTAGTTATATTACATTCATCATCTCCTTATCTTTGTTTTACCAGATTTTCATCACTTTTACCACCCCTCTAAAGCTGGGGATACTGCCTATCGTTGTTGGTAGCTATTAAATAGAATCACCAAGTGTATTTTCCCCATAAATTACAAGGGTAGTGGTGAAAGTGAGGAAAATCTGTGTAATTTTGAAATTGATTAATATAACAAAATTAATCTTAAAAAATAATTTGAAATGTCAGTGTATTAAGAATTTATCTATAAAGGCCTTACATATAAATAAAATTATTTTTAATATTCAAAAATTAATGGAATTTGGTTCAAAATTTTCGATTATTTATAAACTATGCGCATTTTCATGCACTTTCAGGTTCCAGAATTTTTTCAAATTTCATTTTTTGAAGTTTAAAAATAAATTTTTGTTCTTTATTTTTAAAATTTTGAATTTTTTTGGAATCCTAAAACTTCGAAACATCAAATATATATAGTGCCAATATAATCTATCTATAAAGACCTCTCATCTACATACAAAAAATTTGAAATTATCAAGAAATAGCAAATATGATAGTTTACAAAGGACTATTTATCATCAAGTAGGTAGATAGTACTTATGGTATGGGGATATGTCACTGTATTTCCAGTTTTCTCACGGAATTTGATAATTTGTCAAAAATACTCAATATACCTTTAAAAAAACAAATAACAAACAAGTTTTTATTCATCACCTAAAATATTTTCAACTAAATTTCTAAATTGATCAATTTTTTCAATTAATTCTTCATTATCATCAATAGAATCCAGAACTTCTTCAATATCAACTTCGTACCTTATTTTGTTTGCTATTTCTCTCTGTAAATCACTTCCTTGACCAACAGAATTTAACAAAATATTGTAAATATCAATAGATGCATTAATTATATCGATATCCTGGTCATCTATCATTGAATTAATCAAACCAATGAGATCAGGATTAAGAATATCAGTCAATAAATCAATTTCATAATAACAACAAATTTTTGACAAAATTATTAAAGAAGATTTCTTCAAAATATATGAATACGAGTTCATTAGCGCAGAGAATTTAATGTTTTTGACCTTCTCAGCAATGATCTTCATCTCATTTTGATTTGGACATATATTTATAAAATTTGATAAAATATTTGTTGAAAAAATCAGTCTATCATCATTATAATTGGCAGTTATTATATTAACAAGTGCTTTTAGTGTTCCAAACCTTTTCATTTCGGAAAAAAATTCAGGATATTTTGATATTTCTTGTAAAATGCGAAGAGAACTAATTTGGTTATGGAATTTACCTACTTCTGCTTGTATTGTCAGATGATCAACTAAATGTTCTTCCAAAATAATCGATTTCGCTGGACTTTCCTTTAAAAAAACTAATTTCGATAAAACTTTTAGTAATTTATGGAATTTTGACCTTCCACTATATAAACATGTATCTACTGCAAACTTTAGAACGATTCTTTCCTGATCTGGATTGATTTGAGGACCTTCTAATAAAGATATATAAATATTCAAACAAGAATGAGGAAAATCATCAGATAATGAGTTAATCGATGTTATTAAAGTATTTGATGTCAAAAAGTAATCTCGAAAACATGTTGATGTCGATAATAAATTTGAAATTAAATTTAATATCAATTTGTGATCATTATGATTTTTTTGGTTAAGTAAATTCGATAAATTTGTGAGAAACATCATTGAAATGCTTGAATTAATTATTTGGATTTGAAATTCGTTCATATCTGGATAAAAAAGATTCTGAAAAACTCTGATTGTTTCTGGTCTTAACTGTTGTATGGAAAGTAAATCGATTATGCATTTAAATCCTTTTTCTTCGAGTAATGTTATCATTTGATTTTGTAATGTTGGTAATAATTCATTAATATATAAATAACATTCACTTATTATGCTAATCATTTCGTTTTCAGGCATGTTTCTGTTAGTTTGTTGAATTGTTATGTTATTTAGAACAAAATTCAAACATTCTTCTTGATCTGGAGTCAATTTAACAGATTGAAGAGATATTTCATTCATTGGTTCATGTATCCTTTTACTTTCTACAACTTTTAATAGATCACTTTGTGCTGAAAACTTCTCTTTATAATCCATTTAGAATTTTTTCTTTTTTTGACAGAGGAACTTCCTCGAAGTACTTTTATTGCTCAACAATGACTCGAAGAAATTAAGTATTGATATGATCCATTTGTACCATTTAAGCTGGCCAATTCTGGTTAATAACCGCTCGGAAACGGACCCCAAGGTAAAAAAATCCAGTTTATATGGTAATAAAAAATTTTTATTTTTTGATTTTCAAAATATTTTTGGAGATATAAAATTCGTTTCCCGTATAATTTTCTGTTGCAATATACATCTACTATTCATGGCGGTGCTTACTATGCTAATTTCGTGCGAATCTCATGTATTTTTTTATTACCAATTCTGGTGTTCTTTCCCCATTTTTCCCTCTCATTTTATTTACAAAACATCTCAATTTTGTAAAAAAAGTTCTCAATTTTCCCCATACCACACATGTTTTCTGGGAATAACAAGAGGTTCTCCATTATATATGGGTAAGCAAAAATTTCTCCTAGGATGACTCAGAGTGCTTTAACAATACAATTTTCCTAAGATAAAAGTTTCTTCCACAAAATTAGATTATCCTTTGATAAAAGAAGGCATTAATTCAAATATATCAATGAAATCTCAACTATATTCACTTCATATTAGCCAAAACCATATTAACTGCAAATAACTTGGTTTTGTCATTGGCCGGAGGCGGCGATGCGCCCGAATGGCTAGCGCTGCCGCCGGATGCCCGAATTTTTTTTTGAAAAAAATTTTATTACCAGTTGAGTTTCCCAGATTTTAATGGATTTAACCAGAAACGACCACCTTAATTATGATAACATGTGACATGAAAATAATTGTCAGATTTTATCAATTAATTCGATCGGTGCGCTGCGCTAATAAGACTCTGTAGATAGATGCCAGAAATGCTTCAATTGATATCATAGGTATAGTTATATTTAAAATCACTGTGCTCAAGTCATTATCATGAAATTTCATCATGAAAAATATGATATATAATCTCTCCCCATATTTTTGGGGTACTCTCAATTCCAAATGTCATATATCAATATACCTAATCTTTTCGTACTTGCTCAAGGGGGTAAATATATATAAATATTATTGTATTTTATTTCTCTCGATTTAGATTTTGGCTCCACTCACTGAGTGAGTCTCACTCCTTATCCATGGATTAGCAAACTTAGTCTAATTTTTCAAATTTTTCTCTTACAAATTTATATCTCAAGATGCTAAGTTAGGATTCCTTTCAGACTCGTACACCTATACACTATGGGACCTAACTAACTTATATTCCAAGTCCTGGGCGAATCGGATTGTAACAAGTTTCGCCTTACACTCTCTAATTTCAACTTGCAGAATTTAATAGTAGTGAAGAAGCAGCCCAAAAATTTTCGTTCACATGGTTCAAAAACATGGGTTCTTATATAAGACGCCATTCTTTCTTTTTCTGATATTTTCGAAGATGAATTTTATTAGAAATAAAACAAATAGTTCTTTTTCTAGTGGAATTGGGAACACTAGAGCTCCTGAAGAACAGAATGACTGCCAGAATCTTCTGATCAGCAGAGGTCCAAATGGTAAAAGGCCTATGTAGATACAGATTGAGTAACTTCAAAGCTCCATTTTGCAGAGATTGTGAGCTTTGGAGCTCCTCAGGCGAAGAACTGCAAAAGATTTAGCCATAAAATTTAATAGATCTTAGAAAATACAGATCAATCTATTAATTTAATGTATCCCTTTATCTATATTCAAAAAATCAAATGATTTGGAATGATTGACAATAAATTATATCCGCAATCTTTATGGTCTTTGTTTTCTACATGTGTAACATAGTATTTTTTTTCTTCTAATGAATTTAAGGGTATTTTATATGGTAAAATGTAAATGTGTCTTTTTTAAAAATTGATAATGTCTGACCATGACGTTCATCAAAAAGAATACAACAAATTACGAAGTACTTACAAATACTATATCAATTCATATCTTGCATTGTATCAGCTAAAAACGGAAAACGAAGAAGAATTAAAGTCAATTTACAAAATGATCAAAACAGAACTGATCGATTCAAAGAAATATCCTCCCCAAATAATTATGCGAGACATTTTAGATATCATTCTGTATAATAATCGCTATACAAAGTCATATTTATTTCTTGCCAAACTCATATCTGATGATTACCATGTTACAGAGGTCAACAGAGTTTCAACTATTCCAAACTTCTTGTTTTATAAAGAATATGGAATTAAATTAGACAAATCTGCCGATTTTGAAAAAATTAACTCAGAAAATCTTGAAGTTCTTACAGGAGATACAATTTACAGAACAATTGTGTATAATGACCTTGAAAGATTCATATACTTCACTGAAAGAGATGAATTTGATGAAAATCAAAAACTTGAAAGCAGTTTATATCCATATTCTAAAGAAGGATATACATTACTTGAATTATGTTGTTACCATGGAGCAGTTGATTGTTTCAAGTTATTAAGGACGAAATTCAGCTCAGAAATAACTCGAAAATGTTTACAATTTTCATTTTTGGGAGGAATTCAAGAGATTATGAGTGAATGTTTGAAATATCAAACCCAGAAGAAGAATGCATGGAATATGCAATTATTTCACACAACATTGATTTTGTTACATTCTTGATGAATGAATACAATATAGAAATCAATTTAGATTCATGTGGATTTTGTCAAAATCTTGAAGCATTTTTAGTTTATTTCGATCAAACTAATGATATAAACAAATGCTTTGTTTATACACCTATATTTAATATTCCATCTCTTTTCGAATACTTCCGTTTACATGGCGCAAATATCAATGTAAAAGATGAAGACGGAAAAACCGCACTTCATATTGCAGCAAAGAATAATAATAAAGAAACTGCCGAAGTTCTTATTTCACATGGTGCAAATATCAATGAAAAAAATAAAGATGGAGTAACCGCACTTCATTATGCAGCAGAGAATAATAATAAAGAAACTGCTGAAGTTCTTATTTCACATGGTGCAAATATCAATGAAAAGTAAAAAATGGACAAACCGCACTTCATTATGCAGCAGAGAATAATAATAAAGAAACTGCCGAAGTTCTTATTTCACATGGTGCAAATATCAATGAAAAAAATAAAGATGGAGTAACCGCACTTCATTATGCAGCAGAGAATAATAATAAAGAAACTGCCGAAGTTCTTATTTCACATGGTGCAAATATCAATGAAAAAAATAAAGATGGAGTAACCGCACTTCATTATGCAGCAGAGAATAATAATAAAGAAACTGCTGAAGTTCTTATTTCACATGGTGCAAATATCAATGAAAAGTAAAAAAATGGACAAACCGCTCTTCATTATGCAGCAGAGAATAATAATAAAGAAACTGCCGAAGTTCTTATTTCACTTGGTGCAAATATCAATGAAAAGTAAAAAAATGGACAAACCGCACTTCATATTGCAGCAAAGAATAATAATAAAGAAACTGCCGAAGTTCTTATTTCACATGGTGCAAATATCAATGAAAAAAATAAAGATGGAGTAACCGCACTTCATTATGCAGCAGAGAATAATAATAAAGAAACTGCTGAAGTTCTTATTTCACATGGTGCAAATATCAATGAAAAGTAAAAAAATGGACAAACCGCACTTCATTATGCAGCAGAGAATAATAATAAAGAAACTGCCGAAGTTCTTATTTCACATGGTGCAAATATCAATGAAAAAAATAAAGATGGAGTAACCGCACTTCATTATGCAGCAGAGAATAATAATAAAGAAACTGCCGAAGTTCTTATTTCACATGGTGCAAATATCAATGAAAAAAATAAAGATGGAGTAACCGCACTTCATTATGCAGCAGAGAATAATAATAAAGAAACTGCTGAAGTTCTTATTTCACATGGTGCAAATATCAATGAAAAGTAAAAAAATGGACAAACCGCTCTTCATTATGCAGCAAGTAATAATAATAAAGAAACTGCCGAAGTTCTTATTTCACATGGTGCAAATATCAATGAAAAGTAAAAAAATGGACAAACCGCACTTCATTATGCAGCAGAGAATAATAATAAAGAAATTACAGAAGTTCTTATTTCACATGGTGCAAATATCAATGAAAAAAATAAAGATGGAGTAACCGCACTTCATTATGCAGCAGAGAATAATAATAAAGAAACTGCCGAAAATCTTATTTCAAATGGTGCCGAAGAATAATTAAGCTGGCCGATTCTGGTTAATAACCGCTGGGAAACGTACCCCAGTGTAAAAAAATCTTGTTTATATGGTAATAAAAATTTTTTTATTTTTTGATTTTCAAAATATTTTTGGAGATATTAAATTCGTTTGAAACTATATGAAAAGCAGACTTTTTTTCCCGTACACCCTCTCAATTTTTTTCCCGTTTTCGTACTCATATGGTATTATTAGTGTATAATAATCATAGAGCTTTCGCTATACTGTAGCATTAAAATATAGCTGTATTGTGATTATCTCCTTGAATTTGAGAGGATTCTAAGTTTAATGTCAAGATAATCTCAATTGAATTAAGCATGGAAGCAATATATTTACTATTGTCTGATTGCTCATGATATATCTATACTTGTTTTACAAAAATTTACGAAATCTAATCAAAATACTGTATCACAGGAAGTTGAATAATAATAACTTTTAAAAAATTGTGTTTTTATATGGTTACAATTGGTAGTCTTTATAATTTTGAGTGGAAGCTCTATGTTTACTCAGAAATATGAAATATAATCAAGATTGAAGTTTGAATATAATTATATGAGTGTAAATAAGTCAATAAAAGCATTTGCTGCATACTATATCTCTAGGTTCCTGCAAGTACGTACTCAGATCGGGAAAATCTCTCACTTTTGTTCCGCAATGTGACGTTGGGAACAGAGTACATATTTGCAATATACTGTCATATTATATTGCAATTATAAACCCCTTTCGAAGTAAGCTAATTTTTTTCATATCTCAATTTTGCATTAGAAATTAGATTATCGAAAGGAGGTTACGAGTACAATGTTATACCATATAATATTACAATCGTAAACTCCTTTCTAAAGTATCTTCTTTACAATATAATTTAATTTTCTCATTCTTCTTTAAACTAGTAAATTTTATTCACAATTTAATCTAAATCATAAATATTCATGTTTTGTAGAAACGCTTTTTAATTCAAATCGTTTTTCCTTACCAAATTTTATATTTTTTCTTTTTATTTTAAGATTTTTGAATTTTTTTTTGGAATTTTTTATTCAATTTCAATGTAATTTAATTCTCTTTCATATGTATTATAATTTTATTCATCTTTAAATTTTTAATTTTTGAATACATGCGATAATTATTCATTCAATTTTTAAATGAATGTTTTGATGGGATGAGCTTACTGATAATAGACTCATCCCATCAAAACATTCATTTAAAAACTCTGGCCTTCATCGAGGCCAGAGCTCACAATTGATCTCCTCAGAGCCAAGTTCCTCGACGGTCGTCCTCATTAGGTTCGATCCGAAAGGAACTTGGCTCTGAATGAAATTCACAAGCTCTGGTCTCAGGAAATGCCAGAGCTTCGCAAACAATCCTTGGGGCTGGTTCCCTCAAAGACCGCCCTGATTCGGGGCGGCCGGAGAGGAATCCAGTCCCAAGAGAGCGCCCATACGAAGCTCTGGCCTTAGCAGTGGCCAGATCCTGCAAATACAATCCTCAGGGCCGAATTTGAGGGAGATCGTCAACATCATTGATGATCTCCCTCAAATTCGGCCCTGAAAGAAAGAAATACACAGATTCTGGCCTCAGAAAAGGCCAGAGCTTCGCTTACAGTCCCCAGAGCCGGCTTTCCCAAATGCCGCTCTGACCCCGGGCGGCAGGCGAGGAATCTGGCCCTGGGATACTTACCAAACGAAGCTCTGGCCACAGTAAAGGCCAGAGCCTGCAAGATCAATTCTCAGGGCCGATTTTGAGGGAGATCGTCCACATTATTGGCGATCTCCTCTCATATCGGTCCTGAAGGACTTCAAAATACAGGCCCTGGCATCAGCAGAGACCAGGGCTTCGCTTACAGTCCTCAGAGCCGAGTTCCCTGAGATTGTTCAGATCACGGACACTTCTCAACGTAACTCGGCTCTGAGAAGCAACAAATACTAAGCTCTGGCCTCAGCAAAGGTTCAGGGCCTCGCTTACAGTCCTCAAGGCCGGATTTCCCAAATGCCGTCCTGACCTAGGGCGACAGGAGAGGAATCCGACCCTGGGAAACAGCAAACCCGAATTTCTGACCTCAACATGTGTCAGAGCCTGCAATACTAATCCTCGGGGCCGAGTTTGAGGGAGATCGCCCACATTATTGACGATATCTTCTTATCTCGGCCCTGAAAGACATACAGATGCAGGCTCTGACCCTTGTTGAGGTCAAGACATCTCTATAAAGGGCAATTTTTCTATGTTCTTTCATTTTCTGAAAGATCATGGTGAAAAGGCTCTCTGATGCTTTATTGTTTCAAAATAGTACATGCTTGAGATTATAATTTTGCAGAAAATTTATTGATTGCATGCGAATATTTGATACATGTAAGGTATATCCTAAGATAAAAGTTTCTTCCACAAAATTAGATTATCCTTTGATAAAAGAAGGCATTAATTCAAATATATCAATGAAATCTCAACTATATTCACTTCATATTAGCCAAAACCATAATCTCAGTGGTTTACCTCAAGATTTTTTATCCCAGATTCTATAAATCTCAATTGTATGGCCTAGTGTAAGGATATATCGATATATTACAAATATTAAGCCCCGCCTATTAATATCATCAATATCTCTTGACTTAATTTCGCTTTTTACATTTTTTTTATTGATCAAGCCTAACATTTCAGAGATTAAATTTAACAGGTTTAACATTTTAAAAAGCTGTTAAATTATCAATTATGAGCGAAATTTAATAATGTATATCATATTGAGTAGGTTTTTGGTATATATAAATTCGAATCTATAATATATGAGATGAGAAATGTAATATTACTCTTTAGAAACTCTTTTGCTTCATACTTATTTTTCCATCATATGCGCAAAATTGAGACTTCGTCTCAATTTTGAGCATATGATGATATTCTTGCATTGAATTTGTGTGCGCCATGAAAAATAATATACGCAAAATTAATGGTTTACCAATTTTGAAACTATTCACAAAATTGAAAGATGACGACGATCAAAAAAATATTGCTGCTTGGATCTTGTAGAAAGAAGCTTGAATTTAGGGATTAAACCTCAAGCTTGTCATCTAACACCCATTTCCTTTACTATGCAGCAGATATTTAGTCCCATTTCCAATTTTTTTTTGTCTTCATTATTTAATCAAGATCAAAAAGTCAAAATTAAACAATGACATATGGCCAGAATAGTATCAATTTTCACATTGTTCATTTAATGGCAGAGTATTTCCCTTCTAGCCATAATTTTGAAGAAAATGCATGAATAAAAACTTTTTTTAATCAATTTTTGAATCTTTTTAAATCGTAAACCATTGAATTTTGCGCATATTATTTTTCATTGCGCCCACAAATTCAATAAGCAAGAATTGAATAATTTGATCGAAAACATTGAAATAGAAACAAAATATTTTATCTAATGATTTTTAAATCACTAATACTACTATTTTATATGTATCTTTCTAATATTTAATTAAAAACTTGGAGAAAAGAGAATAAACAAAGGGAAAATAAGAAGAAAAGGAGAAAATAAAGAGAAAGAAGAGAAGGAGGAAAAAATTAGGAAAAATAATAAGGGCATATTTCATATTAACTGCAAATAACTTGGTTTTGTCATTGGCCGGAGGCGGCGATGCGCCCGAATGGCTAGCGCTGCCGCCGGATGCCCGAATTTTTTTGAAAAAAAAAATTTATTACCAGTTGAGTTTCCCAGATTTTAATGGATTTAACCAGAAACAACCATCTTATACCATTCTGCTCTTCATATAAATTCTCAAAAGATAAAATTTTATCGAATGATTTTTCGATACAATGAACTTACAACTCCACTTGCACTTACGAAATAATTTATGAAATGAAAACTCTAATATTTCTCACGAAATACATTTCAGATTTATTTTACAAATGTATTTCATCTCCTATCATTATATTTGAACTGAATATTCTAAACAGTTAATCATTGGTGACATGAAATGGGTAGTTGTACAAATATAATGCCTCATAATAAATCCTGATAATCATTGACTCGGTTTGTGCTGCACGCCGATAAAAATAAAAAATAAATCGTTTGCAAGCATTCAAATTTTCAGAACTTTTATTTGGCCGGCCAGTTACATTTTTTATCGTTATAAAATGTTAGGTATTCTATTTTCTCTTTTTCTCTCACATGAAATGAAATTGACATTCATTCATCTGACAGAATCAACTTTCAAGCGACAAGTTTTGAATAGACCAAAGCATCAAGTCTGGATGGTCATGTTTTATAGAGCTGATGATTCAGCATGCAAACATGTTACTGACAAATTCTTGAACGCAAGTCAAATCGCTGAAGGAGCGCTTAAGTTCGGTATTGTTGATCTTCATAAGTATCCATCCTTCGCAGAAAAGTATGATATTAAACAAGTTCCAATGATACGCATCTTTCACTCAAACGGCGATGTAGAGTACACAGGAAAGAGAGATTCCAAAGGATTTGTAAACACAGGACTTAATTATATTCAAGATATATCCCTTGTTGCTGATGAATCTTGGATTGATTCATTCTTACAGACCCCGTCAGCTATATTTTTCACAGACGATGTGAAAATAAAATCAATATGGAGCAGTATTTCTACATATTTTCACGGAAAATCAGTCAGAATTGGAGTTTGCAGAGATCATGATTTGGCTGAGAAGCTCGGAGTTACAGATTTCCCATCTATTCACTTCTTCAATGGTACTAACCGTGTTGAATATGATGGAAAAATCTCTTTCCCTGCTATTAAAGACGAAATTGAGAAGTTTTTCGCCAAAAAACTTGAAAACATCGTTGTCAATCCAATGTCAATCATGAATCCGTCATCATTTACAGAACAATGTTACGGCGGAAAGACAAATTGCGTTCTTGCAGTTGCAAATCAGGTTACACCCGAATTTGTCAGCATACAAAAGCTCTACGCCCAACACAAACTGAAATGGTTTGTCGGAAAAAGCAAATTACCCCATCATTTCATGGAAAAAATGGGTGGATTTTGGATTTATAACCCAAGAAAGGACGCATACATCCACGTAGACAAGATCGGAGATCTACAGCCAGCATTGGATAGAATAATGGATGGAATGGGAAAGTGGCAAAAAGCTGCTGCATTTGAAAACAAAGAACTTTAAATTTTTTCTAATTTTGTTTTTAATATTATCGATTAAAGTTACTAATTATCATTATTTAACACATGTTTAAATGCTTACAGATTTACTTGAGTTTTTCTTTAATTTTTTGTAATTTTTTAATTAGAATCTTCAAAAAATTCAGTATATGCCTTATATATGGAATAATTACGAGATAAAAAGTTAATGATGAATTTAGATTGTCACAAATTTGCTTTAGTGATCATGTTCAACCTTGATTCATTCACTATATTATATAAATGTAAATATATAAAGATTCGACTAGCTATAATAATTGGAAATTGGGGAAGCATCATCACATAAGCAAATATAAAAATCAGAAAGTTTTTAGATCTAGATCATTCCTTTTCATTGTGTTATCTTCTCCAATGCCCATGAAAACTCTATATATTATACAGGACAATATAAACACACATGTTTACTTTAAAGAATTTTGTAATTTTGACACTAATTTCTAACAACTTTCGCCAATACATTGTTACATAAAAAAATGTTCGATAAGATCATAAAACGCATATATTTTTAGTTCTTGGCCTCCTATGTCGTCTTGGAAAATCAGAAATTGATTGAAGATGAATTTTAATGAAAAGTGACAAATTTTATGTTTTCAATTTTCTCAACTCTTACTGCTTCCGATACTGTGGAAAACAGAAAATTTGTTGAATTTAACAACAATTTTACAGGAAGTTGGGAAATTGGCGGCGTTTCTAAGAAAATCGGAAACGATTTTTACTTAATCGATAATTCAACTCTTTCCTATGGAGGAATCTACTACACTAACAGACTCTCAGCGAAACAATTTGAAATAAAGATAGCTTTACGATACATTCCTGGAGAAAAATCAACAGGAATGAATGCAATTTGGATTACAAAAGATTATCATCAAGAATCACAAGTATTCGGCGGTCCATTATCTTTTAATGGTATTGCCTTATTATCATCTTACAACGGAACGCATTTAGACACAGAATTCCGCAAAAATGACAAAAAGGGAAGATTTGTTTCATATCAGTACTTCCCATCATCCTTTATTCCAGTAGTAGATAACAAAGTTACGTACAGAATTGTTTATAAAGACGGAATAGTTAATGTATACATAACTTCTGGCGATAAAGAGACCCACGCCTTCTCGCAGACCCCGATTTCTGATATCAGGAAATACTTTTTGAGTATTACAGGCCGCTCTGCAAAGAAAATTACTCAAATTATTGTAGATTCAGCCGAATACAACACTTTGTTTAATGATGATGAAATATTAGTAAAGACAGTTGCTGAAATGCACATAGAAGACGATGAAGATTCAGAACCTAAACCTACACGCACTCCAAAGCCAAATCCTACTCCAAAACCAGTCGATAGTTATACATACGAGGATGTACTCGATGAAATAAGTATATTCGACATATTCTCTACAGCTTTGACTACAACGGCCGATATGAGGCAATTAATTTGGAATGAAATGGTTCCATTCTCAGATGCATGGCAGAGAAGGTCAATAGGAATATGTAGGAAGTCAGGAAACCTCAGGGCTTCGTTATTGAGCACATTAAATTCAACATATCAACAGATGCAGGAATTGAAAGACCAAATCGAAATGGACTTGGTTTATCTCCGTAATGACATGCAGGATATCGAATCAGAACTCTACCACGGCGTTTCACAAGGTTATCACCTCAATCAGAAACTTAGAGAAGAAAAATATTCTGCTTCTTCAGGAGTTAGTCATACACTGTTGGTTTTCGGCATCGTTGAAGCCGTTCTTGTTATTATTGGTATATTTATTAAGATTTTCTGCGATGGTTATAGGTCCCCGCCTTTATATCGTAAATAAATTATTGTTTTATCTTTACTGATCTAGTGTTTTCTTTATTAACGCTTCTCTTACAAAAATTCAAAATTTATCATAAAATCTTGTTCAAATATGTATCAAATATGTTAAAATTTTAGACCGTAGAAAAACTAAAATAAATATGTATCAAATATTGATATCTTTAAATTCTTCATTGTTTTTTTGTAAATTATTCAAAATCTGAAAAATCATTTTTCCACATTTTTTGAGAATGCTACATTCAAAGCGAAAGTTCCATCTTTCCACTTCTGCTTGGAAATTTCCAATTAACAAAGAAATTTGAATATTGAATTCATTCATTTTTTGTTTGAAAATTTTGCTATACATCCAATTTGATAAAAAAAATTCAATAGCACTGATTCCAAATCCAAATTTCCATAAATTATTACTAATGTGATGCAAGGGTTAGGCAAATTACAAAGTTTTCTCTCGATTTCCAAATTCAAAACAATGATTTTCTCTAAATCCAACTCTTTCGATTATTTGTTTTGTTGCTTTATTGCACACTATTTATCTTTTCAATACCATATTGATTTCCTTGATTCCAATAATTAAAATTGTCAATCAAATACAACCTTTCAGATACCTCTAAAGGTGAGGTTAAAGTATATATTGATAAGCCATACGAATATACATTTGAATATCCATGTACATCAACTTCTGACTGTACGCATTACGACTTAAATTTTTCACCAGGTATATATTTACTTGAAGTCTGGGGAGCACAAGGAGGTGGTTACATGTCTGAAAATGGTGGGGCAGGAGGCTATTCAAAAGGCATTTTAACGCTGAAAAACGAGACACGAGGATTTTTATATATCGGTGGAAAAGGAACAGCAATTAAAACAAGCGGAAAACAAATGGGAGGATTCAATGGTGGCGGATATAGGTATTATTATGATTATAATTATTATGGTGCTGGAGGAGGCGGCGCAAGTGATATTCGCCTTGAAAAAGACTCATTTACCACTCGAATAATAGTGGCTGGTGGTGGAGGGGGTTCTGGGCATGGAACCAGTGCTGATCCTTCTGCTTCAGAAACAACTCATAACGGAGGAGGTTCTGGAGGAGGTTATAAAGGTGGTGATGGAACATTACGTCCTAGTTCTACAAGTGTAGCTTATGGTGGCACTCAAATAAATCCGGGAGATGGAGAAAAATATGATTATCGTAGTAAAGCAATATTCGGAAATGGCGGATCGTATACTTGCACCTCATGCTCTACTCCTGGCAGCGGAGGTGGAGGAGGTTGGTATGGAGGCGCTGCATCTGGCTGTTGTGGATATAGCGCTGCAGGAGGTTCAGGATATGTTCTGACTTCGACTTCATATAAACCAAATGAATATGTATATAAGAGAGAATATTTTTTGATGAAAGCATCAATGAAGAGTGGCATCAGATACGGGAATGGTGCTATTAAAATAACAATATTAGATAATGTTGATATTGAAAATGTTAAAATTCAGGGTTGCGGCCTAACTGGTGTTTCTTATTCACGAATTGCTTCACTTATAACTTCACCTTCAGTTGCATAGCATTTCTTGATTTTTTTGTCGTAAAATAAAAATCATATTTTCACAAATCATTTCTTTGCTAATCATAATATAGAGTCTCAGTTTTCTACATATGCATGCCATGTATAGTCTTTAGCTAGAGTCTATATTTTTATTCAAGAAATTTCTTGGAGCTAAAAATACGTTATTTTTTAAATGCAGTGCAAACTTCGCCCCCTTGAAGCTATTTGCGTTGCTGGTGCAGTCGAAGATTGTTTGGATAGGCTTCGCGTCTTGCAGAGCCTTACTCCATCAGTTATTACTCAAAGAGATGAATTATCAAATATTCTTGGAAATACAGTTGCCCAAATTATCAAAGAACAAAAGGTTTGCGAAGAAAAATACGAAGTATTAGTTAAGCGTAGATCTGAGCTTAAATCTCTTTCAAACAAGACAAGATATAAAAAGAACCAAGATAAGATCGAAGCTCAGGCTCACGAACTTCAGGAATTGACACGCGAACTTTGCAAGCATCTTCGTGAATCTCCAAACGTCTCTCAGAACTTGCTCAAAATCCAAACAGAGAGAACAGATTTAATTACTCATTTCGAATCCTTTAGAAAGGAGCTCCTTTCAACATACTCATTCCAAGGAATCTACGAATGGGCATCTGGCCGCACAACAGCATACAATAAAATGATGCAAATCATGCAACAAGATAAAGATATGCAAAAGGAAATTAAAGACCTTGATGAAAAAATCCGTAAGACTGAAGCTGAGATGGCTCGTCAACTTGAAGACCTCGATATTAAGATTAAGGCCTCCAAAGAAGAATTACAGCAAACACAAGCAAGAATTGAGGACGTAAAGGCAAACAGAGATGACGAGCGCCAGGCACACCTTGAAGCACAGCAGAATATGAACGAATTGAACCAATCCAAGCTTACACAACAAGTTATTAACGCTAAATTACAACTTCAGAATGAGAAAAACGTACATTCAGTTACTTTGTCTTACTTCGATCGTCGTCGTGCTAAAATCAACCAGATGATGAAAGAATGGACAGATAAATACGAAACTGATATTAAACAAGAGACCGAGAAGCTCCAGGGATTCAAGAGAAGAATAGATGCAGCTACAGCTGATTACAACGAACTTAAGCCTGAAAAGGAAGAGGCAGAAAGACTTATGGCTCTCGAAACAGAAAGAGCTAAAGAAAGAGCCAAGCAAAACGAATTACGTAATTCTCAGACAACTGTTATGAATAAGATCAAGATTCTTTACCTTTTGCACTCTAAAATTAGAGGTCCATTGCCAAAACCAAAACGTGGCAAAGGTAAGAAGAAATAAATATCACAATCATAATGTGTTTGATACACACATGTTATTCCAAGCTTCAGATATCAATCAAAATCTTTTTAGATATAAAAATAAAACCATTGTTTTTTCTTTAATTCACATTTATTTCTTTTTAACAAGCACCATATCGATACATATACATCCTATAAAGATCAATTTCTCAATTCATTTTGAACTTTAATGATAAAACTCAGACAAGCTTCAAATTACAATGAAAATTGAATAAACTAATAAGGTAGTCCTAGTACTTTCATAATACAGTTTATAATATCACCCTAGAATAATTACAAATTCCACGTACTAAAGAAAATAACTTTTCATGAAGAATACTGACAGACTAAGCTGATGTTTTCATGAAAATGAATACAACGATATGTATTCACATTTGGGAACAGGACAAATTTGCCACACGGCACTTTTTTTAAAAAAAATTAATGGAGCGGAGCGATACTCTGCTGCAGGAGCCCCAAGGCTCCCAATCATTACGAAAGGGAGCCTCAGGGCTCCTGAGAATCCATCAGCAGAGGCCTTTTCATTTGGCCTCTGCTGATCAAAGATTCGGCGAAGCCATTCTTCGTCTCAGGAGCCCCAAGGCTCCCAATCATTACGAAAGGGAGCCTCAGGGCTCCTGAGAAACCTCTTTGAGAAGGTTTTCTTTAAGAAAACCTTCTCAAAGATGATTGTTAGCATTCACTCAAAATCTACCAAGAGTTTCAAAGTTTCAAATCTATCTGAAATGAAGCTTTGAATCTCTTGTATATCTAATTGTAGAGGTACCTTTTCAAAATGTCTTCTATTGATTAAATTTAATCAGTAAAAGTCATTTTGAAAAGGTACATCTCTATAATTGCTATTGAGCATTCACTCTTGGAACCTTGGAGCTCTTGTGTAGTGCATGAAAACTCCAAGATTCTAGAATAAAACATATATCATAGACATAATTTCTTCAAATATAATTTAAGGTTATTTTTTAAAAAATTAGAAAAGCGTAATTTAAGGTTATTGAAAAAGTGACACCTGGCAAATTTGTCCCGCACTCATTCACATTTGAGATCTAGACCTTAAATCATTCTACCGGAATATCGATCTCATCTTTTGGGAGTAAATCAGCATTAATGAGTTAACAATAAAATCGTATGTATCTCAAACATGAAAGCGTCACGGTAGAAATACTTAGTATAAGGAAATTATTAGGATTATGCGGCCAAGTTTTTCATAAGACATCATGTTGTCATTATACATAGCGGTACAAGTTGGAATGTTTTTAAATAATTAACGCTAATATATATTAATCCAATAAAGTATAAACGCAGCAGAATTTTTATAATTTTGATAATGTGATGTTACTTAACATAGATATTATATACATCTCTTTCCATGCTTTGTCGTTTTCTTGCAATCCAGAGACATTTTTGACTTAAAAGCTAGCATAATAATAGGATCCATGCAAAATTATGTTTGCCTACATTATCCAACAATTATTCTTGTATGCAATAGATTTCTGAAATCATCCGAGCAGGTGATATAAGATTTATGAAAAATCAAATAAGAAAACAGAATGGTAACACTGTACTGATCCATTATAGAAAATTGATCGACAGAAATTGAGATACTGATATTTTCAAAAATTTCTATACGAAAAAAAATTGAACCATGTGTCAGATTTGCGTCCTAATTTGAGAACTTTTAAGCTATTGGATAAATTATTGTTTATATATATAGGATGAAACGTATATCATTTTTGTAAGATTGAATAATAATTGAAATTTTGTCAATAAAAAACCGTCAACTTAGGAATTAAATAAAAAATGGATATTAACAAACTTTCTAATCTTTTCTCATTTGCCTCAACAAATGATCAAGCTGTACCAGTCAAGCAATACCGCGCTGATACAATTGAATACTACGTAAATCAGATTCAAAATGATCTAGCGAATGGAATATCTCCACAGAATTCAGGAACATTAGCTAATTTTACTAATTTCCTGGCATCAAAACATTCTGTTTATGTTGGAAAGAATGAAGAGGCTTTCTTTCTCAACGAACTCTTCTCTTTAATATCCATTGCTCATCTTGAATACAACACTCCTCTTTATTTGACAACCGTTGCAGCCATTATCGGAATAGATCTAGGCGATAAGGCTGCGAAGGCAAACAGAATTGCCCGCGATATTATCAATATTCCACCAGATCCAAATCCGAAAAATTTCCTTTTGCTGAAGAAGATTTTAGCATATCTCCATCACACCCTCGTCTCATGCACTCAAATAATATTCCAGCCGTTACTTAAAAATGTCACTTCATGGGTGATCAAAAATGATTATAACGTAAATGTTGCTGGCTACAGACTTCTTTTCTTACTTTGCGATTTGTTTTACGATACTCTAATTCAAATGCAATCGAAATTACAGTCATTAATTGGCTATTCCCTGCAAATCCAAGGAGCAGAAGTCAGGGAGACAGTTAATGATATCATTATAATGACAATTCGTAAGGAAACACCGAAGATGTCAGTGAATTTTCAAATATTTACTGCTAAGATTATGACACAACTCGAGAGAACTCTTTGGAGATATTTTCCAAACTCCATCTCTGCTGCTGAGACACTTACATCGGCTCGTCCTGAGATAATCGAAGTATTTAAGTTCCAATCACTTCCTTTCGACGGATTAAACTCGAAGGAAAATGAAGGAAAAATTGCAAACTTGCTTCTCTTCCCATTCATTGCCCACACGACACCGGAATTATTTACTGATGATGCCCTCAAGCAATTATTCAAGATTTACCATCCTATGATGAAGAAAAAATTTGAATTTCGTAAGGAAGCTGTTTATTCGCTCGGAAAAATCATTTTCGAATTACAAGACCGTACAAAGCCTTTTAAGAAGGTTTTGGACAGCGCTTACAGTCATATGAAAGATTTAATCAACGGACAAGAGCTGATTTTCGGATTGGCTGCTCTCACGGCCATAGGAATCTGCAGATCCGAAGCTTTCCTTTCTTGGGTCTTTACAGTTCCAATTAATCAGATAACAATTGATGCCATTCAAAAGTTATCGCAGGCCTTACCGGATCTCAAAGAGGCATTACATACACGTTATTTATTTTATATTAATACGATTCTTGGCCAAAACGATGCTCCTGCAAACGATATCATTACAACTCTTAAGGGTATCAAGCAATTAGACATTTCACGCGATTTAATGACAACAAACTTCATCGTTTCGTGCACACGCCAGCTCCACCATCGCACTGTAGAAGTTAGATCTGCAACATTGGACTTTATCCTTTACTACCAAAACCAAAAACCATCATCCGAAATCGTATACAGACTACTTACATTTATTACGGCCGAACAAGACGAAGATCTCCGTAAAAGTGTATTTTCAAGATTACGCATGGAACCACTCAATCCTGACTTCTGTGTGCTCTTGACTACATATCTACATGATAGTTCCGTTGATGTTATCATCGGAGCTCTTACTTTCTTGCTCAAATTATCTATCCACCAAATTGCGATCGAATACATCGTTAATTTCTACCAGCAAATCATGGAAGAAATCGGACATGGCGGAATTACTGGTTTCAACGCTAAACTCTTCCTAATTTTCGCTGAATACTCTCAAACCAGTTCTGTTCTTTCCCAGTTGCTCGAACAGTTCGCACATAAGCTAATTATTAATTTCCTCTCTTCAAAGAAGAAAGAACCAGCTTCAGCCCTCAAATTATTATCAATTATCGTTCCAATGTCTCGGGATTCAGTTAATGTCAACCAATTAGCCTACCATATTGAAAACGGCTTGTCCGTGCACTCATCATCGAAGCGTCTTTCTGCTGCGATTGATTTAATGATTGTTGGTCTCCAATTTACGAATTTGAGTCACACAATCTACAACGAACACATTTCCCTGCACAGCCGCCTCCTTGCTGCATCCGCCAGACCAGCCGCTTCCTGTTGCCACTCGAAGATTTTGCATGCATTGATGTTAGTTGGTCCAATAAAGAACACAAACTACAGAATAGAGTCTAAATCAACACCTCTCACTGCCAGATACATCGTACAGAGCACAGAAGGTAATCCAATGCAGATTGTCCTTAATGCATCAGTTTCTGTAGTTGTAAACCTCATTTTGGACGTATTAATCAACGATGACATGTTTTCTATTCACGCCGCTGCCATTGAATGTTTGATAACTATCATGAAAGTCCATAGAAATCTTTCACCTGAATTATCTTCGCAAGTTATCAACAGTTTATCCGAATTATTCGTATCCACGAGACTTGCAACAACCTCTATATTGATTGCGAACATCTCTACCATCATGACTGTTCTCGGAGACAGCTTTTCTCCATTAGTAGAAAAAGCGGTTAATTTAGTTTTCGCTGTTTGGGGAAGAATGGACAATTTACACCTCGTAAGAATGTGCGAGTGGATGTACATGACTGTTCCTGAACCATTCTGCGTACATCTCCATAAAATATGCACTTTCTTGTGCGGTGAAATGTTAGTTTCTGATTTGAGAACAACGATGGCAATTTTGAGTGCTTTTGTCACTTTTGGAGAATCATTGAAAGTTGCATCGATGACAATTATCCCTGCCATATTGAATTTGATGCGTCAGATGATAGATCAAGACATAATTATCGATGATGCGCTTGATAGATTCAAAACAATCTTGGCTAATTGCAATCCAAGAAGTTACTTCACGCCCGTAATTCGTGCAATGATTGAATTAGTAAAAGTTCGACCATCGATACATGACAGATGCTGCCAGATCATTGCTGTCGTTGCATTCAATCTTGGTCCATGTTTTCTCTTGCATGTACAACAGTTGAGCACTGTTTTCCGATTGAAAGAGAACAAAACAATGGAAGCAATTTTGAAATCATTTGAAGAAAAAACTCCGATACCTGAAGAAATCATTAAACAATGCTCTCCAACACCAAGCAGTATAAAGAAAGGACACGGAGGAAGAGCGAGCCAAGCTAAAATCGAAATTCCTCAGTTCAAAGAGCCAACAATTCCTCAGCATTTGGATGAAGCAGGATGGTACGCGTGGGCACAGGAATTCTATGATACAATCATCAGAAATTCCCTTTCAAGAGCTATTTCCGCTTGTGCCATTTTAGCTGAGAAGCACTCGTACATCAAAGACACAATTGTTCCTATCGCTTTCCTTCTTTATTACGTCTCTTTCAACAGCAATTCTGATAATCCGAGAAAACTTCTTCAAGCAATATTCAATGATGAAAACGTTCCTCAATCAATATTGAGAATCATGTTGACATCATTAGAATTGTTTGAAGCAGCAGGATTAGAAAAACCTGTTTCTGCTGAACAGTTGACATCAGCTACTTTGAAGACAGAAATGGCCGCAATCGCATTGAGATCAACAGAATACAGATTCCAGAGAGGAGATCCGAACTCTCCAAATTTGTTGATCGATTTGTACACGAAATTGGGCTTGAATTTGTCAGCACGATGTGTATTGACATTGGCAAAGAGATTCAAGATGAATGTCGACGAGTTAGTTGCTGCTGAAAAGATAGGTCTTTGGGAAGAAAGTTTGAAGTTATACGATGAAAAGATCTCTCAAGGAGAAACGAAATACAATGATGCAAAAATCAGATGTTTAGAAGCGTTGGGAAGATACAATGAAATGTTGAATTTCGGAGGAACAGCTGCTGCAACAGCTTATTTCCACTCCCTGGATATCGATAAACTCGTGGAGATTGCACCAAGTCTAAAGGATGATGGTGAAAAGGGTTCTGCATTGATAATGGCCGCTGCTCTTGTTAAAAACAATTTCGAAAAAATTACAAAAACTTCTGAAAAAATTATTAACTGCTTTTCAATGTCACTTTTCCCTCTAATTTCTGAAGATTACAACATGGCATTACCACAACTTGCCACAGCATCAATTGTACAAGTGATCAACGAAGCGATCGAGTACAAGAAACTCACACAAATCCTAAGACACGCAGACAAAACAAGAAAAGCTTCAGTTAATGAAAAAGTGAAGTCAATTGAAAATCTTTGGCATACGAGATTCTCAATGATTCCTGATGACGCGAGAGTTCTCCACAACTTCTTGAACACAATATTATTAGTTCTGCCACCAGAACTCGCTCAAACAGAAATAACAAGAACAGCAAATGTTTCAATCGATTGCAAACGATTTGACATTGCAGAGATCTGCATTTCTTTGCTTGAAAAGAGTGTTGATAACGCAAATACAAAGATGTTGAGAGCCAATCTTCTTTACGCAACAGACAAAAAAGAAGATGCAATACAACTTGCCGAAGTTGTCTCTTCAAACAGTGTTTTCACAAACGAAGAGAGATCTAAAGCAGAATTAACTCTTTCTAAATGGTTCGACAACCAAAACAACATCGAATTATCTTTGTTGCACGCGAAGAAGGCAATAGAACTCTGCTCAGAAATGGCAGAAGCTCAATACCAATGGTCATTAATCAACAACAAATTGTTCATGCAAACAAATGACGCAAACGCACAAATCGAGTCATTTAAAGGTGTCGTAAAAGCTCTTCAAATCACTAAACTTGATTCCTTCGAATACACACTCAAAATCATCTCCACATTGTTTAGGAATCACGACGCAATTTCCATTTTCAGAGAGTTTATGCATGATATTCCTCCTCATGTTTGGCTCGGCGTCATTCCACAGATATTATGTCGCGCAAACATCGATGACGAGAGTTCCAAATCGATTATTACTGACCTGATGGTTCACGTCGGATCAGAACATCCTCATGTTGTTATCTACGCTGTTCTTCCTCTGTTGACAAGTGATGGAACGAGAAGTTTCGTTGCTAAAGCAATTCACGAGAAAATGATGATGATGCAGCCGAGATTGACACAAACAATGAATACTTTCGCCCACGAATTAATAAGAATCGCTGTTCTTTGGTGGGATTCTTGGTATTCAACATTAGATAATGCAACAGCAATAACAGATGATAATCTTTTGATCCAAACAATTAGAGATTTGATCAAAGAAACATTGCGTCCTCCTGAGACAGCGAATGAAGTTTCTTTCATCAGATCTCTCGGTCCTTACGTACATGATGTAATAGATGCATTGGATGCATTCGATAAGAACAGATCCCATGAAAACAAGTCACATCTTTGGCGTCAGTTAGTTACAGTTTATAACATGGTCAAACCAATTATAAACAACAAGACAGAGTTTACTTTAACTGATGCTTCTCCTTTCTTGGCACAAGGAGAGATAGATTTGTCTGTTCCTGGTACTTACGCACTCGGAAAAGAGCTCGTGAAGATATCAAAGATAGAAAACAGAGTTAAAATCATGGCAAGTAAACAGAAACCAAGAAGAATCGTAATTGTTGGAACAAACGGAAATATTTATCCATTCTTACTTAAAGGACATGAAGACACAAGATTGGATGAAAGAGTTATGCAGTTGTTCAAGTTCTTGAACAGTGTTGTTAATGATGAATTACGTGTTACTCCTTACGAAGTTATGCCTCTTACAAGAGATGTTGGTTTAATCGGCTGGGTTCCAAATTGCACAACAATTTTCGAACTCGTCAAGAACTTCAGAACACAAAACAACGTGAATATCGAAGAAGAATGCCTCGAATCAATGCGTGGTGTTGATTACAACAACCTGTACTTGGACGAGAAAGTTGCCGCATTCAAGAGAGGTCTGAAGAAGACGGCAGGAGATGATCTTAAAAGAATTCTTTTCATTAGATCATTGGATACAACACATTGGCTCGAGAGAAGGAAGACATACACAGCAAGCCTTGCAAGTACTTCTATATTCGGGTATATCCTCGGATTGGGAGACAGGCACATGTCTAACATCATGATGGACGAAAATACTGCGAAGTTGATCCACATCGATTTCGGAGATTGTTTCGAAGTCGCACAGCACAGAAAACTCTTCCCAGAAACAGTTCCTTTCAGATTGACAAGAATGCTCGTCAACGCTTTGGAACCTACTGGTTACGACGGAGCGTTTAGATCTCTTTGCGTAACATTGATGGAAGTGTGCAGAAAGAACAGAACGAAGATTTCTGGTCTCTTGGAAGCTTTCGTTTACGATCCTCTTTTGCAGTGGTTGAACAATGAAAACCAAGCTGGAGGAATTGTCGCAAGAATTGACCAGAAATTGAGCGGATCTGACTTCGGAGTGAGGATGTCTGAGGCACAACAAGTTAATATGCTTATTGAAGAGGCAACAAGCAATAAGAACTTGTGCCAGATGTTTAGAGGTTGGTATCCTTGGTGGTAATTTTATATTGTTATTTATTTATTTTATTACGGTGAATTTTTTTTATATTATCATTTTTTTATTTAGTTTTTTATATTAAAAGTAAGTTTTTTTATAACATCCACTTGGATTTTTTTAGTAACGTATGCATTATGCTTTAGAATATAATAATGCTGAATCATAATTACTTTAATTTTTAAATTTATCATGGATGATCATTTTCACATAGATAACATAACCGAATGTTCATAGAGGATAGAGAATTTGCTTTCATTTTTCTTTAGATCTTCGTTTTATCTTTCCCAGGAGTCAAAAGTAACATCGTGAAAATATATGAAAATGATTTTGAAGGCATAGACTTATGATGAAATTGCATCGTACTCGATAATTCAACAAAATAAACTGGTAACGAGAAAATTTGGTTACCGAAAGCTAAAATTTATATTAGAATCTGATCAAATTAGATATATAGTTATCATTGTAATGACAGAAAAGCTATTTAATCATTATGGCAATCGAAAATTAATAAACGAATTCTGCAAATTCAAGCTATTTTCATATTTATCTCGGAATTATCATTTTCGATCAGATTTTTATATGAATGTCTTCCATAAACGTTCATTACTCATATTTGGAAGCAAACCGCAAATCTTTCACAAATTTGATGTAAAAAAATCATTTGTCTAAATGGACGAAGGATTTAGCGTGGACTTTGGATCCTTTGATGAAAACACATGCAAGACAGGTCCATTGACTCATGAGACCATACATGATGCTGACAAGACATTAAATCAATTGATTCACAATGCAATTTCGACAAAATCCATCAATTGGATGACATTACACGCGATTCAAGATATACTAGAAAGGAATCCTTATGATAAAGGCAGTGTTACTAATACAATTAGAGAAGTTCACGAATATCTACAAAATCAGAAAGATACATTATCGAAAATTTTATTTTGCATGCTGATGTTCTATACATGTACTGATGATAATGATATCTTCAAACAGTATGAGTCAATTAGCAAAGATGTAATTTCAGATATTCTTTCAAACTCGAATCCTTCCTTACTTGAATCTGTTCTCTATGTATTATGTTTGAAAGGGATTCAATTATCTAATGACATTATGGAATATACCAATCAATTGCTAATGAAACAAAACATTGATTTCCTGGGATCCGAAAGGATCGTTGAAAACCTGGTCAAGCTTGGAATCCGTCCACCACAGTCATATTATATGAATAAGAAATCACTTGTTGAAAGAATAATCTCCCATAATGGATTAACATCTTTATCAATTTTACCAATCGAAATAATCAAAGATAATGTTGATATTTTTATCGATTATTCTAAGGCTTATGATATAATTATGTATTGCTTTCAACATAACATTAAAGCAATCGAGTATTTTGTTGCGTTCATTGATGAAAACAATATGAATGATGAAATCTGGAACATACTGAAAAACCAATCGGTACATTTGCCTTTCAAACTCAACAAATATGCCATTCAAAAGTCAAAAGAAAGTCTTTCAGATGCAGAATATTGCTTCAAGTTCATGAGCTATGCATTAGATTATGAAACAATCAAAGAAATAATTAAGAACTCTCAAAACAAAGATCTCTTGAAGGATATAAATCTCTCAGAACTGATTGATATTTCTATCAAAGATAACGAACTCTGGTCAAACATAATTGTAAGGTATGTTGCAACAGCAGATGCTTATGAATCATTTTTGCTCTGTTATGCGGAAGATCTCAATGAAACAGTTTCAGAAATGATCTCCATTTTTGTTAATGATGAGAAGAAATTAGAAGCACTTCAAAGATTCCTAACCAATTTAATTGTCTCTCACCCAAATATCACCATTGATCCTTTTTCATCTCCAAATGCATTAAACAAGATAATAAATGTAATCAATGATATTCCATACACGTTTTGGAAAGTTCCTTTCACGATACAAAGTACAAAAATTGATCAAAATTTAGATGATGATAAGAAGATTTCATTGTTCATTGCATTTTCAATTTCATCATTATTTGGTTATTGTTCTCTAGATCCAACATCATTTAGTTCGGTCAAGATATCTGATAAAGAATTCAAAGAAATCAATGACTTTATCCATTCAAAAGATTTCACAGCAACATCTTTATTTGTTCCTAAGTCATTTTCTAATCAATCAAAGATATTTTATTATCATTCAATATTATATTGGAACTCAATGCATTTTGCCCATGACAAGAACTATTCATTCTTTCCACCTGTCCCTGAAAATGTTCTTTACTTTGTCTATATTGGAGGAAAGATCGCAGATTCAATGGAGAAATTCGAAACCAAAACAAGGATAAATGCAATTGCTTATTGCAAGTATTTCTATGATTCAATCAATGATAACATGAGTCATATCAATAAAAATTGCTATGACTGCTTAGAGCTCTTACTTGAGTATATTGTTAGAGATATTTCATCCATAATGAAAACTCAAGCAAAATCAAGAGCTTCTCTCTATTTCACTATTGATTTCCTCAAAAATCTTTGGAAATCCAATTTGCTAAATAACAACGTCAAATTATCAATGAAGTTTATCAATGCATTTTTAAATCTATTTAATACAAAATTTGATAAATCATTAGCAATGGTTGTAATCGATAACTTCCATGATGTAAAAGATGATATTTTAAAGATGGTTTCAAAGTATGCAATTCCAATAGTTTGTAATTTCTTGAGTAATGGCAATCATGAATTAACCTTATCACTTAAAATAGATCCAAAAGACATCAATTCTGCAATATTTGATATATTCTTTTCTGATATCAAGATTAACAAAATAACAGCAAAGAATTTACTTGGAATAGCAAAAATTGTCAGGAAGATAAATCATCCATATTTTACAGAACGATTCTTGAATTGCTGTAGTTATTTGAATAACGATTCAATATACGCCATTATTCCTTTCATTCCTTCATCATATTATTCTCCAAATGACAAAGAACTGCTGATTAAAAAGGTTGTAGACTACATTATGACAACAGATGAATTCGTTATATCTAATCAGTTCGACAAAATTTTGAGTATGTTAATGGACTATAATGATAGAACCTTATCCCAAGTTTACAGCTTGATGTACACGCGAGAATCCGGAAGAATCACTTTAACATCAATCTTTTCTCAATTAATTGATTCATTTCTTGATACGCCTCCAACATACAAAACGATTACAATGATTTATCGTCCAATTGAAAGAACATCAAACTTGAATTTTGTTTTCAGAGAAAACATTGATCAATTCAAACTCACTTCATCAACATTTCTTAATTTCATTGAAGAAATTATTCACATGCTTAATACAGAGTATTTTCAAATTGCTTTGTTTATTTTGCAATTATTAGCTATCAAATCCCCTCTTCATTTTCTCTATATGAGAAATGTATCAATTTCAAAATTATTTGATGATATATTCGCAATTGGAAGCAAGTATTATCAAAATAACTCTTCATTAACATACGAAGTTATTACAACTCTAAAGTTTTTGACACAAGTTGCTGGATTATCACATTTATTTATTCAATGGAGTATCGAAAAACTCAACTCCGATATTGAAAAAGAAAGTATCTTTATTATTTTGGAGGTATTTTTCAGCTTAACACAAATCGATTTGACAAATCATTCTCCAACAATGAAGATCATCCTTAATGGATGGGTAAAACTTTTCGAAATGATTCTGAAAACAAATAACTTAAGAGTCATTGAGTTATCTTTGTTGATTCATAAGAATCTTGTTGAGAAAACTCTCAAGAAGAAGAATTCACAGGTTATTAATTATGACAAATTCATTCATGCTGAAGATTCCTTTTTGTTTGTTTATAAAACAACAGATCTCTTTCATTCTACAGGAATCTATATCCAAAAAGATGTTGAATTAGATGAAATTACAAAGATTAATAGATCAATTTGCCATAATTGGAACTCTCCAGAAGAAATTAATCGTTTGACAAAAGAATTTATTTTCTATGAAGAAAAATCCCAATTTCTTGATGTTTCATTAAATAATGTTCCTGATGATATAAAGTTGATGTATTATCAATCAAATGTTCCTAATGTTCCAAAACTTCTCGATATTAATGATATCCAAATTATTGAAAAATCTCCTGATTATGTCGAACAATGGATTTCTGGTGATATTCAAACTCTCGAAACATGCGAAGAATATGAGAAACTTATTGAATGCTTATCCATTTTGAATTCTTTGAGAAAGCTTGAGGTTCAAACAACAAAGATCCCTCAAATTTATTCAACAAATCTCTTTGATGCTTTGGTTCGAATTTTTGTCCAAAAAAATACAAACCAGAAAATTAGAATCTTTTGTTCTGAAATTTTGGCAAATTACTGCACAGATGGTAAACTATTTTATCCAATTTTCTCTAAAGTAGAAAAGTATCTTAATTCAAATGATATTGATCTCAATGAATACTCGAATCTCTTAATCATTTTGAACAGTTCATCTCAAAACTTCATTCCACTTTTTGAATCAAAGATTCTTAATAGTTTATGTGAGAAAATCCAAAGCAAATTATATGAACTAACTCAAGATTCAATGAGAAATTATTTGCAAATAATATCAAAAGTCAAAAATAGTATTGATATCGATATTACTTCATTTATCAAATACTCATTAATCAAATGTGTTAGCAAATGCGAAAATTACATCACTTCAATCTGGTTGAAGATGAACAAAGAAGGAAAAGGAGAATTACAAACTTTCGTGAGAAGTCATGTCGAAAAAACTCTTTTGCAATTTGATCAAAACACAAAATATGAACCATTAACATTCTTAAAATTTATGACAGAAGATGAATGTAATTCATTTCAAAAAGAAATACTCAACGCATTAGACATCAGCTTAAAGTTCTATCATCCAGGAAGAGCTAAATCTATTTCATCAATGATCAATGTTGTTTGCCCAAGAAGAGATCACAGTGGTCCTTTGAAGCAGATCACAAAACAATTCATTGAAGATCAGATGAAATCAAACATGAAAATCAATTTACCCAAATCTCTTTGTGAAAACGATTTTTGGGCAATTTTAAAGAGGAATGAAAAACAAGTTGAATTCCTTTCAAATGATATTGAATCATTAAACGAAGTTGTTCTTTTCAAATGGTATCCTGAAATCGTTTCATTCCCAATGAAACACAAAGACTTCGTGAGGAAAGAAAGGTCCAAATTGAACTATTGTGAATTCGACATTGAAATCGAAAGAAATAAAATCATTGAAGATACAATTTCTACAATATTAGATAAGTCAGATATGGATATCATGAAATCAATAATTTATGTTCATTTTGTTGGAGAAAAAGGCATTGATGAAGGTGGTTTGTTCAAAGATTGGATTTCTTCATTCATCAGTAGTATATTTGATGAAAAAGATAGTTATTTCTATCTAAACGAAAGAGGAAGACACGAGCCAAAGAAAATTATAGATGAATCATTGATTGATGATTACGATGATCTATTGATGGTTTATGGAATGATTTTAGGAAGAGCATTGATAGAAGATATTCCTATAAACAGAAGAATGGAAAGTTATTTCTATAAATTCCTAAAAGACAGGAAGCCAACAATAAGAGATGTCAAAGCAATTGATGAACAGATATATGATTCATTGATGTATATCAAAGAAAATGATGTTACAGATCTTTGTTTAACATTCTCTTTATCAATTGATAACAAAACTATCAAATTGATTGAGAATGGAGAAAATGTTGATGTTACTAATGAAAACAAAGAGAAATACATTGAGTTGTATATCAATCAATTCATTCTCAGAGACCATGAAAGAGAATATAAGATCATCAGAGATGGATTCTATTCAGTAATATCCAAAGAGGAATTGAACTGCTTTACTCCATTGGAAGTGGAACTTGCTATTTGTGGATATTCTGTGATTGATGTTGAAGATTTCATTAAATGTTGTTCATATGAACATCCATTCACAAAAGATCATCAAACAGTGAAAATGTTTTATGATGCAATAAGAACATTTTCTAATGAAGAGATGAATTTGCTAATCTCATTCATAACTGGAATGTCTCAAGTTCCTTCAGGAGACTTAAGCATTGTTCTCTCTTCCGGTGGTGATCCTCCTCGCCTTCCAACAGCACATACATGTGTAAATATGATCAATATTCCATTATACTCTTCAGTCGAAGAGATGTCCAAGATGCTTAAAATAGCAATAACCAACTGCAAATCATTTGAATTTGCATAAGATTTTTTTATTCTAAACGATATTTTTTATCACTTTCTCAATTTTATATTGCCCTTCGGCTATTTCAGAACTGATTTATCCTAATAAACTTTCTATATAAATGAACTTCAGCTATTTCAGTACTAATTTATCCTATTTTCTGAATGCTTATAATGATTCATGAGGAATCATAATGAAAATTTACACTTTTCCGACGTTTTGTCAGGGGCTCGAAGCGACCCAAAAATGTCGGAAAAGTGTAATTCTCAGGTATATGATTATTTTTGCTTTTAATGCCGAACGGCATTTGAATCAAAAATAATCGTATGTCTGAGAATTATTATTTTAGATTTACTGTGAAATTCATTGTTATAATTGAATAAAGTTCTAAAAGCATACTTTATATCTATAACACAAGATTGAATTTTAATCATTATTGTTTGTTCGTTACATTAATCCCATCAATACAAGAGAAAAAGGATTTTTTTTAATGAGAAGAGTGTAGAATACTATTTAAATATGCAAACAAAGTTATTTGTTTAATATAACGCTTTCAAACATAATAACAACATATAAAAAACATTTATTAAACTGCAACACCAATATTTCTAAAGAACTCAGTTGCAATTTGTCTGTATTCAGGGATATTCAACAGAGAATGGAAGTAAGATTCCAATTTGAGTTGAACCAAACTTTGTGCACCTAATGGTTGTTTGGAAATGCACAAAATAGTTGTAATTGCCTGTGCAGACAACTCGTTTTGCATTGCCAAAAACCTACACAAAGCTGTGTAATAATGAACAAAACCAGTAGAATGTCTAAACTGCGAAAGATATCTCAGCATCGCCATTGTTTGTTCTCCAACAATTTTCTCAGATATTTCGCACGAAACAGAGAAGAAAGAAGAGAAGAAACCGCATTCATCAAAAACATTGAACGTCTGCAGGTTTTTCACAAAAATTTGAGTGATTTGTGAAATTGAAATCAAAATAAAAGGATCTTTCGACATCACGTACTTCATCAGCATCAATGGCAATTGCGTGTGCTTCACGAGGTTCTGTACAACTGATTTATACTTCATAATAATCAACAACAAAATGAAACAACCATCAGGATTCACAAAATTTTTGTCCAGCCAAATATTTGTTTTCGAAATTAATAAAGAATTGGCTTCGCATTGGTGCGCAAAATGATATAAACAATATTGCGCTGTAGTACTAACTTGCGACCAATTTACCAAAAGTGACAGAAAAGTGACATCAGGAGGGAAGTTCCCCTTTTGAGACAACAAATATTGGAACAAAGACTGGATTGGCTCTGCTCTTGATAGATGTTTGTTGATTACATTGTAGTCATTGTAGGTTATGTTGTTACAGAGCAAAAATGAATAAGTTTCCTTAATTACTTCCAAATCTTGCGTATTAAACAGATTTTCTATGATTTTGCTGAGTCTTGGCTGCAAAATCGACTTCATTATGTGGTTGGATTTGATCAGCTGGTTGAGGAATCGTACAAACTGAATGGAAGAGGCAGATTGAGATAATAATTTTTGATAATTATCAAGAAGAACCATCAAAGGATGGTACGAAACATGTATTGGTGGTAATGAACGTATATACAGGCTGTATAACGTGATAGCGTCCTTCGGCTTCTTTTCTATAATAAATTTAATTATTTCGAAGAGATCGCTCGTAATTAAGACGGGCCTGTATATGAATAAGGCTGTTATCACATCTATCGATGAATTTATTAAGTCATCTGTGAGAGGAAGATGGAAATAAAATTGATTTTCGTAACAAACGTCAATGAGCTTCTTAGTTGAGGACATTGCTTGGAAATAAGTATCTAGAACATATTGCCTGATATGTGATGCGTATTTGGGCGTCGTAAACTGAGCTGTCAAATCATAAAATTTCTTTGCAGTATTATCGTTAAGATTCGAAGCAATTAACCTGAGATTCTCGATGAACTTGGGCTGGGAAGGGTTGGATATCAAGGATTCGTCAATTTGGAACTCAGGAGATTGATCAAAGTTGTAGAAGTCAAAATAACGCTGTGGAGGGTCAGGAAGCTTGATTTCTTTTGATATTATTTCATCTGATTCTTCTCTTGCTTTGAAATTTTCAAGGATTTTTTGAGATATATTATTAATTCTCTTTGTTTCGGTTTTATTGAAGAAAACTTGGCCGTTACTGAACATTTCGAATATTTTGATTGCTTCTGGACGTTTCTTTGGGTTCTGGTCCCAACAATCAAGAATTAATTTTTGTAATTCAGCCGGAGATGAAGAAAACTGTAAGAATTTTGACGGATTATTAATTAGTTCTGCTATTTCTTTGTCGTTTTTGTTTGCAAATGGATTAATTCCTTCTGAAAATTCATAAAAAATAAAGGCCAACGAAAAAATGTCAGATTTAGAGGTATATGTATTGTCTTTTAATGTTTCTGGTGCGTTTGAAATAATAGGTTGCTCTGAATTTAGTTGCATTTTGCCAGTTTTTGCAAAATCAAAGAAATTTAAACGCGAAATGTTCTTATCATCTAATGAAATTGTATTTGCTGAGATGTTTGCATGAGATATTCCTATGTTATGCATATAAGATAAAGAATGTGTAAGTGCAAGAGCGATAGTTGAAAGGTGAGTTCCAGAAAATGCGATTTTGTTATTATTTCTGTATAATTTCTCAGCCATAACACCATTCTTAAAGAATTCTGTAATGATTGCAAATGGTTTTTTTGTTGTAAACCCTAAAATTTGTGAAATAAATCTATGATTACATTTTCTTTGAAGATAAATTTCGGTAACATAGCGTAATTCATCTTCTTTAGTCAAAGTGTCTGCAGTAAATTCCTTTATTGATACTTCTTGGTTACTTTTCGAATCAATTCCGTGATAAATAACATATCTTTTTGTTTCTTTGATAGTATTATCCTTTTTTATGTTCTCCAACGACATTACCAGTTCAGGAAACTCTGATTCTAAGGCTGATAATGTGTTGGGAATTTCTTGCATTTTAAAAAGTGACAAAAATATTAAAACCTTGAAAAACTCTACAATTTCGGCCTAAATTGAACAATTTTACAAACTATTTAAGTGTGTTATTGAGAATGCGATATATTTATAGTCTTTTCACAAACACTTCACTTAATATAAATTTAACGTGTAATTTAATTGGCCGAATTGAAATGTAATTTGGCAGAATATCGAGAGAAATTTTCACGCTGGGAAAAAAGTTACTCACAAACATAAGACAAATACGATTATTTCATTTATCCAGCCAAATTCTTACCTCTCAGAAAAAATTGAGTGTGGAGTGGCCAGAACCATTACCTGAAATGTCAGCAGCGAAGAAGTCATCCACAGCTCAAGTTTTCACAGCCGGTGTCGATATCAAGAATTTCCGTGGAAAGACAGATGCCGAGCTCCAAGTTTGGCGTGACAACCAAAAGAAGCGCAATCGCCCACCAGAGTTAATTGACCAAATCGTTAAGGACGATGAGGAATACCGTGCCGCTCTCAAGGCCGTCGCCGACACAATGAAGGAGAAGAATCAGGCTCAAGCCTCCCTCAAGCCAAAGGGTGGTGTTAAATTATCTCCAGAAGAGATGGAAGCCGTCAAGGAAAAGTGCCGTCAATTAGCCCAGAAGATCACAGAGCTCGAAGCCAAGCGTGATGAGCTCTTCGCCAAGGTCGAGAAGGAACTTTCTACAGTTGGTGTCATGATCGAACCAGAAGTCCCAGTTTCTCTCGATGAAGCTAACAACAAGGTCATCATGCAGTGCGGCAAGATCCCAGAGATTCCAAACTTCAAGCCACACAACGAATTACTTGCTATGATCGATGGTTACGAACCAGAACGTGGTGCTCGCGTTGCCGGCCACCGTGGCTACTACCTCAAGGGCATGGCTCTTAAGCTCAACCAGGCTCTCTTCAGATACGGCCTTGATTTCCTCCAGGCCCACGGTTACACAGCCATCCATACACCATTCTTCATGAAGAGTGAAGTTATGGCCCGCGTTTGCCAGCTCGAAGACTTCCAGGAGACATTATACCACATCGACTCCCCAACAAACGATCCAAAGGACGACATGTTCCTTATCGCTACATCCGAGCAGACACTTTGCGGTTACCACCTCAACGAGTCCCTCGATGATTCTCAATTACCAAAGAAGTACTGCGGCTTCTCATCCTGCTTCCGTAAAGAGGCTGGTGCTTCCGGCAAGGATAACTGGGGTATCTTCCGTGTCCACCAGTTCGAGAAGGTCGAACAGTTCTGCATCACATCACCACACAATGGTGAATCCCAGAAGATGCACGAGCAGATGGTCCACAACTCATGCGAATTCATCAAATCCCTCGGCCTTCCATTCCGCGCTGTCTTAGTCGTCTCTGGCGAACTCAACTACTCAACAGCTCGTAAGGTCGATATCGAAGCATGGTTCCCATCATACAACCAGTACCGTGAACTCGTTTCCGCTTCAAACTGCAAGGACTTCCAGTCCCGCAAGCTCGACATCAGATACGGCCACGGAAAGAACAAAGATGGCGAGAAGGAATACGTCCACATGCTCAACGCTACACTTTGCGCTACAGAGAGAACACTCTGCTGCATCCTCGAGAACTACCAGACACCAACAGGTATCAGAATTCCAAAGGTTCTCCAGCCATACATGAGAGAACTCATGATCAACGAGAACCACTCCGACGAGGACTACAACAAGCCAGATCTCGACCTCCAGTCAGAACACTGCGCTGTCCCAGATTTCAAGAACATCGACTTCATCCCATTCGTTCAGGATGCTAAGGCTGTTCAGGGAGTTGATGGCAACACAAGCGTTTAAACAGATTTTTCTTCATTTTTTTATTTATTATTATTCTATTTTTAACTATTCATATATTTTCAATAAAAAGAGTTACATCATTGTTTGATTAACAATCATTTAAATCAAAGAATCGTGCAGTTAATGAATTTGATATCAAAAAATCTAGTTTGAGATTTTTTTTAATGGTGCACTTCGACTTTCTGGCATGCTTGTATTATATCAACATATCTTTACTGTAATTGCAAAAAAGTATAACAGTAATAAAAAGTACTATGTAGTGATTTAAAATGACCTTATCCAAACAAAATTATTAATAATTATTAACTTTTTACCTCAGAATATTTAGATAAAAAGCAAGAGTGTCAATAACTGATAATACAACTAAGTTTACTATACATGATAGTTGCCAATTGGAGTAATAAATTAGGCTTAATCAATCATTTCTTTCATTTCCGGTATGACGAGCAGAAAGGAAGAGATCAGTAACCCTAGAAAAAAATTAGAAGAGTGTCGCTTTTCGTTGGACTATCTTTAGAAAATGGTAAGCGTGCCATTAATTTCTGAATTGCATAAATGTTTTATTCAAAATCTCTCAATCTTTGAGCTAATTGAGAGTGTTGCAACAAAATTTCCAAAAATTGTAAGGGGGAAACATTAGCATAATGATGTTCTACCGAGATAATTATGCATTTTCATACATTATACAAAAAAAATATTTAGAAAGTCGTTTCCAGAATAGCTGAGGAGAAGAATCCCATATGTATTTGATACTTAAATGATTCTGAGAAACATGAACAACAAAACAAGTTTTTACAAGTTTATGAGGAATCCCTGATTCAGCAATCAGGTGAAGATAGTCAGGAGATGTATTTTCAATAACAGGGCATTGAAGAGATTCGCAGTCATGGAATGCATTAACTTCAACATCTGAAACTGAAAGTGGGAAATTGATGTATTTGAGATTTAAGCAGTTGTTGAATGAGTAATGTTCAATAACAGAAACACTATCTGATATGATTTTGATTTTCTCAATGTTGTTACTGGAATTGAATGAATAACTACAGATAACATAGCAGTTAATACTGAGTTCTTTGTCTTTTGATTGACTCAAATGAAAAATAAGTTCCCATTTAGTATTGTTTATTTGGTAAATAGTATTATCAATACATTTGTATTTATCTGATGAAAAATTACTGATATTTGTAAGAGATCCGCATTCTGAAATAGAATTAATTGAAAAAAATATCAAGTGAATTTGTTTCATTGAATATAATTGAACTTATTTTCTTACAATTAAGAAATGAATATTCTGAAATAATTTTAATAGATTGTGGAATATTAATACTTTTTAATGAAGAACAACTCTCAAATGATTTAATCCCAATTGATTCTGCACCTTCATGAATTGTAACTTCTTCTAAATTAGTACATCCACAAAAACAATTATCTGGAATACTCAAAATATTACTAACTTTCTTTAATTTAATGCAATTCTCAAATGCATTACTCATAACAGTCAAATTTGGTGATGAAAATGTAAAATTTTCTAAATTAATGCAATCTTTAAATGATGACATTCCTAATGTTTTTAAATAAGGAAATGAATAACTAAATGAGCTTATTTTTGAACAATTTCTAAATGCATCTTTCTCTATATAATTGATTTGAGAATCTTCTGTGAAATAAATATTCGCAAGATTAGAATTTTCAAATGCTTTTGCTTCGATTTTTTTAACTGATTTAGGAATTGTAATACTCATAGAATAATAAGGATTGTATCCCCAATATTCATAAATGATGATTTGATTAGAATCCATAATCAAGAGATCTGGTGTAATAATAAGATTTGGCTCATTAATATATAAAACTGAAACATTTGTATTTCTGTCAATGGTATTTTGATAAAATAGAATTTTGCAAGTAAATGACAAACTAAGTTTTGGCTTCCTCCATGTAAGATAAGACAAGCTGCTAACAGACATTGTTGAATTAGGGAATACAATTCGTTCAAGGTTTACGCATCCATCAAATGCTTGATTATTAATGTCATCTATTGGACCTAAAAAAGTAACATTTTTCAAACGCCTACATCTAAAGAAAGCAGCAATTTCAATTCTTTCAACATTTGCAGGAATTGTAATTGTTTTAATAGATGAAGTTGAAAAGCAACACTCTCCAATAGTTGTGACTGATTTTGGAATTTCATATCCGATTTTGTTAAAAATTAAAAATACAATACTTTTATCTTTTGAATAAATAACATTTCCATCTTTTGTTAAGTGGATATTATTAGGATGTATTGTAAGATCTGTTAATTTGTAAACGGAAAATGCATATCCACTGACTGCGGATACATTTTCTGGGATTTGAAACGATGTGATTGCAGTTTCAGAAAATACGCTAGTTTCTAATGAAGTTAAATTTGACCCTTCTTCAAAAATAACATTTTGTAGTTTAGAACAGTTATAAAATGCATAATTACCTATTATTTTAACAGATGCTGGAATTCTAACACTAGATATTTGTATATTACTATTGAATACATTGTATTCTATATCTTTGAGTCCTTCTGGTAAAAGTATCTGACTCACATTAGTACAACTATTAAATGCATAAGAAGATATTTTTTTTAAGTTTGGTGCATGATGATAAATTTATTATAGTAAGATTTGTACAATCATTAAAACTATTATCTCTAATTGTCGTTAAGTTAGGATTTTCTTGAAATGAAAAGGAAAATAAAGTTTTGAGTCCGTTGAAGCAATTATCCTTGATAATTTCGCATGTGGATGATATTCTGAGATAGGGTGATGTATCTTTAACTTCTGTAAGGGTTTTTCCATCACTTGAATAACAACTCGAATCAATATCTTTGTCACGAAGTGCTAAAAACATAATCATAATGAATTGTTCAAGCACACTTTTCTACGCCTTTGTTTATGATAATATATATATCAACACTTGTTTGTTAAACTAAGGGTGATATAAAGACGATCGACATACTCAGAAAAAAAAACCTTTTTATATAAATTATACATTCAATTTTCAGAAGATTTCAAAATAAAAATGTTTTAAAAAAGTGTACCAAGTACGAAAAAAATATATTACATGATAATGTACTTTTGTCCAATTGAAATGTCTATTGGCCTAACGATTATTTTCAAAATATAATAGTCAATTTTTGAGAGGAGGGACGATGATTAAAAAGTGAATATATATATTCCAATGGTTGCTTGATACTTTTTGGGCTTATATACGCCCGTAAAAAGTGCCATAGTTATTTTGTTATTCTATTATCAATGACTAGTCCATGCAGAGATAGTTGTACAAATATCTGCACTTTAGAAGGCATTTTTTTCACTTATGATGGAGCAAGGGAACCTTCATGAATTAGCTTGAGATAACCGAGATGTTTGAATTATTATGCGTCAAATTTATAATGGCCTGATAATGAAATCTGATTGCGTAAGCGTTCGTCTTCTTTGGGAGTGAAATCGTCTTCAACGCTAAAAAAGAAATAATTTTCATCAGCATTTTTCGCAGTATTAATTGCATCAGAAATAGGATTGAAAATGAAGTTAACTACTATTTTATTTACTTAGTATCAATGGATCTCAAGATTTTGATTTGGCTTATTGCTACTATCTTGAATAATAGAGTTTTTCTTCTGTAACACCATATTTTTTCTCAATTTCTTCTTAGATACAACTTATTTTTTTCTCCGATTTTCTTTTGCAACCCCCTTTTTTATCTAAGTCACTTTTCATGTTGACAATTTTTTTGAATGGAGGAAACTAAGAAAGTTCCTCAAGCAGATGTAGAGTCATTTGACGCGATAGAGTATAAAACTGGGTTTAATATAGATACTCTCAAGCCTCAAATCGGAAATATCTTTCAATTTTTTATTCCGAACACGTTATTCATTCCATTATCTCCTCAAAATGCCAACAAGCAACAACCACATCAATTTCCAATATGGGGTTCAACTCACTATACACCAAATAGTGATTTAACTGCAATTGCAGCTCATACAGGCGCTTTATTTATTCAAAAATCAAAATCTGCAATTAGAAGAAGATTTTGTACAATAAAGAACTTTTATGAAGTACAGAACTGTTCTGAGTCTGATTATACGAAAATTGCTCAAATTACAGAAATTCCTTTAGATCTCACAGTCAAAGGCGTCGTTCTACAGATTCTAATAGACAATTCTCCGACATCATATCCATCAGTACTTAGAAATGGAATCAAATCTCAAGAACTCAATCAAGTTTCTGCATATGCGATTCGTGTTTCAAACTTTTTCGTAATTTCGATGTACGACGATATGCCAAACCTTGTATCTCCCGAAGAATACGTTAGAAAACAAGCTGTTGTTCCTTCATATAAGTTTTCTGTCACCGGGGAAGTTGGAATTGTTTACAAGCCACATATGTTCTTACAGATATTCTCACGGTTCAATGTTGTCAATGGATTCTTTAATACAAACAGACTGTTCTTTGATATTGGAAGAAATAGATATGAAATTAAATATAAAAGTGCGACAAAATTCCAGCTGATTCAGTTTGATGATGCACCTACATTAAATATCCTTAAACGTAAGACAGATGCTTCAGAACTTGGTGATATTCTTGAAGATGACATAGAATTATCAGAATTCTCTGTAACATCCAAAGGTATCATTATTAGAAAGGAATCGTACGATCCTGTTGATACAATTTTAATCGCACAGACATATAATCGCTATTCCCAATTTCTTAACGCTTAACATACACTATATATATTATATTATTTGCATTGTATTAAACTATTATATTTATTTCAAAAAAACGTGAAAATTAAGTTCATATTGAAATTTTATTGATGAAATGATTTTTCCTTAGTATCTATTTATGTAATCTATTATGTTTTCACTACTAATTGTATTCCAAACAATAAAAAAAAAATCAGATAAAAAAAATTTTGTAGATTTAGATTGTGATAGATTCTATTTTATTACCATTTCTATTTTAGTAAACCTAAGTTGATTTTGGTTGATTGTATTAATCTTCTTTCTTCTGGGTTTTGATTGCACCTTCATGAAGGAACTCTTCATTTTTCTTCATGTATATGACTGAATATTCAAATGATAGGAATAACCCAAGCGAAATAAAAGAAAGAATAAGAAAATGAATATTGAAATCAAGATACATTGAGATAAATGAATAAATAAATACTAAAGCAATAGAAACACGAGCAAGTGTGATAAGCCATGGAGTAACGCCGGGTTTGAGAGCTTCACGTATTTCATCGAAGAAAGAACCAAATTTAGCCATGAAAAATTTTATAAAAATTTTGAAGAGCTTTCGATATCTTAACAGCTATTCCATAATGCATGATATTCATAAATTTTATTTGGAAATGAGAACGATCAAAAATGTGATCGTTAGTGTACATGGAATTATCAATAAGAATTAAGGATGTGAATCGGTTATAGTGTAATGGTTATCATGTAAGATTGTCGTTCTTTTGATCCGGGTTCGATTCCCGGTGACCGAGCTTTTTGCATTATTTTTTTGTTTCTTTTTTTTTTATGGAGAAAGGTGTAGATATTGAACCCAGCATTACAAACTTAATTATAGATGGTCAAGCTCGTGAAACAAAAACATATGAAGAACAGAATTATCCTGAAATTGAAAAAATATCAAAAGAATTATTAGATTCCAACGAACAACAAAAACTAGTTATTGAATTACTTAATGTAGTCGCTTCTAACAAGCCCCTCATTTCTCCTGAACAACTTGAAGCCTACTTTTCTTATCTACAAGTTCAAAATCTTCAGCCCGAAATCGCAAAGTTGATTTTATATGCAATTGAAATACATACCGTTAATCTACCTGATTCAGAACCTCTTGTTTTTCCACAATATTCAATTCAATTACTTTTGAATTTTATTTCATTAAAATCAACTTTTTTAATTTTAGCAAAAATGATCGAGAGAGATCCAGAAACTGTTCCTGCCCTTGATCAGATATCTTGTGGATCGATTGTTTCAACAATCCAAAATTTATTACCAAATTTTAATGAAATTGTTGATTCTGCTTTAGTTTTTACTGCTGCTGTATGGTCCACAAAGTATGATTTAAGTAATTCTGCATCTTTATTCCCATTAATAATGAGTTATCAGTTATATTATAATTTTCCAAAGAATTCATTCTTAGCATTAAAGAGTTTCGTGCATAGATCAGAGAGTAATGCTATAAACTTCATAGAATGCAATGCTACAGACTGTTTTACCAACATTTGTCAGTATCCAGATTCAATTTACAACGCGTTGAGTTTTCTGAATGAATTGATATATCAAACAAAGAAAATACGTAAACTACTTGACGAATACAATTTAAATTTGATATTTAACTGGGTAATTAATTCAGCAAAATTTAATTCGAAAATTAACTACGAGAAATCTCTTAAACTCATTGAAAATATAATATACAACTATCTTAACTATGGCACACCACTTAAATCTTCTTATGTCGTTCATTGGCTGATTTCTCGAAGAATTTATGATTCTTTGTTCAAAAATTCAGAAAATTGCTCATCTGATGCTAAAATTAGTATTATTAAGATACTTGCATACATGTTGATATATTCTACGCCAAGTCAGTGCAATTATTTGATAAATAAATATCCTTTGATTCCTTTACTTGCTGAAATGGTTTCTAAGAGTTCTGATGAGAACTTAAATGCACTTATATCTGTTGCTTTGGAAACAGTTGTTATTTTTTTGGAATTTCAAATGAAAGGTGTCGAAACAAGATTAGAAAAACTTAGAGGAGTTCCTGATCATATACTTGATGAATATCTGAAGAAAGTTGAAGAAAATATAAAAGATTCTCCGTATAAATTAGAAAATTCGATAATTGATCTTCCTGATGGACTTAGAGAGGAAATAATTGAACTTAATGAATTAGATGATAATGAAAATGAATGTTTGTACAGATTTATAGAAGATTTGGATCAAATATTCAACGATGTATAAAAATATTTGTATTATAAACATTATTTGTATTTGTATAGAAACATGGCTCCATTTTTATTTTGATTTAGCTAAATTTTTTGATAATTTTTGAAAATATTTTGGATTTTTTTATAAATATAGAATGAAATGAATAAAAAAACAATCAAATGAAAATGTATTAATATTTTGTCATGTTTACTAAACGATTTTTAATAAAAAAAAAATATATTTTATGGTTCTTTTGGAGGTTCTTGTGGTTCAACTGCTTTTGCCGCTGCTTCCTTTTCTTCTAACAATTCCTTGAACTTCTGGCGCCATTCTGGTTTCAAAATTGCTTTAGATTTGATTGTAACATTGAGTTGTACATTTCCAACGATATTCATTGTATACAAATCGCGTTGATTTGAATTGATTACTGGTTTTGGTGGGAAAACCATGGAGATATTGAATTCTGATTCAGGAATAAATATTTCGCCCTTTAAAAAGCTATGGATCTCATCACATCCTTCTGTAATGTTGAATGTAGCTTCAAGAAGTAAATCGGAATATTCTCCATCGATATTAAATCTAATTCTTGCAGTTTTTCTTTCTTTTGGTGCACCAGATCTTTTTGCAAATGTTGGTGGTCTGTTGTTGAAGCCAACAGCTATATCAGAAGCTCTAAAGTTGTAAAATTTCTCATCAGGTTCTGGAATATCTTTTCTTGTTCTTGATTTAAGATCAAATCTAACATTTCTATCAATCTTTTTGATTTCTTCTTCTACAGCATCGGGATTCTTAAAATCCCAATTAATTTTGCCATCATGAACTGGATTTTGGTTCTTATTCGATTCCCAATCATATCTTGGAACATCTGGATCTTTCGATTCCCCTTGTGGTCTATTTCTATCATCGTCTCCCATATATGAACGCTTCATCAATTTTGACGATATGAAATAATTGGTCGCACAATTATCTTGTCAAATTTTTAAAGAAATTTTGATTTGAAAACTGTGCAAATGAGAATAGACACCTTGTTGTAAACGTATTAAGCTAGCAATAAAGGTATAAATTCAAAGCATTCATACATTGGCGTTCAAGATACAAAAAAACTGCAAACTTAAGTAAACTACATTCAGCATCTGTAGATTGTGAGGACAAATTTTTGTTTTATTTGAATGTACATATATATTTATAGATGTAGAAACTCACAAGCTGAATTTTAAGGATATTTAATCCACAATTTTTGAGAATTGAAATAGACTTTTCTAAATATGCTTATATTATTTACAGAACCTTCTACGAATATAATAAGGACCATATATTGTTTAAAATGCCTAACTGATATTCCTTCTAGCCAACTTTCATCTAATTCTTTAGATTCAACATGAATCATTTGGCGACAGCTCACAAGCAAATTCCATATTTGCTAGAATGCTTTCTTGAGCCAAAATCGATGGTATTTTTTCATTGACCTTCGTAGTTACGTTTGTAAATACAAATATTTTAATTCATATTTAAAGGAAAAATGAGAGTTTATTAAAATTTTCTTTTTTACTGTCTGCTATGTATACATATTTCTCCCTGATATCAGATTAGACGAGCTTTTATTTCTATAAAAACTTAGAAAGAAAACTGTTTTAGATAGAAACATTACTCTTTTGCACCATGCGAAATAAGAAATTAGGCTATGTCTTTACTTTGCCATGCTGCATAATTCAGAGCAGTTTTTCCGCGTTTATCTTTTTCATTGAGGTTTGCACCATGTGAAACTAGAATTTTGATTGTTTCTTTTCTATTTTGAAATGCTGCAATATGAAGAGCAGTTTCTCCTCTACAATTTTTTCGTCGATATGTGCACCATGTAAAAGAAGGAATTTGACTGTTTCATCTGCATATCCAAGCGCTGCATAATGAAGAGCAGTGGAACCGTAATGATCCTTTCGATTGATATGGGCACCATGTGAAAACAGAAATTCGACTGTTTCTATACTGTTTTGCATTGCTGCATGAATAAAAGCGGTTCTACCATCTTCATCTATTGTTTTGATATTTGCACCATGAGAAATAAGAAATTCGGCCATTTCTTTATAATTTCTACTTGCTGCATAATGAAGAGCAGTTAGTCCACGTTTATCTTTTTCATTGATATTTGCACCAAGTGAAAGCAGAAATTCTGCTATTGCTTTACTATTTTGATCAGCTGCCATATGGAAAGCGGTTTTCCCATCTCTATCTTTTTTATTGATATCTGCACCATGCGAAATGAGAAGCTCAGCTGTTACTTTACTACCACTACTTATTGCAAAATGAAGAGCGGTTTTTCTATCTTCATCCATTTCATTGATATTTGCACCATGCGAAATAAGAAGTTCAGCTGTTTCTTTACTATTGTTACTTGCCGCATAATGAAGAGCAGTTTGTCCATCTTCATTTATTTCATTGATATTTGCGCCATGTGAAAGAAGAAATTCTACTACTTCTTTTCTATTTTTAATTGCTGCCAAATGAAGAGCGGTGATTTCTTCTTGATTTTTATAATTGATATTTGCACCTTGTGAAAGGAAATATTCGCATAATGCTGGAATATTAAACATCGTTGAATAAATAAAGCAATTGTCAATATCATTAGTTTGATCGAAATAAACTAAAAACGCTTCAAGATTATTAAACAATCCGCAATCATATAAATCGATCTCTATTTTGTATTCATTCCTCAAGAATGCTACAAAATCAATGTTGTGTGAAATAATTGCATAAGTCATGCACCATTTATCTGGTTTTCGATATTTCAAACACTCATTCATAATCTCTGGATTTCCTCCTAAAAATGATAATTCTAGACATCTATTATATATTTCTGATTTATATTTTGTTCTTAAGAACTTGAAACAATCAACTGCTCCGTGATAACAACATAATTCAAGTAATGAATATCCAATACTATTATAGGGATATAAACTGCTTCTAAGCAATGGATATGAATATCCTTCAGTGAGTGCGATGAATCTTTCTTTGTCATTTTCCATAATTGCTCTGTAAATTGTATCATTTTCATGGATACTGACATTCAAGTTCCAAATAAATTTAATATTGAAATCATCAGATATGAGTTTGCAAAGATATAAATATGATTTCTTATAGCGATTGTTATATTCAATTAACTTTAAGATATCGTATATTATATTTCGAGGATGATATTTCTTTGAATCAATCAATTCTGTTTTGATCATTTTGTAAATTGAGTTTAATTCTTCTTCATTTTCCGTTTTCAACTGATACAATGCATTACATGTATCGATGTAAGATTTATAAATACCTCGCAATTCACTGTATTTGTTTGGAAGAATGTCTTGTTCTGACATTAAAAATTTTTAATGTCGTAAGTTTACATTTTACAAAGACGATAAAAAATGAAAGAATAATTCTCAGACATACGATTATTTTTGATTCAAATGCTGTTCGGCATTAAAAGCAAAAATAATCATATATCTGAGAATTACACTTTTCCGACATTTTTGGGTCGCTTCACGCCCCTGACAAAACGTCGGAAAAGTGTAAATTTTAATATAAATAAGATAAATAGCATCGACAGGCTTCAGATATGAATGATTTGATCATATTTTGAAAAGTTACTGAAAGAATAAAAAGATTTATGAATTACTTCTTAATTTCCATAATTTTTATTAAATAATCGTCAGATCATTATTTACATATCAATTGTAATTTCAAATATAAGTCAAAATCAATATTCATATTTTGGATATAAAATTGAAGTATCATTGGAGCTTTTTAATGTAATTATAACATTTCTAACTTACGTGATTATGGTTTATTATGTAAAAGACTGATTTTCAGTTAAATAAGAGATTTGTATGCCTGCTTTTGAGGATTTGACTGAAAACATAACGGCATCGCCGCAAGTTTAGAGTTTACAAAGTAAATGCTCGCCATAAACTCCAGATTCAGAACCATATTACATAAAAAATAGTGAAGAATGGACATAAGGGAAATATTCGCGAATATCTAAATGACCTCATGCTAATATAACCGAAAATGCATCAACATTGGTTATAAGATGAGATCACAATGTTTTTATTTGTGGTCGGACTCATAATTGTCTCCCAAGCGACATCCTTAATCCTTGTAGAACTTTACATGATAAAACAAGTGGTTTTTAAAAGATGCCATTTTTAATGTCACTAACAATGACAAAGACAATGAAGATTGATGTATCTACAGAGTATTTATAGCAATAGCCTAATAAAAATGCTTTGCAATCCATACTATTGCAAATGTTTGATATTTGCTCTTCAATTGAGTTAATTAAATCTATGTTTTCATTCAGAATGGTTTACTTACAACGATTTTTTAATTACTATTAAATATATATGCATAAATCTGAATAATTATTAGTACCGCGTCAATTGTACAAAAATGTCAACAATTTTATTTATCCAATTGAACAATATATTATTAATAAGATATTAATTAATATGCATATTTCGTTAAAATTTCGAGGTGCAAAAATTGAATTCATCGATAACTGTATTGTTTCAATTTTCCACTCGACAAAAATTGGGAAAACGCATAAATCATATGGCTACTTAATAAAAAGAAATATTAATTTAATATGAAAATACTATCGTTAAAAACTCATTCAATTTTTTCACAACCTATATCTATCAATCCAACAATTACCACTGAGTGAGAAATGTATCATAAATTATAAAATATTATCAAAATTGTAAAATCGAAAGTTCTCAATTTGAATATTTAAACCGACCGCATAATTATCTCCAATAATATCATGCTTAATATCAACTAACGATTTCAATAATTATTGGAGCATTGATTTTCTTCAATGCACGTTTGCAATGTGAAATTTTCGGAATACTCCTGTTTATTGATATTATATTAACAATGAAAACTTTCCTCTCAATTAGTTTGTAAAGTCCAAAAAAAGCATTACTATTGAATAAAAAATAAGAATGGAAGGAGCCTATATGAAGTGCTGCATAGCAGATGAAGATGTGGAGGTTCCTATCATATTTGGAAAATACAAAATCATCAAGATTATTGGCACGGGAGCTTTTTCTATTGTTGCATTAGTAACCACGTTATCAAATAGTCAACTATATGCTTGCAAAATTTGCTCACGCAAATCTTTGAATGAGAACAATTTATTTTATCGCTTCGAACGCGAAGTCCGTACTTTACAAACCCTCAACCATCCAAATATTGTTAGATTGTATGACGTTGTTTACGAAGATAATCTCATTTATTTAATCATGGAATACTGCCAGCATGGCGAGTTATTCCAATTCATTATCGATCAACAACGAGTACCAGAATTTTTGGCGCGCAATATTTTCAAGCAATTATTAGATGCCATTGCTTATATTCACTCTAAATCAGTTGCACATAGAGATATTAAGCCGGAGAATATCCTCCTTGATGCGGAAAATAATGCAAAAATTGCTGACTTTGGCTTATGTCATCCCATCACTAACAAACTCCTTGAAACACCCTGCGGATCTCCTTTCTACGCACCACCGGAAGTTATTGCAAACGAGCAATACGATGGTAAAGCAAGTGATGTTTGGTCACTTGGTGTTGTACTTTTTACTATGGTGACCGGATCACTTCCATGGAGACAAGCTAATCAGACACAACTTTACTTACAAATTCAAAATGCGGACTTTGTAATTCCTGGTTTTGTTACACCAAATTGCCGTGATATAATACAACGCTGCATGAGTCATAATCCTTCAGAACGTCCAATGCCAATGGACTTAATGATGCATCCTTGGTTTGAAGAACAAAATGAGATGGCTCAGTTATTTGGTTCGAAACCAAGGCTTCCCGTTCCTCCTCCAGCAGACTTCAACTTAGCTCCTCAACCTCGTCAACGACCAATTATAATTAGACTAAAACAATCATTTTCTGCTCAGGCTGGAAATTATCATCCTGTTTTGCCTCAAAACCTACAGTCTGTAATAAGGAAAGTACCACGACAGTCAATGGCTATCAAACGAAATTAGTTTTAGAATATAATATTCGATTTTTGTTTGTAAATGTAGTTTTATCAAAATCATATCTAGATATTTCATACAATCATATTACATCAAGAGATGAATTTGTTGGAAAAAGATTTAATTTCAAATTTTTAATTGCTCTTGAAATACCATGTTTATTAAATGTTATCGATTATTCACATGAATTTGTATATATTTTTCAAATCAATTTTGTATGTTACATCTTGAAATAGCACCAGAAAGTAAAAATGAATCCTTCAAGTGATATGACAATGTTTTTCCAAAACGTTAAAGATAAAATTGAACAAAACTCTACTAAGAGTAATGATGTCACCCAACTGGAGGACACAATACAGAACATTGAGAAAGATTGCTCAGTGATCGATATTCATCTTAATGAAATGAAGGACTCTGCTCAACAAATATATACAAATCTCGGAAATATATACAAAGTTTCATCAAAATGTCAATATCATGCAAGTGTTGCGCGTGTTTCTTTCCAAAATATTGCCGAAGCTACCACACGCCCTTCATTTTTCTCTAGGACATTCCATTATATCGCTGAATCTGTTACATATATATCCAACCTCATGACTGCAATTTACTATCAATTGAAATCAACTCCATTTTAATTTTCATACTCAATTGTTTCGAATAATTTTGATGAAATCATGGAATATTTGTTGCACTGATAGTTGCTTTAAAAGAATAACTTGCAAGAGATTTTTAGTTTGGATTCACCCCCTATCTAAAGCCAATGAAATTGAATTCAAAATAATCGTATTGGTCTTTTCGAAAAATGGGTAAATCTAAGGCCTGTGGTCGTCTCGCAGCCCGCAAGCTTCGTCTTGCACACAAGTCCAACCTTTGGGCTTCTAACGCATACCGCCGCTCTCTTGGTACATCAATCTACAAGACCCCACTCGAGGGTACATCAATGGCTTCTGGCATTGTCGTCGGCAAGGTCGCCGTCGAAGCCAAGCAGCCAAACTCCGCTATTCGTAAAGCTGTCCGTGTTCAGCTTAAGAAGAACTCCAAGGTTGTTACAGCTTTCGTCCCACGCGATGGTTCTCTCCGCCTTATTGATGATAACGACCGTGTTCTTATTGCTGGTATGGGCCGCTCTGGTCGTTCTGTCGGTGATCTTCCAGGATGCCGCTTCAAAGTTATCAAGGTTGCTGGCTTCTCACTTCTTGCTCTCTGGCTCGGCAAGAAGGAAAAGCCGCGCAGCTAAAATATTAAATATTTTACCATTTTAATGAAATTTTTACAAAATTATTATTAAATAGCAAGAAAAGGGTAAATATACACTATGTAATACCTATAATTAACTCTAAAATCCACTTATCTCTTCATAATTCATCAAAATCCAATCTATTGATTTACGAATATCTCATCATAATTCAGATTTTGATGAATTGTCTAGAAGATATAAATACATTCCTTGATTACATCATCTTATTTCAAATATCTTCTAAAAGCATCTTTTTTTAGAAGAAATTATCTTTATTCCCAGCTTACGAGGAAATATTTCACTGTCGATTTGTAAAGTTCCCCACTTTTAGTAAGCTTATATAATTTAGGAAGTATCGAGTTAAAAAAAAGTATATATAATGAATAAATTTGGAATTTATTCGTAATGGGTGTTAAAAGCTTTTGAAAAAGTCCTTTTCATCAAAAGTTGGAGACTTCGTTGTCAGCCAATATTGCAGCATCTAAAATATTGATCTTTTGTAGGGATTGGATTAACACCTTGATCTTTTCTTGTGGAATTTGGTGTTCGCTTTTCTCGGGACTCTTCTGAGGAAATTGTTGTTTGCTTGTTTCCCGACTCTACTGAAGAAATGGCATAAACTAAATAAAGATGAAGAAAGTCAGTATTTTGTGATGATACAAAAATAATACTTATAGGCATTATTTGCTATTTTCAAGTAAGACATTGGACATTAAAAGCTTTTGAAAAAGCTCTATTCATCAAAAGGGGGAGATTCCGTTGTCAGGCAATGTTGCAGGAATGATGTTGATGTCGATCGATTGGGTCCGTGCCTTGATCTTTTCTTCTGGAATTAACTGCTTTGTTCGTTGGAAGATAAGTTTTTTGGTCGATTGGGTCCGTGCCTTGATCTTTTCTTTTGGAATGTACCGTTTTGTTAGTTTGATAATTAGTATTTTTGATGACAGGTTCAATACATTGAGTTTTTGGTGTAGAAACTGATGTTTTGTTGTCTTTAGATTTTCCTGATGAATCTATTGGTTTATTGGATTCACCTTTTACTTGAGGATCTGATTGTTTGTCGTCTTTGGATCCATCTTTTAATTGGGGATCTCCTGATTTATTGTCTTGCTGAATAATCTTGAGATAATCAAGACACCTTTTGATAGGATTATCTGTTTCGAGTTTAGAGTAATCATACATTTGTAAAATTCTTGCATATTGATCATTATTATTTACTTCTAATTCATGGAAGTATGGACTCCTGAAATAGTATCTAAAATTTTCACTGACACGTGCTTGTTTTGAAAAATTTTCCAAAAATTTAATAACTTCTTTCGGAGCATTTATGCTTGGTTTTGATAGAAAAGGCAATACAAAAAATTCGATATCAACACTGATACCGCATAAAGCATTTGTGCACATTTTATGAAGTCTGTTTTTGCTGTTAGCTAAAATTAATTGAATTGCAATTCTTGCCAATGAATCGAATTCTTCCTCTGTTATATCAATTCCTTTGGTAAAGGGAGCTAAGCAGAGTAAAGTACTAAGAGAAACTCCATGAAATTTATAAAATATAGGATAATCAAAGGTTTTAAGATAATCAACAACGAAATCTGGAATGAACACCTCGAATATATTAATTCCCCTCCGCCAAACTAATTCATTTGAATGACTCCTACTCATAAAATTTATAAAAGTAACTTCAAAGAAATTTTAAGGGTGCACCCGTATGTACGTTTATTTGAGAGGAGGAGGATTACCCTCTCAATTTTGAGGGATTCGTTAGTTTATTTTCTCGATGAATATGCAATAAAATTTGATTTTTACCTTATCAATATACTTCATCTAATATACACATGTTCCTGTAAAAACTTTTTTCCAAAATCCTCAGGAATTAAGGGATTTTTGAATTTTAAGAATTTTTTTCGAATTTTTTCGAAAAAAAAAATATTTTCAGAACAGCCTTAACGGCTAAGATTTAGGAACAATGTTAAGTATCAAAAAGAAAGGAGGTCTGATATAGACAACATATATCGTTGAAGGTTGAAAAAATCTCTAATATTTGAGCCCAAAATTTCAAATTTTAATTTTTTGAAAAAAGAGGCCACCCGTATGTACGTTTATTTGAGAGGAGGAGGAGGATATTTTTGAAAGGGTGAAACATTATGAATATGTTAATTATATAATAATATGTATTATTATAAAAAAGAAAAAATAAAGCACGTTAAAATTTTTCTTTCTTGATTTTTTACAAAATGTACTTAGAATTATGCAAAATATGACTAAATAATTATAAATTTCAAGTTAAATTTTAATTTTGATAAATAATTTAAATTTCAAAATATCAAGTTCAGTTCGACTATGTATGTAGTAATTCCTCAATAAAGTGCCAAAACCCTATTAAAATATATGAACATTTTCAACATTTTAATGTTTTTATTTAAAAATTTGATGGAATATGAGCTTCAAACAATTATTATGTAAATAAAAATAATTAAATATATGTATTTATTCGTATTACAACCGTAGTAAGTCGATTCTTCCTTTCTTCTACTGAGTTTTGAATTTGATTTCGAATTGTAAAGAGATTCAAAGGGAAAATACTAGCGGATAAAAACTACCTCCATGAAAGGGTCATAATGGACTCAAGTTGTATTTTTTGATATTTTTTGCTTTTCGAGCCTAAATAGGTAGCCAAGATAATGCCTAAAAATAAGGTTCTAAATTCTGAAGTTTACATGATCCTCTCGTGTGCACCCTTAACTTTTTGATTGAATAAACCGATATTACATAAAACTTAATAATAGGCATATGAACGAAAAACCATCCTTTGATTATCACTTAGATGCACACGATAGTGGCAGTTTGGCCTTGTAGTGGAAAAAAGTGACGTTTTGCACATAAAATTTTAGATAACAACAATTAAAACCATATGAAAGCTGGAAATTAAACACCTTACTTGCTAATAGATAATGATAAAAAAAAAAAAAAAAAAAAAAAAAAAAAAAAAAAAAAAAAAAAGGTAGTGGGGCTTCCAGGGCTGCGCCCCTCTAGCCCCTGAAGATGTTTAGTATAAATGAAGTTCTTATATACGGGTCTTCCAGGAGCTTTTCACAAAATATATATGTTTTCATGTTTTGTCACTTTTCTGTCACTTTTCAGGTAAAAACATTTTTATTATATATATATAAAATGAATTTTACAAAACCACCGTTACCCTTCTTTGGAAATAAGAGTAGATGTAAAGATATTCTATTGAGAGAACTTAAGAAACTACCGAATGGTCTAACATTTGTAGATTTGTTCGGTGGAAGTTTCTATATATCTCATTTGTGCCATACTGTATTTCCTGACTCAAAGATTATATGCAATGACTTCGACAACTATATGAACCGTCTCAAACATATACCAGACACAAACAAAATATTGAAAGAGTTAAAAGAAAAGATACCTATAGGTAAGATGGAACGTATACCATTAGATAAGAAAAATACTGTCAGAGAGGTTTTGAAAAAAGCAGAGTATATTGACTGGGATAGTATATCTTCTAGACTATTGTATAGTGGTTCTATAAGAGTTCATGACATTGAAACACTTATGTCAAAAGTTTTATATCTTAACTATACAAAGGTTTTCAAAGAGAACATAGAAAAATATACTGAGGGTATAGAGTTTGTGAGATGTCGTTGGACAGAGTTGTATGAAAAATATAAAGACAAGGAAAATGTTTTCTTTATAGTAGACCCGCCGTTCTATAACACATATGATTTTCAATACCAAGTAGACTGGACTTTGAGAGACTCTTTAGAAACTTTAGACGTTGTACATAACCATCCATGCTTTTACTTTACATCCGATAAAAGTGGTTTGGAAAGTGTCATGAGATGGTTAGAGGACATACATGACTATGAGTTTAGATACGATAAGATAGAATATGAGAGAGGTCCTATAAACCGGAGAAAGTGTCATAACAAAGAAATTTTATTGGTAAGTAAATGTGGTTTGAAATAGGACTACTTGTTTTAGGTTTTTTCCATTGTGTCATTTACTTATTTGACGTGGCAGAAAGATATAGAGAATATGAAGATGAACCAATGCCTGCAAATGTCCAGTATATGTACTCGTAAGAGATATTTTTATCTAATATTAAATGGACGCACAGAACTTAGCGAATGCACAGCAACCTGGACAACCAAACCCAGAGAATATTCCAAATGAAGTTAGAATACAAACTGCAATGGCAAACTATGGTCAAGTGCCAACAGATGTACAAATGCAAACTGCCATGTCAAATGACGCTGCGTTAGGTTTGCCACCATGGTATGCAAATATGAGATGGAAAGAGTTTTATACAAACCCTGAAGTGGGATATAAACAACTCTATGCAGATGACGCGAACACAGGAGTTGACCCAGAGTATGTTTTCTACCAGAGGAGAAATAGAATGTATGAGCTCCAGTTAAAAAATGCTATGGAACTCAGAAGGAAACGTAAGAGACTAGGTGGACATTAGATTTTTACATATAGTAAAATGGGTTTCTTCAGTAGTATTGGAAACTTCTTCAGAAGAGTTGGAAGAGGTATATGGAATGGAATAAAATCTGTCGGAAGAGGAGTATGGAACGGTGTCAAAAATATTGGTAAAAGAGTAGGTCAGTTCGTTGGTATTATACCTAAAGACCCTGAACCAGAAGAACAAGCTCCTGTTATACAACAGCCTGAACCTGCACCACAGTCTAGTTGGCAACCAAATCCAACACCTCAACCGTATTAAAAAATTATATTTTTACCGTTCGATAGTAGTTGTATATGAAACTAAGTTCTAAGTAAAACACATGGTATAATGGAATTATTCTCTTTCTTCCATCTGTTGTAAACCATACTTGAAAGTCTGAAATACTTCCACTCGGTGGTTCATATAGCTTTGTAGGTTTTTCGTAAAAGTCATTTGCCAAGCATAAAAAGAGTTTTGGGCGCCAGAAAATGAAGCATGAACTATAATAGCATCTGAGTCGAAAACATTTTCATATGTTCCATTAGGGTTTTCGACTTCATAAAAGTCCGGGTGTACTGGATATTCTGCAGGCTGATTTAACATCCTCAGAAACCTATACCATGCCAAGTTGTTATATTTTGTAGAAATATAAACGTCTTCTCCAAGGTCTTCTATTCTATTGATTTTAACAGTTGCATTTTTCCTGTCATATATAATATCGAGATGGTACTCTCCTTCGTCAATGTTGTACTGTTTTGCATATTCGAGATAGATATCGTTTATTTTTTCTTGAAAAGCTTGAAGAGTTGTTTCTAAGTTTACAAGCAAATTCACTTGTAAAAGTTTTTCCCTGTTCAAATTTCTCATACGTACGTTTCTCTTTGTTATAGTATCGAATTTCAAAAGCGACCGTAAATGGGAAACCATGTATGGCTTCTGAAATGAACTTCATTCTACGAAAGCCAATAGCTTTTGTGACGGATGGGTCTCTTAGCCATCTTAACGGGTAGTCAAAACGATAGCCTTCATGCTTTACGGTCTCTGTCTCAAACTTTTGACCGACATTGGTAAAAGTTCATCTAATGGTTTAGTTGTAGCAACTCTAGAATTTTCTTTTTCTATTGAAAGCATATTTTATCTAGAATAAAAATGTCGAAAGAAACAGCGTCTATGAGAGAAATACAACACAACCGACAACTCATTTTGCAAGCTCTAAATAAGAACACAACAAACTTTTCAAACTATTCTAAGATATCTGAGTCATTGAAAGAAGGAAACTTAAAACTGACGATAAACCCATTGACAGACGAGTTTCTGTTTCAAGACAGTAAGAACCATACTGTTTGTATAAATCCAACAAAAAGAACTTTAAACGAGAAACCTATAGATGAACTTCTTTTGAAAGCAGATGTTGACAACAAAGCTGACAAAGAGTATGTCATTGAAAAAGTTCAAGAAGAACATGACAGAGCAGATGCAACATATGCAACAAAAGAACATACTCATCCTGAACTAGCGGACAAAACATATGTTGACAATAAAATGTCAAGTGAAGTGACAAGAGCTGAAAACGAATATTCTAAAAAGACTCATACACATACCATTGCAAATATTACAAACTTACAAGAAACCTTAAACAGGAAAAGTGACGTTGGACATACACATACCATTGCAAATATAACAAACTTACAAGAAACCTTAAACAGTAAAAGTGCCGTTGGACATACACATACCATTGCAAATATAACAAACTTACAAGAAACCTTAAACAGTAAAAGTGCCGTTGGACATACACATACCATTGCAAATATAACAAACTTACAAGAAACATTAGAGACAAAAGCAGATAAAACATATGTCAATGAAATATACCAAAGTTTAGTTGGAACAACAAAAAATATTGAAACTATTGTTGGTGACTTTTCTATCTATGAAGAAAACAAATATTTTAGATGGGAGTTTGTACAGTCTTTAAGAAATGGTATACGGTGTAAACTCATTCCGAAAAATAACAATGAAATGTATGTAAGCTATAAAAAGAACGATGGTACACAAGTTAAAGTTCCATTAGACAACAACTGCTACTTAAACTTCTATGGAGACGAACAAAAGAAATATTTAAGAGTTTATGAAATGGCAGATATGACATTGCCTGACCCAGCTCCAGCACCATACTATTATGACTATGGTGTTGACGTCAGAACACTACACGCAGACCCAAAAAAGCAAACATTCTATTTAGATTTTTATAGATATAAAAGATATAATGCAATAGAAAAAACGAGAATAGTATACTATTATACAGATGACAGAAATAAATATTATAGTCAAGACTTTACCTACCCTGAAAACATAAGATTATATTATAAAAAATATTCTGACACAAACCAGAAGAAACCTGAAATGGTTGCACTATATTTTAAGTTCAAAAAGACAATCCTATAATATCTCATATGTTTGATTTAATGAACCCAGTAGGTTCTATTTATACATCTATGGAAGCAAGAGGTCCTCAAGTAATGTTTGGTGTTGGTGCATGGGAACAAATAGTCGACAGGTTTTTGTATTGTGCAAACTCTTCAAAGGAAACAGGTGGAAGTAAAACGATTTCAGGTGAAAACTTACCTGCGCACAGTCACTACATAGATTTAAGTACATCTCAAGCAGGTTGGCATAGGCATAGATATTGGGATTGGTCAGGAATGACAAAAGGTAAAGGATATGATGTTAAAGACGACGTTAAGTTTGCTATAAATTGTTACTGGAGTGACACTCAGGGAGAAGGAAACCATACACATTTCGTTTCAGGGTATACACAAACAACGGGACAAAGTAAAGACTACATGCCACCTTACATGACAGTTTACGCATGGTATAGAATTGCTTAGTCGTCATTTTCAACTTCTTTAGCATATTCGTCAGGAGTTGTCTTATATTTGTTAGGAACTGTCTTTGAAAGTATACCACCTTGAACTTTGACAAGTTTGAAACGAGGTCTGACAATAGTAGTTTTATCTTCTGCTTGCAGTCTGTACATTTTGCCATGTTTGCCTAAAACTTCATAATATTCTCTTGTATACTTTCTTCTATTTTTACGAACACGAAGCGAGTACCTGTCGAGTTCCCATTGTTGTCATAGTCAATAGTATTTTCATATGGGTCGCGTTTAGGTATTTCTATTTTTACTTTGTCGCCTTTCTTAAGTTTGAAGCCTGGCATTCTTTCTTGTTTGTCTCTTTTGACTAAACTATTAAATATATAGTCTTTCTCTAAGTCAGGGTTGTTTTTCATTTCTTCGGGGGAGTGGTTTCCCAAACCTTTTTGTTTACGGCTATTGTAAATATTTAAAACTTGTCTCATCTTTGCCATGGAGAAATGTCTATACTTGTCGTCATATGACATTTCATCTACCTCACCACCTTGTGGTTGGTTTAAGTCTCTTAAGATTTTTATACAACTGTCAATGACACCAAGAGCAGAATGGTTTTGGTCGACAATGAAATATTGGTTTACATTTTTTTGAACGCAGATAGTTTTTAATATCGTCTGATTTGAAAGAACGTTCACAGTCAGATGTCAGTTTTGTTGGATGGTATTTGTCAACGAATATTGTCAAAGCAGTTTTCACATCTAAAATATTTTTGGACTGTAATGGTATGGCTTCACAGTATCTTGTGTTTTGACCGACAAATATTAGCCAGTATGGAGGTCCATCTGTTCTAACTCTCGGAATGTTTTCCAAGATATCCATAAACCAAGCATTTGGTGTTGAACTAAAGATTTTTACCATGAGTGCTTTCTTTGTCGCTTTAGAAACATAGGGGTCCTTGTTTGGATTCGTCATTTTTTAACCCATAAGAAATGGGTTTATTTGGCGCATTAGCAGGAGTTGCATCCAGATTTTTGCCCGCAGTGGGAACAATAGCCAGAGGTGTATTTGGAGTTGGAAGGAAGATTTTGAGTACATTAGGTATACTTAAAGAGAAAGCACAACCTATTATACAAACTGTACAGAAAGGTTGGGATGTAGCACGAGATGCAGCAAATCTTATTCCAAATCCTGAAACAAGAGGAAAAGTTCAAGGATGGATGGACAATGTAGGAAGACAAGCAGGAAACTACTATAACAAAGCAAATGACTACTATAACCAAGCAGGACACTATATGGACCAAGGTGAAAGATTCTTTAACAGAGGATATAACCATGCACAACAATGGGTAAACAATAACCAACCTCAACCGCCTCAAACGTGGGGAATGTAAAGTTTTTTACTGAGATGAAATGAACAATACAGCATTGAGACAAATGGGTTCAAGATGGATTTGTCGGCTTCCAGCAGTTACACAACCACGTGTTTGTCAAGTTCTTCCTATACCTCAGGAAGTTTTAGACCGACTTAAAAAACAACAACAACCAGTTGAAAACAAACCAAACTAAAATTTTTTACTGAGATGAAATGACCGAAGAAGTTGAAACGGTAGATTTGACACCACAAACAAAAAGTTCAGAACCATTGTCAAAACCTGTCAAAGAACTTACAGATGAAGAGAAAAATTCAATAATAGAAAGTGCCAGGTCTGGAAATACAAACCCTAACTACAAAGTCACTTTTCATAGAAATGGAACGGCTAGTATCTCAAAAAAGAAACAGACCCTCACAAATAAAATATTGAAGTCTGAAGGAGCTTTCGAGACAACAGATGGAAAAGTTTACTTCACTGACCAACAGTTCATTATAGAACATCTCATTGACTTAGAGTCGAAATATTCTAAACTTTACAACAAACACAAAAAGTTGAAAGGAAAACAAAAACAGATGGCATATGACATTTATGAAGATGTTAACGACACAACCATACCTGCAAGTGAAGTAAAGTCAGGTGAACCGAAAAGTGACGAAAGACCGATAGAAGAAGGGGAGCCAAAAACTGAAGATAAACCAAAACCAAAGTTTAGTTTGGAAACTAAACCAAGTCAACCTTCATTAGCTGGTATGGGTTGGCGTCAAAGACTTATGGTAGCTGGTGGTTATGTTAAGTAAAGGAAAAAACATTTTTCAAAAAAAATATTTTTTTATTTTATTTGAAATGTACGCTGAGTTTGTTGGAACAGACCGTTGGGAAACTTGTTTGTTAGATGAGAAATATGAAATTCACTGTTGTGAGTCATTTGAAGTCAGAAACAAAAAGACAAAAAGAGTTTTAAGCGGATGGGAGCGAAATGACGGATATGCTAATATGAAGATGAGTGGAAAAAACTATTTTAAACATGTTGTCATTGCAACTCATTTTATACCGAACCCTAACAATTTACCTTTTGTAGACCATATAAACCATATAAGAAACGACAATAGACTTGAAACTTGCGTTGGGTCACTTGTTCTGAAAACAATAAGAACATAGGCAAATTTCGAGATATTGTATTCGAATTTGTCGACGAACTAGAAGATGAAGCAATTGAAATTACAGACTATGGCGAGCATACGTTTGAGTTTTACTACTATAGCGAAGAACAAGACTCTTTCTACTTTTATACCGGCGTAAACTATAGGAAATTACAAGTATGTTTTACTAAGGCGGGCTATGCTCATGTAAACGCTAGAGATACAGATGGAAAATACGTTCAAATACATCTTAACAAATTCAAGAAGCTATATGGCATACCATTTTAAAACAGTATATTTTTACATATATTAAATGCCCCCATATAGAATGGATAGAAAGTCTGCTAGAATAAAAGCAGAGTTGCAAAGATATGGTTGGAGAGTTTCGAAGAATTTTAAATATAGGAAGGGAAGACCCATAAAAGTCTATGACAAATTGTCTGGTCTTCGCTACGAAATGGACTTAGAAACAGCACGTGCAAATTATCCAAACAGACTAGAGAGGTTAGAAGAAGAACGTCTTATGGACATGCCTTTCGATGTTAGTGAACCTCAAGTTGAAGGACACGACGGCTTTGCCAGATTCTACTGGAAACATGACGAACAATTGCATCCTTTGAGAAGGAAAAAAGGAAAAGGTGAAGACGCACATGCTCCCATGGAAAGAACAAGATATGCATATGAAAAGTATCGTGAAGTTAGAAGTCAAATTACATCTGGTCGAACCTTTACAGTAAACTTTGACGAAGGAAAGAACAAAGAAGGCTTCATGGGTGTACTTGCTGCAATTCAAGACGGAAATAAGAAAGGATACAATCTCAGACTAACCATAACAGATTTGGACGGTCACATTTACTATGCACATGGCAATGTCACAACAGCTGCAATGCTTCTTGACGCTTTCAAGACTACAAAGAGAGAACAAATGGTTGACTCAGACTCCGATATTTTGAATGCAATTGAAGGAATTGCAAGCGTCAAGCTCGAATGGTACAAACGTAACCCTCAAGCAGTCAGACAACATGTTTGTTAGATGAGAAATATGAAATGGCATACCATTTTAAAACATTTTTTAAAACCATATATTTTTACATATATTAAATGTTTCAGGTTGAAAAACAAAGAACAAAAGTAGCAGATACAAAACCGTTAGACTATATCTTTACAAACGCCGGTAGAAATATTTCAGATGAAGAAATTTCATCCCGTTCATACAGGTTTGACTATCCAATTCGTTGGCTTCAAAGTCCTTCAGATGCAAAGGCAATAGGATTTAGAAGAGTTTTGTTTTCAAATAGAACTAACGCTTTTATGTTCGCAGTATATTTTCATGGGCAATATAAAGGTTCTGATGGTCTAATAGACAAATTTGACGAAATGAGAATCTTTACAATTCGTTCAGACGAAAGTCTTGAGAAAACTCTAAATGACTTTCAAACTCAAATAAACAAATACTACTGGGAATTTCAAGAAAATACGACTCTTTACTAAATGGAACATACTATCTAAAACTAGAATACAACAAGATGAATTCCACCGTTTCATTTCAAAGGATTGAAATTAACCCTCCAAGAAGTACAGAGTTTTTATTTTGGGAAGTAGACAAACGTTCTTGGGCACAATTTCTTCGGTTACTAAACCAGAACGAACCATTACCACCAGATGGTCCATTTAAATTTATACTTCCACCAGCAGATTTGACAGTTTATAGAAACGTGTTTGACCCTCAAAATGTTATATGTCATGCAAGTTTCAGTTCAAGCAACAACAGTTTTCTTTGTATTGGTAAGGACTTTTATGACTTTGCTTCTAAATTCTACGAACCACCTAGTAACAGTTTCTCTGACTTTCAAGTCTGGTTCACAACAAACGGTGTGCAGCATATAATACCATTATACTATGACTTTTATCTCGAATTGTCTTTCATATACAACTACGGAAAAGTGCTGAAAAAGTATTGAAAAATATATTTTAGGTGGAACCAAAAATGGCTCGACCTCAAAACAAGCATTTTGTGAAGAATATACCACCCCGCGGAATTCCGCGGGTGCTTTTTATACAAAATTCAACAGGTGAATTTTCATGAATTTCCTTAAGATAGAAAAAGTGAGTTAAAATGAGATTTTTATCGTTGTGGTCCGACGGTTAAGCCACAAACGAATGTCCGACGGTTAAGCCACAAACGAATGTCCGACGTCCCACCAAAAAATATTTTTTATTTTTATTGTAAGAACAGATATGACAGTCGAAGCAAAAACGTTCACGAACAAATCTAATGGCGAAACATTCACAAAAGGCACTTACAACGGTATTGAAGTCTTACGTAGAGACAAGGATGGTTATATAAATGTAACAAATATGTGTCAGCAGTTTAGGAAAGACTTTAGAAGGTTGTTGGAAAATAAGTCCTGGGAAGAGTATTTTAAGGCATTTTGTGAGAATATACCAACCCGCGGAATTCCGCGGGTTGCTTTTTATACAATGTTAATGCAGGAATTCCCGATGAAATCAAACAGGTTAGAGGAATGTATGTAGACCCAAGACTCGTAAACTATATTGCAATGTGGGCTTCTCCAAAATATTGTATAGCAGTTGGAAAAATTATGGACTCCATAGACAAGAAAGTTCATGAGAAGTTAGATGAAGAAGAACTTGAAGATACAGTAGAGAATGCAAAACCTTTGTTTGAAGAAGAAGTTAGAAAAATGCATGAAAAACAAATAGAACATGAACGTGAGATATGTTCTGGTTATAGAGATTCTCCATACGAACTAGACCAATGGGAACAAGAAGATTTAAAGAGAGAATTTAGAGAATATGAACTCGCTAAGATAACATTAGAAGCTGCAGAAAAGAAGTTAAAAGTTTGGGGTCGTTTTGTACAAAAATATTGTGAGTAAATGAACCATTTTTTTTTCGACAAAAATATATTTTAGGGTAGATGGTTAGATCTAACCTCTTTTCTAACCTCATTTCTACCCTCATTTCTACCATCGTAGAAAACACACAAAACTCTTGAATTTTGTTGCTGAATTCAATAAAAATATATTTTAGGGTAGATGGTTAGATCTAACATGTTTTCTAACCTCTTTTCTACCCTCTTGAATTTTCATGAATTTTATACAGAAAATGCTTGTTTTGAGGTCGAGCCACTTTTGGCTCCACCGTATTCTTTCAACCAAAACTCATGAATTTTACACCAAAAATATAATTTATGTTAGAATGTTAGATCTAACATGTTTTCTAACACGTTTTCTAACATGGTCTAAAACTCTTGAATTTTCATGAATTTTCCCGAAATAAAAAATAAAGTTAGTTTTTTTAAAAAAATATTTTTTATTTTTATTGTAAGAACATGTTAGCAACAACAGCACCAAACTCGTTAGTCATGAACCCAACTTCAATGTTAGTAGAGATGAAAAGCTTCATTCCTTCTTCATATACTTTCGAAACAGAAATCCAGAAGATAAAGCAAGAACTTCTCCAAGGAGATTTAGATTGCACTGCAAAAGATGAAACAGATGAAGAATATCTTTATGAAATGCAGGATATTATTGACCATCTACCTAAATTTCCTGAAATCCAACAACAAAAGCTTACTATTCCAGAATTCGATGAAATAGAAGTCAAAGCAACTGACTCAGTAGAAATAAAGAAGTTCATACGAAAGGTAAATTATGAATTCCTTGGTTTTCATTGCAACCATAAGGTTATGGACAAAGATTGCGACATGGTATATAAGAACATCTCTGACCTTTACAAATCCGAAGAATTTAAGACCTACGACAACTTTGTTTCGTTAGTTGCAAAATGTGTTTGGGAAATAAGAGATAAAGATAGTAGGGGTAAGGTATGGAACGAACAAATAAAACCCGCTATGTTCGAGATGAAGAAAACCATTGACGCCTTAGTTGTTTTAGCAGGTAAGGTTTCAGAATATAACGCAAAAATGAACCCGCAATGTTCTAAATGTAAAGCAGCAATGAGGAAATATAACTACTCCGTCAAAGAGATAGAACGTATGCGAAACGACTATGCTGACTTAAAGAGGGAGGCAGAGAAACCAGCAGAAGATAAAATGAACATGTTAGAATTTCTGAACAAAAACTATCCAACAGCAGAAGATTTCCTTCTGTCTGACGTCAAGAAGAAGTATAAAGAAACTTTCGGTATCGTTAAAACTTTTGACATACTAAAAGAAGAAATAGAAGCTACAAAACTGTTTAAAGTCATGAACCATCGCAACATATACCATGTAAAACGCTTGTAAATAGTTATGTTAGAAAACATGTTAGAAAACATGTTAGATCTAACATTCTAACATAAACATTATTTTTGCTGAATTCCGTATGAAATTTCATGAGTTTTGTATGTTTTAGACCATGTTAGAAAACATGTTAGAAAACATGTTAGATCTAACATTCTAACATAAACATTATTTTTACTGAATTCCGTATGAAATTTCATGAGTTTTGTGTGTTTTAGACCATGTTAGAAAAGAGGTTAGAAAAGAGGTTAGATCTAACATTCTACCCTAAAATATATTTTTGCTGAAAAATGACCAAATTTCATGAATTTCCTTAAGATAGAAAAAATAAAATTAACGCTAGTTTTTTTAAAATATTTTTTTTTATTTTGTATGTAAGAACAGGAAATGACAAGCACTGAGTTTGAAACAGTTAAAAAGATAGACAATGAGACCAAAATAGTTAGAATAGGCGATTTAAACGTAAGATACTCAAAGAAATACAAAAAATATTCTTTGTCAGACATTTTAACACTATCTGAAGGAAAGAAAGCACACGACTGGGTTAGAAATGCTTCTACTCAGAAAATTTTGACAAGAAATCCTGAGCTTATGATATCGGTAAGATTCTATGGAACAAGAGCATATCTCATCGACAAAAGTCTTATACCAGTAGTTTTGTTCTGGATTGACCCAGTTGTTGGATATAATTTCATAACATATGGTTCATTCGATACTGAACGTTGCAGTGAAGGCTTACTTTACATCGTTCAGAAACCGAAGGACTTCAATACAAAGAGATATAAGATAGGAAGAACATTTAATATAACTCAAAGATATGACAGTATAGTCAATAGAGTTAAGGTTGCGTTTGTTAACGATATGAGAGCTGCTGAAACAGAACTACTTGAAAAGTTTGAGAAAATGTATGGTGCTCCCACGAGAGGTAAAGAAACTTTCGAAGTAGATGAGATAGCTAAAGCTATAAAATTATTTGACGAAGTTGCTGAAAAATACATGTAAAGCGTTTATTTTTGGTCTTTTATACAAGATAGAAAATAACGCTAATTTTATTTTTTTTTATTTTTTTATTTTGTATGTAAAGACAGATATGTCAACAACAGAGAACACAACAACTGCTATCGTTCATGAAGCCATAAGTGAAGAATACGAGTGGGTTCAGTTTAACAAACAGTTACGTCTCATTCGTTCGGTCAAAGACGACATGTACCAAATGCAAAGTATTTTGAATGCTCTTCGTTCTACAAAGCAAGCATACCATTGGTTTGAAAACCAACAGACAAAAGAACTTTTAGAAGAATTTCCTCATATGTTTGCGACCCTCGGAAAACCGAGGGTCGAGATTCCGTACGAAAATCGTCAAAATTTGCCAAATGGTTTGAGAGGTTGGTATGTACATAGACTTCTTGTAAATGCTGTTGCAATGTGGGCTTCACCTCGTTACGCTTGTTATATTTTCATGATGTTAGATGAACTTCATAGACAAGAACGTGAAGAGCTAGAGAACAAGCTTGAAGCAAAAGACAAAAACATACAGAAAAGAATACCACGTTCGGTACCAAAAGGAAAGGAAAAGAACTATAAGTATATGATTTACACTGAAGAGATGGAAAATGAAGAAGACAGAGATATGGTTATGTTGCATTTAGTCAGAAGAAACAACAAAAGCTTTTACGACCTTGCTAAGATTTACAAATCTGACAGAAATTGGTTCTATCGCGAAAACTTACCGATTTCAATGACACCGAATGAAGATGTGAAACAAA